AGGCTACTGTGAACCAAAATTCCAGTCACAATCGCGTTTACCAATCTCGCTTCATATGACTTGTGCTTGATTATCACCCTATGCCACCTCTACTACATCAGGTGGCCTGATTGTTAAGTCTCCTAGCACGGATCTTCCCATCCTTCTTTAAGGCGCGTGGGCGACGCCCTTGTCTTCTAGGCTTCATTTGCTTGCGATACAACTTGAACGTTAATTGCTTCCGTTATCGGTGCCCTATCGAAGCCTAACGTCTCTGATTAAAGTCCGTCGCCATTAATTGATTCTCAGAGACCGCGGCGTGTTTGGCACTCATCACTCCCATTCATTCTCCAAAAAAGGTTGCGCTAGCGGCAAATATGAGTTCAACACACTCGGCTTCGACTGTTTCGGGGCCCTCACCACCCCTTCATGGCAGGGTCGTGTCCAAGCCACATCCTCACCTGGAGCCATCGCCTCTACCATTGCAGCCTGTTGAGAATATTCCCCCGACTCAAGTTCGTGAACTGTGTCCGACTCCTCCTGGCTTACGAAGATTGTCACCAACGAAAGCGTATCGAGGCTCGGCTGCTTCAATTTCAGGCCGAGGGAAGTTAGGATTTGTCCCGATTACAGCTCCCCCTCCGCCAGCCTTCACAACCGATTCACCCACCAAGCGACCATCTGTTCCGGCATTCAGTCTTACAGCTGCCACTTCATCGATACCGCAATCCGCTCTTTTCACAACCTTTCCCTCAGTCAACCCTGGGAAACGGTCACATAAGGAAACTCATATCTTAGATGATACTCCCAGTGACAGTTTTGCTGACTTCCCTGAGCCTGCCTTGATATCCAAGCAACCTCTGAAAAGAACCCTTTTGGACGCCGCCCCACTCAAGGAACGGACGATCAAAAAATTGAAGCGCGAAGACATTATCACTGTGATGCGACTCCCAGAACCATACGAGATGCCACTAATCGAAGATGACGGCACAAAACCACCGTACAGCTATGCAACCCTGATTGGAATGTCTATTTTGCGTGCTCCTAACAGGAAGCTGACCCTTGCACAAATATACAAGTGGATATCTGACACTTTCTCATACTACAAGAATAGCGATCCTGGATGGCAGAACAGCATTCGCCACAATCTCAGCCTTAACAAAGCATTCATTAAACAGGAGCGACCGAAAGATGATCCAGGCAAAGGCAATTATTGGGCCATAGAGCCTGGCATGGAGACGCAGTTTCTCAAAGACAAGCCCCTGCGCCGAGCGACAATGTCAAGTCTCCCGCTCCCGGCAGCTCCTCCTAGGGATCCGGCTCCCTCTCAGAGCTCTAGTACAACCACATGGGCTGTTCCTCCACCGACATTTACTACAACAGCGAAACCATCGAAGACTGTAGATCTGTCATCTGACGCGACGCTTCCTGCTTCTGACCCCGCGCTCCAAGATGATACAGGCGACGAAAGTGTGAATTGCAATGCTTTGCAGCCTCCAGCTCCTCGTTCTTCTCCTCCCCAACCGATCCATTCCTCACCTCCTGTTATAGCAGCTCGCTACTCCCGCCAAGGAACCCCTCCAACTCCTTCCCATAATAATACATCTTCCAGCATTGTCCACATCAACAGCAAGCGAAAATCGCATGCTATGAATGACAGCGGTTACTTCTCGTCCTTGGAATCTTCTGCCATGCGACCAAACAAGGCCGGGCACATCCTGACCTCAGATTTGGAAATCGAACCCCCTCGCATCAAACGCGGTCGCGCAGAAGAAGAGATTGCCCGTATTCGAAGCTCGTCGCATGACATAAGTCCCAGTCATTGCGCAGTGGTGAAAGAATCCGGGGTCGTCGTAAATTCCTCTCCACTACGCGGTGAATTCGTCAGCATGCTACCTCCTCCAATTACCCCCTTAATCAAGTTCAAGAAACCAGCAAAACCGCCGCCGTCCGTGTCGCCGAACACTAACCTTCGTAACCATCGAAAAAAAATTCAACAGATGGTGAACTCTCCCATCAAACATCTGGGACTGACGGATGAGGACCTTCCATGGAGCCCTGCCTTCAACATTCAAGACGAGAGTTTTACACCAAGTGACAGTCTAAACACGAGCTTCGATGTTTTTACAGATCCAACTACAGACAACTTATCAAATGCGGCATATGGTTCTCCCGAGAAACGCTCGGCGAGGCGTACCCGAGTTAATCCTGGCGGCCCCAGCAGTAGTATACTGGCTGATATTACAGCAGTGAGTGTCAACACTCGCACTGGTGTGCCGTCGATACCATCGAACAGAAAGGGTCTTCTCTTCCCTGACTCCCCGTCCAAAGCCCCAGAATCAGGGCGCTACATCGATGCCACTCATGATGACTTCTTCTCATTCCATCTTTTCGAGGAGAGTCCAGGAGAAGTTGATGGCGTCGATCTCTTGCAGGGATTCCAGAAGATTGGGGATGCAAGCAAGGAAGAAACTTCGCGTCTAAAACCATACGCACCGAGGCCACAGTTTAATCATCGCAGCAACACGTCCTTGTTTTGATTTCCCAAAAGACCGGTTGAAAATGGAGAGTCGCCGAGTAAAAGAAGTGCATCAGGCTCCAACCATGCTATGATGTGTTGTTCGACAGTATTCCAACTATGCGCGCCATCTAACCACTTTGGCTGAGATACTGTCATCCTACGAATGATGAGATGTTAAGCGGCCTAGGAACTAATGCCCTCTCCTTTCTCGTTCTGGCTCTGTTTGAATTATCTACCTATGATTGAATCGGTGTTTCTGGCGTTTTTCGGATCAAGGGGATAATCATTGCACCTGAGATGACCTTCTTATGACCTTTACGATGACATCTGATCAGATGTACATGAGCAACAATTTTGTTTCACGAACTTTGAGAGTATTAGTCTGATTTTCGTGTGTAACCAACACGAGTCAGTCTGTGGTTCCCATTTGACAGTCATAAATAATTATCCTACTTTGTTCAATTGTTGAATGTCTTGAATTTGGATTTGGGTATCATAATGATCGTAGCAAAGCTAACCAAACAAGGAAACCATGCAAAGATACAGCATCGGCGACTTTCTTCAGGTCCAGGCATACTAGACAGGAAATGAGGAAAGAGTACATTTCAAAAGACAGGCAACATATTATACCCGCCCAAACGCCATATATGAGGCCCGTCTGGTCAGATTGTTACCGCTTTAAAATAAGTGGTTCGGAGCCGCGCGCGCGAAGGTTGTTGTCTGATAATTGCCCCGCTGCCATAAGTCTAGTCGCTGCTTGCACAGCCTCGACAGCCACAGCTTACACATTGAATCGTTTGGTCTTCCTTCAGTTGCGCTTTCGGTACCCGACAAATGCAGGTTGCATTGAAATTCGTTTCTTTTGTCTGTATGCAGCGAAGGCAACAGAGCTTCATCCATACCAAATCAGCAATGCGAACATGTTATTGCAACGCAGGCAGCGTTGAAGGTTATGGGAAATATTTGGGAAAGACCTTTTCGTAGCCTTGCTTTTTCCACTTGGCAATCAGGTTCGCATCGGCATAGTTATTCTTGAGGAGCCACTCATAGAGTTGTTTCGATATGGCTTCCTTCTCGTAGTACAGGTCGTATATATACCGAGACCCTAGGTTCATATCACTTAGCCACTGGAGATATATGTCGAAGTCGATTGCTGTAGAGAAGGTCGACTAATGCGAGGGCTTTAAGTGGGGATAGCAAGACAGGGAGAGTACGCACTTTGATGACTTATCTGAAATATAGGCCACAGCATCTCATGCTTCTTCTTCCCATCGTGTGATGCATTCTCTGCGTCTTTCATCTTGTTGCCGAATTCGAGTAAGGTATCTTCGATGTCATCGAAACCCGCCGGAGGTGGCTTACGGGTACGTGATGTTCGAATAGGAGGCATACTGGGAAAGCACGGCGCAAATGCAGATTGAGGCGGAGGTTTAAGCGAGTGATATATCACGTACGTCAAGATAGATAGATAATGTTCGACTGCTGCGAGATTACAGAGACAAGCCAACAGATGATTGAAACCTCGAACGGTCATAGGAACAGATATTCCTTTTTGCCATCTCACACCGCCATGTGACAGGTCCGTAGAATTGCCTGTGCGGGTTAACTTTGGTTACCAGGAAGAGAAGAGCCCAACCACCCGGTTAGACACCAGCTTCCCGGCTACGACAACATCTTCTTCACAACCACTCTTCCCCTCCTATCCTGTCATTTCTCTGGCCAAGAAAAAAAATTCACCATGGATACTCAAACGCAACTTGACATCGCCAAGCTCAATGATGCCGACAGAAAAGAATTGACCCAGTACCTCGCAAACGAGGCACAGAAATCCAACATCCAGCAAAGTAAGTTGAATAGGGAGTAGTCATGGTGGACTGAGCGAGCGGGCTTTTTTCAAGAGTATCAACTGATTGTCATCACTTCTGCAAGCTGTTCATGGCCTGGCCGATATTTGTTGGAAAAAGTGCATCACCGGAAAGATCTCGTCGGGCCGCCTAGATCAGCCCGAGGAAGCCTGTGCGCAAAATTGCGTGGAACGATGGATGGATACGAATTTTGCTGTTTTGAAGCACCTCGAAACCCTGCGGGGACAATGAAAGCTTCGTGTTCGGGGTACTAATATGTATACAATTGCCTTTCGAGCTCGCTCTCTCTAGACACTCTTGGTCTGTGGTGTTGGTTCCCCAATCTTTCACTCATTTGGATCGAGACCTTCACTGGACAGGAATCCAAAATCGCTATATCTAGGCCATATCAAGGAATTGAAACTCTCAAAGTAGACCTATATACCCGCATATCGTATTCCACCAATCCCAGGAATTAGTCCTGGACCCGAGAAGCGCCATGAGTGACGTTCACATCCACCGCACTTTTACGTCTAGAGGTTTCCGTACTAAGACTCGGGAGAGTATGACGGGTTACCATCCTGTGTTATCTATACTTCATTACTCTAACACAAGTTCGGGTAATGCTTTTCATTTTTTGATTTAATCATTGCAACCTCGTCGTAGCACTGGCAGTTAACTGTATATTTGATATTGATGAACCACCGCACAAAACTAAAAGAAAAACCCATCCAGTCCCAGACAAACCCATCTAGACGATAGCAAGCTTGGTGGCAGCAATATCCAGAGCGTCGACGTCGGGGGTAAGACGGGCGTAAGCCTTCTTGGAGCCGTCGGGTCTGCAGAAGTTAGATTTATCACCGGCCACCTCTAGAAGTGCAGATCAATTCACATACCGGACAAGAGTGTTGACCTTGACGGTATCGACATCGTACAGCTGCTTAAGAGCAAGCTTGATCTGACGCTTGTTGGCCTTGACGTCCACGATGAACACAAGGGTGTTGTTCTCCTCAATCTTCTTCATGGCGCTCTCCGTGTTAAGAGGAAAGAGAACGACCTTGTGGGCATCGAGGCGAGGCGCGTGGGGGATCGACTTGCGAGGGTACTTGGGCGACCGGGAAAGCTGAAGGGTCTTGGGGCGGTGGAAGGTGGTCGAGGTGCGGACCTTGCGAGCCTTGTGCGCCTGGAAATCGAAAACATTCAGCATCAACAAAATCAGAGGTGGCTCGGGTGTTGACAGAACGTACACCTGCACCCTTCAGAACTGCCTTGGCAGCAGCACCAGCCTTGCTGCTGGGCTTGGTCTTGCCTGTAAAATTCCACATGTCAGTCCTTTGGTTCACTAAGAAAAATTGCTCATCTCGACAGCCAGCCCGGGAGATATTCAAAACAGTTTGCGCAAGTGCCAAATCAACGCTGAGTTCAATTTCGCCATGTTGCTCCTGCTTTGCTGTGCTGGGATGAAAATCACGTAGATCCCATAGAATTCCACCAGAATGTACCAATCGATGCGCGCAAACTCGGGATTCGGGAAAGGAGAATCTGCAGGCTCAAACATCATGGGAAATTGGCACGGAATTAACCTACCTTGCTTGTTTTCCACCTTAGGGGCCATGGCTGTCGTCCGGCGCTGTCGTGGTGATTGTCGCAGTGTCGAGAGTCGAATTATTTGGAAGGTATTCGCTTAGCGAAAACCCTACGGATACTGTGTGGGTCACCTGACCTTCCCGCTCTCCAGGCCTCTCAAATATCTTGGCGTCCTCTGAAACAGGCTAGACTTAGCCAACCAGGTTATATGTCTCTAGTATCACGTGTGAATCAAGTGGCCCAATTCACTGGTCTGGCCGACTCGCTCCGGCTCGGTTTAATTCTATGTATCATGCTTCGACTCAAGCCCCGGCGTTAAGTGGTCAGGTTCTCCTACGTAGGCATCGCGTTCGCTCGTATCTTGCTGTGGGATTCGAAGTGGAAAAAAAAAGGAAGCACCCAGCCAACCAGCCAACATGATAAACTCAAAAAGACAAAGGCTCAAAAGGCCGACTCTTCTCTCTCGAACTCGCCCACCAACAATCAAGCCAGGCCACGCAAGCCTCTCGTCAAAAGCGACTCGAAACCTCATTCGCTCACATCACAAACTACTCAAAGCACGAACGCAGGCTTTGCAGAGCGGCGATGCAGCCTCAGTGGCTAAAATCGATGCCCAGATCCAAGAAAACGGTGGTTTGGAAAGCTACCAACACGCGAGCAAGCTGGGCCAGTCATCCACTCGCGGTGGTGATTCCAGCAAACTTTTGGTTGACTGGCTAGCCCCCCGACTACAGCCACAGAAAGGCAAACTTTACAAATATCGTGTGCTCGAAGTTGGAGCGCTTAGCACGAAAAACGCCTGTTCCTTGAATCAATCGCTCGAAGTCACCAGGATCGATCTTAATTCACAGGAGGCAGGCATTTTGAAACAAGATTTCATGGAAAGGCCTCTTCCAGAACACGTGGGCGAGCAATTTCATGTTATCAGTCTCTCTCTAGTACTCAATTATGTACCGGATGCACTCGTCAGAGGTGAAATGTTGAAGCGCTGCACATCTTTCCTGGCCAAATCGCCACCATCCGGTCTTTCGCAAGATGCATGCTCTTGCTTGTTTCTCGTTCTGCCAGCCGCCTGCGTCCATAATTCTCGCTACCTCACGGAAGCCCGGCTGTACGATATAATGTCAAGCATGGGGTTTATCCTGTCAAACAGCAAGAAAACTCATAAACTCATCTACCAGCTCTGGGATTATACTGGTGATTTCAACCCCAGAACTTTCACCAAGGAAATGCTGAATCCTGGCAAGGTCAGGAACAATTTCGCTATCATTGTCAAATGACACATCCGTGGTGTAAGGCATTAACGGAGAAGAATGAGGCATTCGGTGTTCGGAGCCTCACAATGCAGCAATGGTTTCCTGCGGCATAAAGGACCAGGCGGTTCCAATGAGCGCTAGTATCGAAGAAATTACTAGCAAAGACCAGTTCAGTAGTCGCTCTCGTGGGCTAATCTCTTTGCCGAATATCTTCAAGTGAAATGCCAGCGGCAGGATAATGCATATTGTGAAGCACAGAGCCGATCCCATTAGCGCCATAATTCTGTCGAATGACGGAAAGACAACTGCCATGCAAACAATAAGGACGATCACCGCTATGCGTATCGCAGCTTTTGAAGCTTCGCGCAACACAGATTTCATCGCTCCATGCTGGATTGATTGTCCTTCCGGACGCGGAACAAGTCCACATAGAACCTCAATGGTAGCCACGAGAGGCCGGCAGCTGCAGCGCGTCAACCGAAAGAACCCCTTCTGAGAGGCGCGAGAGGAGTAATGTAGATATGCTCAACACTTACTTCAAGGGTACCTTAGTAATTGGAATCGTCGCAATAAATACTATCATGCAGATAGATAAGGCACGTGGGAATTCATTTGTCAACAAAATGTTGGCAGTAATCTCATCCCGGACTGTGTCACCAAACATAAGCCAGCCTACAATGGCCATTGCACAATCGAGGGAATACTACAAGGAAACATCGTTGTTAGTTCCAGAAGAGCTTTCACTATTCTCCCCTGCTTTTTAAATCATCGTTAGCTTACCGTAAAGGAATACGTTACCACGAGACTTTTGCCATACTTCTGCGGATGTCTCATATCCCGGTAGATGTTCGGAAACACACCATGGCCGCCCCACGGTGCTATGAATCGTTAGTTGCTCCCATGAATTTTCTTAATCCTCAACATCAGACTTACACATTATAAGGCCGAAGCTGAGAGGAAGAGTTGCCCAATTATCCGGCAGTAGTGAAGTCCGGGCTGGTTGGAGCAGGGAACCTGGCGCTGTTGCTTTCAGCAGCCCATCGATGCATATGATCAGGACAACTGCTCGTGAGATCAGTATGATATGTCATAAGCCTATCAAGGTAGTAGACGTACTAGATGTGCAAGACAGAATGCCAAGAATACTTGTCACACTGAGAAGCCGCAGTGGTAAGAAGTTTAGAGGGATGAGCATGAGCCCACATATAAACTTCCAATGGAGAATGCTCAGGCCAGGTACCAGAGCTTGCAGGCTATCTGCAAAGAGTACAACAAGGGCAACACACGCACCTATGAGCTCCAAGCAGAACAATAGACTCGTGACTAAGCGCGCATGATACCCAAAACTGATATATGCTAGATCAGCGTAAGTGACAAGACTTCGGTCAACATCCAGGCACTTAGCCAAGATTTTCGCTGTATATGCTGTGGTCATTGCTGCGAAAAGTAAGAACGTCAGGCCTATAAGCCAACCCGCTTGTTTCATTGCCAACGGTAGGCTTAAAAGGCCAACGCCGATTAATACGTTTACGGAATTGAAGATAGTTTGCGGAACAGTAGATTGCCCAACCACCACACATTCGCGTGTACCATCGTTGTGTTGGACTTGCTTGACAAGTAGTGACGCCCCTTCAGGTTCCACTGCGGTATCACCACGATTTTGTTGTTCCCTGTGAAGTTGGGCTGCATTCCTTCGCGCTGTTTGACTGATTCGCGAAGAAATTGTACCGTAGGATGTCCCGAGCATGGGCTCACATCTGTCTGGACTCGTGCTCGGGAACCCCGAATAGACCTGTGTAGCAGTACTGCGATTTTCCGCACCCCCATCCGAGCTCAATAAAGGCTGTGTAGAGCTCACCTCAAGGTCGCGCTGATCGTACGACCTGGGAAAACTTGATCTTATAGTATCCCATTCTTCGTCTGCGTCAGCTGTCACGAAGGAGGGGCGACGGGGTAGAACTTCCGGGAAGCATGCGGCTCGCTGCCACGACCGTGCGAAGTTGTCGATGCTATTGACTCCGCCGGCTTGCCGAAAACGCGCGGAGAAGGAGGCCGATCTGGGTTGCTCATTTTAGAGGCTGTTGTTGACCCATAGGAAATGGGGGCCATAGGTTGTTTACCTTGACCTAGGTATAAAATCCTCATCTTCCAAAGAGCTGCTGAAGCTATCGGTCTGGAACGGTGACGTTGAGATTGGCCTGCCCTGGACAATAGGCCAATGGTGGCTCGAATCTACAACCTCATCGTCATCCAACAAAGCGGGTTGTGACATTTTATCCTTGTATGCGAACCAACTTGGTTTCTCGTGCTAGTCAGCAAGGTGATATCAGTGCGCTGTAACAGCTATAGCCGAACTGAAGCGTGAAGGAGGCGTAATAGAATATTGATGGCCGTCCAATCGGGAATAAGGGCGGCGAACAACGATATCGAAGTGATAACTTGAAAGCCAAAGAGGAGGAAGGGCAGGAGGAGAGAGAGAAGGAAAAGTAGAACGGAAGCAGCGCCCACAGACGTCTTGTTTTGGGTGGAGTGACTTAGTCGGGGCCAACTAATTATCAAGACAATACGAGAACAAGGAAGGTGGGAGACCATTCTAGAGTCTGTGTACACAAGCCAGGGTCGTGACCCTTTTATATGCACAATGGCTGAAACTCATATCGAAAGCGACGCAGTCTAAGACTGATAAGCATCAGGCTAGAACCTGTCGCTCAAGCAAGGAAATGGGAAGTCAAATGAATGAGAAATTACTCATTGATTAGAGAGCTACTACCGGGGCTTGGGTGACGGGAGTGGAGAGTGGATTGGACGGACACCGACTACCATGATGATAACAGCAATGCTAGTCCGTTTAGTCCAGAGTGCCTTATCAATAATATTGATCGTTCGAAGCTGGTGGCTATACTAATACGTAAGCCCACAGAGTCATGAGTTGACTAGTTAGTGTGACCGAAAGAGAGCACGACTTGCACACCGCAGGTAATGGATATTCTTGTCCTTGCTCCGTACTTTTTTAAAGATTCCAATTGAGTAATGAGGTACAGTACCTGGTCCCTCGGGGCCTCTCCCATGGAATCGACTTGTGCCGGTTCAATTTATCATTCAGACACTCCAACTTCTTTGGCCCAGTGGAGGGACTACTGCTGCTGCCACTTGAACTACCACTACTACTACTGCATGGTCTTTGTTTTTTGTTTTTGATTGCTTTCGCCTCAATCCATGCAAATCTAGTACTTGGTGTACAGAACCTACACATACACAGAGTAGATACCTAGGCCTTGCACCTATTTTTACCATGCTAGCTGTGTGTGCCCCACTAAGTTTGTGCAATGTACTGTACTGTACTATATGGCTCACGTCAACCCCTCTTTAGACATTCCTCAAATTTCTGCAAATTCACAAGCTCCAGAGGTTAGCATGAGGTGTCAACACTCTCTCAGTTAAGTTCAAATTGCAAAAGATTGTCCTTGTCGCACTATCAAGGGTGAAATACGATGCAGTGCCTAGCATGTCGAGCCTGACTATAAAAATTAGGAGCTACTGTACTGTTATGTCCAATACGTACATATACTGTACATACATGCAAGCATGTATGTATATAGCTACTCATAACTACCCTACTCCGTAGTGTGGGAAGTAGACGCTTATGTCATCACCAACAGGCGACTTGCCGACCCATTTCAATCCATTCCCGCCCCCTCCACGGTGCCTGATGAAATTTGCTTAACACCCCGCTGGACTCGGAAGGCACATAGACCAGCTCTAGAGGTACGTATGCGCTTTTCCACCCCTCCCATCCTTTCGCCCGTCCGCTGAAACCTCACACCTCCGGGATTTGGCTTCTCGCAACCTCCTTTTTCTACATTTTATTTATTCTGTCCCTGTCTTATTCCCGCGATCATCTTCGCTGATAGCACAATCAGCATTTTGCCAGCCTTGCCTCAACCTTTTCCTGGTCGTCTATCACTGTCGCCTCGCCAACATGAGTGCGGCTCAGCCGAACGAAGCGGAGAAGAACATTGAGATATGGAAGGTCAAGAAACTCATCAAGCGCCTGGAGATGGCCCGAGGGAATGGAACCTCGATGATCTCTCTGATTATTCGTATGTCCTCCATTTTGGAATACATGACCGTCGTTGCCATACTAACTCCAAGCCGCTCGCAGCCCCGAAGGATCAGATATCTAGAGCCGCGAAGATGTTGGCCGAAGAATTTGTGAGAGGAGAACTTCGTAGGCCACTTGATATGGTGTAGTGCTAATGCGGTACGTCTTGCAGGGCACTGCTTCAAACATCAAATCCCGCGTCAATCGACTTTCTGTCCTTTCCGCCATTACGTCCACTCAGCAGCGTCTTAAGCTGTACAACAAAGTTCCCCCCAATGGCTTGGTCGTCTACTGCGGTGAAATCATCACATCTGAGGGCAAGGAGCGCAAAATCAACATTGACTTTGAGCCTTTCAAACCAATCAATACTTCGCTTTATCTCTGTGACAACAAGTTCCACACGGAAGCGCTCAGTGAGCTGTTGGAATCGGATCAGAAGTTCGGCTTCATTGTCATGGATGGAAACGGCGCGCTTTTTGGCACACTCAGCGGCAATACCCGAGAAATCCTCCAGAAGCTGAGCGTCGACCTGCCAAAGAAGCACGGCCGTGGTGGTCAGTCAGCCTTGCGTTTCGCTCGTCTTCGTGAGGAGAAGCGTCATAATTATGTGCGCAAGATCGCCGAGTTGGCCGTGCAGAACTATATCACCAACGACAAGGTCAATGTCGCTGGCTTGATCTTGGCTGGTTCGGCTGACTTCAAGAACGATCTGAATCAATCTGATATGTTCGACCAGCGATTACAAGCCAAGGTCATCAAAGTTGTGGACGTTTCTTACGGTGGTGAGAACGGCTTCAACCAGGCTATCGAACTCGCCGCAGAGACTTTGAGCAACGTCAAATTTGTCCAGGAAAAGAAGCTTATTGGAAAGTACTTCGAGGAAATCAGTCAGGACACCGGGAAGGTCTGCTATGGTATCGATGACACTCTTAAAGCCTTGGAACTTGGCGCAGCGGAAACCCTTATTGTTTTTGAGAATCTTGATATTACTCGATGGGTCCTCAAAAGCTCTAGCGGCTCGGACGTTGTTATCCATACCTCCAAGGCCCAGGAAGCCAATCGTGAGATGTTCATTGATAAGGAGACCGGAACTGAGATGGAAGTCAGTGAGCAAACTTCATTCCTTGAATGGCTCGCGGAAAATTACAAGGACTTCGGCGCAGCGCTCGAGTTCGTCTCCGATAAATCAACTGAAGGAAATCAATTCGTGAAGGGTTTCGGTGGAATCGGCGCGATGCTTCGTTACAAGGTCAACTTCGAACAACTTGCTGACTTCGAAGATGAGGATGAATTCTACGACGGTTTGTGTGCTACGCCTGTTACTCGGTTCACGTTACTAATGCCTTCCCACTACAGATTGACGGTTTCGCAGCCTCGCAGAGAGCGAGGATGCACGCCCAGAAGCTCTCAAACCTGATCTTCTGACGGCTCGCCCCGTGATTCGTGAAGGCGGCTCCCACGGCAACCCCATGGCTCTAGTAGCATTCACCATGACATTGCCTGTGCAAGTATCTTGAAGCTGCCCATAGGTATGTTTCGTCATATACTCAACATAAATAGTCTTTAACAATTCGATCTTCAGCAGGGCCATCCAAGCTCCGCATTATGATAACCCATGTTAATCGGGCAGTCTTCGATGCCGCCAGACCTGACCACTGGAAAACAATGATAGGCTGTCCTATCGCCTCTGGCGATGCTCACCGATGACTGCCGAGCTTATAACTGATGGGCTTGTGCGTTTAGACTGTTGCTTTCCATGTATCGGAGTTGCTCTCATTTATACTTATATTCTACTTTCTTTCACTCTACTATCTCGTGAACCCTGCATTCTCCACAAACCTAGGAATCAAGCTATTGTCCTACCGCCTGGCACGTCCTTCAAACACGTGTAGATGTGATTCGGCTGGACAAATATCATTGCAAAATAAGGTCTCCACCAGTATAAGCATACTGCAAAGATGTTACTAAGCTGGGCCGACTTGGAAAGACAAACCTCAATATCTTACCTATACTGCTTCATCTTCGAAGCTTGGTCCAAGCTGGTCTGTCCAGGTGCCCAGGTATCGGCAGTATTCGGTGACCTGTTTCAGTCCATGTAGAATTCCTGAGACTGCGTCTGCGTTCAGACTGGTAGGGGTCAAGTGTCCTTCAACCAGGAACATATACTTCCATGCCTTGACCTGGCTAGGTCGTGAATTGATGCTTGTCAAGTTCATGCCATGGGTCTTGAATATCAGGAGAGCATCTGCCAAGGCGCCTGCGCGGTCCTGGGGCACCATAAATGAAATTAATGTCTTCTTCTGCGCCGTTCCACCAGGCGTCACAGAGGCCTTGATATGTTTGAAATCCACAGCAGCCGGGCGATCGGCCTGTGCATTCACAAGGACCAGAAAGCGCGTGGTGTTGTTCGCATTATCCTCGATATTTTCTGCAAGAATATTGAGACCATGATGTTCTGCGGCAAAGCGACTCGCTATCGCAGCAGTCCGCTCACTTCTCTCTTTGGAGACAATTTCCGCCCCTTTAGAAGTGGACGACACATCCTGTCGTTCGACACCTTTAAGATTCTTCTCAAGGAAGACATCGCACTGACCCCAAGCCTGCGGGTGGGTGTACAGTCTGCTGATAGACTTATAGTCCTGCTGGTCTGGAAGAAAGTCACTTTTGCGAGTCAACAGACAGTGATGAATGGTCAAATAATGCTCCCCGCACACTTTCACATTGCCATAAAGACCATTGGGATCTGCTAGAAGGTCTAGCGTCTGAACGACAGATCCATTAGTAGAGTTTTCGCAGGGGATGATGGCGTAGTCTGCTTTCTCTTCCTGCACCGCGGCAAAGGCATCGGCGAACGACACGCAGGGTAGCAAATCGGCCGAGGATCCAAAGGTCTCAACAGCAGCCTAAAGTATCCGATACTTTAGAATAGCACTTGAATGGGGAATGGGGTGATAGCTGGTGCTTCTGACCTGATGGGAGAAGGAGGCTATAGGGCCCAGGAACGTGACTCTGATAGGCTGCTCCATTGCTCCGATTACTGTGCTTTGAGTTGTATGATTTGGGACCTTCTGCCAAGCAGCGCTGGACTTCTGCAGCGGCGGCTGACATAACATGTCTAAGTTAGTTAACTCCGTGACTGACTGAGCTCGACTCGACTATCCATTAGATCGACAAGCCCTCCGCCCTCTTGAAAACATTTTTCTTCCGTTTCCTCTCCAATCTACCCACGCATGCTGAGTCTGGTGTCGCCCTCGATGAGGAGGCACCTCCTCCGCTTCGGAAAGCAAGGACCGCCCCCGGCAACTTGTCGACAGCACTCCTTATTGAGCGAGCGTCTGCATCGGAAACTGACTGCCCATTCATTGCCCCTCACGTTTGATTATATTTACCCTCAGCAATCTTTCCTCCTGGATCGGACATTGGTCGATCTCCTTCCCCCGTCAGGCGCACTGTCGGAAGCTTTCCCTTCCATCAGAAGCCCATCCCGCCTGCCTCCCGGCCATCACCTTGTCTATTTCCCTCCCCAGGTCTCTTTGTCCCAGCTATTGCCGGATGGCACGGACTTCCTGCATTCTCCAGGATATCCTTTTACCAGGCGATTATGGGCTGGTGGTAGTGTCCGGTTCGCAGCCACGGGTAGTTTACTCCTCGATGGCTGCCGGGCTGTTTGCGTCGAAACAATTCGGGATGTTCTTGTGAGAGGTCAACCCGGTGAGGAGAAAGTGATTGTCAGGATAGAAAGACGAATTGGCACAGTTCGGGAGGGAGAAAATCCTAGCCAGATTCGCGATCGAATCTGGAAGGTGGAGGAGGCTGACCTAGGCCATTCTTCCATAATTGAGCATCGGCACTTGATCTTCATGCGTGATAAGACGCCAGAGCAGCTTACCGATGATAGAGCCAATTTTAAAAAACTCTCCAGAACCATTAAATGTGCGCGAGGAACCGAAAATGCGCCAATGCCTTTCCCTTGCTGACAGTATTTCTCGTGGCCCGAAGCCCCTACAGGTTCTCACTTCCGCCATTCCCTGACACCAACTCGAGCACTGCTTTTTCGTTTTTCGGCGCTCACTTTCAACGCCCACTCGATACATCTCGATCAGGCGTACACCCAGGATACAGAGGGCTACAAGGATTTGCTTGTTCATGGGCCTTTGACATTAATGTTACTTCTCTCAGTTGCCCAGGTTCATATGTGTAACCTGGGTTTCGCGATCAGGGAAATCAATTACAAGAATCTTGCTCCTCTTTTTGTTGGAGAGGAACTGACTATTTGTGGCAAACCCAAGGCAGGGAGGCATGACGTCTGGGACGTGTGGATTGAGGACAGAGACGGAGGACTTGCTGTACGGGGCACTGTTCAAGGCGGTCCTTTGTAGCTGGTGTGGTGCCATCTTCATCTGCTCTAGCTGTCTCACCTTATCATTGCTTGTCCAGACATTCATGAAGTAACTAATGTATCCTGAGGCAGAAGCCGGATAGGCCAGCTTTGATTCTGACCATAGCAGGCTTACTGAGGCAATTCCTGGTCGCTCTCGGTCGACCGTCAGATGTGGAAGATCAGGTCTGGTCTTGTTTGGCTAGTATCCAATCCTTTTTGGGTTTCAGGTACCACCACCAACTTCAAAGTGGCCCTCCCTCAACTAGATATTCAGAGAACCTGTTCTGTAGGGATTTTCATAATCGGACTCATGGATTGAAGCCGGAGATCGTGCCTTGGGGGAGTGTAACAGAACATTTGGGATCTATGAGTATATACCTTCATCAGGGCACCTCTTCAATGGCTCGAGGGAAATGACGGTGAAATGTCTTCTTTATACATATCAAAGACAATTTCTGGGCCTTAGCATGCATTGAGACCTGGACAACGCTGCCAACGCAGGCATTACATCACAATAAAGCGCCCCTTGTGACTTTTCGAAGTGTAATCGGTGGCAACCTCGGATATATATCCTAATGATTTCCATGCTGCGCTTGAGAGATTTCTTCCTTAGTACTTCTGAAAATACAACATGCTCTGGTCGAACTTCTACTCAGCCTTAATCGTGCACTTGATGTTATCTCTGACCTGACGTCGGGCTACTTGCTAGTTCAAGAATTATACAAATTAAAACACAGTAAGTTACTACGTAACATCATATAGTTACAGTAACACAATACTCCGACATATTACATAAGAGTAATAATGATTGACACTGGCTGCTTTTCCTAAACCACCGGCTTTAAACACTTTTCAATAAGGCATATGTGTTTGTCTATATCCAAAAATACATATATACCTGTGAATATTACCTAATCTTGTATAGACATTGTTATCTCTAAGAACAAAATAAAAGAAGACATTCTAAGAAAAGATCCTAATAACAACATCTTTGGCCAGTGGCCAGTGGCCACTGAAGGGAGAAAAAAATCCTAAAATGACCCTGAGCACAACATGTTTCCTGATGTAGCTATTAGTGGTTCTAATACAAACCAAATGGAGCAGGCTGCCCCGGTCTTAATAACAATATATTGTAACTTATATCTCTTCTCTTCTTCTCTTTTCTCTTCCATGTGTAGGCAATGGGATTTGTACCGTACAGCTTACAATCTTGCCGCCTGCTTTTTGAGGCCGTTCTGCCGCCCTCCGCTACCTACTGATCTCGTTTACCGGAACGGAAAATTACTTACCGAGCCGAAGCTAACAAGTTCCACACAATACTTTCCTCTTCATTTGAGCTACCTATAAGAACCCCCTTCTGAACCTATTTGCGGCCTTCTTCCTTCCCTATCTAAAAGTTGGTGCAGTGTCAAGCGAAAGACATTCTCATGTGAATGTTAAACTTAGCGCCTCACAAAACACAAAGGAATATTTGCGGCTGTCTAATCCCTGATTGACTGACTACATTATGGATCAATTTTGGTCTGCACCCCCTGTCATTAGGTATGTCCCAATTGAAACTGTGCTTTATTCTTGCCTGGATAGGGACTAATAGTGCGACCAGGACTCTTTCTGCACTTACCTTTGCACAGTCTGCTTTGATATATGGTGGATTATGGAATGGCTATTATTGCCTGTTCGATTCCCGCCTTGTATTCAAATTTGTCCCAGAGATTTGGAGACTCTTCACCCCATTTATGGTCACGCGACCACGCCTTTCCCTATTCCTGGATGTTTACTTCAGTACGGTGCCATCTCGGATTGGACTCAAAGGCGTACTAATGTGCCGGTAGTGTACACTTACGGCAGCTCCTTGGAAACTGGATCGCCTAGGTTGTCCGGTCCAGGTGACTTCTTCGTGTATACGATCTTTGTAGCCTTGGTCATAATGGTAAGTCAAGGGCGTCAGTTGTTTTTGTCAACATGGCTTGTCCACTCGTTGCCCACTGGATTTTCTGGACCTTCCAAACCACTCTGCCCTATCCCAATCTTCACCCCTCACAAAACAAAACCAAACCTCGCATATCTGCCCGCCCAGCGCATTCTAGCTGAAGCGGTTCCTGGAAACGAGGAAGATCACTCCTGCATCCGTATAGTGCCTACCTCATCGATCCTTTCAGGGCTATATTTGTTGCAGGTATAGTGGGACGACCAGTGAGATAGCTAGCGTGATGCAATGGTTTACGCTGGTGGTTATGGTGCCCTACATTCCGCAATATACCTTATTCAATTTTGTCTACCAGATTTCATTCCTTCGTTCCGCTTCATGTAGCCTCCCCAATTATCCTCTTGTACTAACAAGCCCTAGCTCACTGCAGGCTGTTTGTTGGGAAGTGTAACTTTTACCTCTGGTGAGCCCGTTGTAGCACCGAGCATGCGTGTATCTACTGATCATACTTCTAGCTCTGATCATGGCCTTCGTCTATACCTTTTCCCAGGAAAATCATGGCAGAAAGGCGACATTCTTTGTGGTCCAGATACCTGTGGAATTTCTGCCTTGGTCGATGCTTGCATTCACCTTGGTCACTATTGGATGGCCAGCCGTTCTAAGCGATGGTATGGGCATAGTCGCTGCGCATCTGTATGATTTCCTTACGCGTATTTATCCGGAACTCGGAGGTGGACAAAATTACCTTGTCACACCGGCACTCATCAGAGAATTCTTTTCCGATCTCACGCCCCGTGGCGATAACCGTGCCTATGGTACTGCCTTTCGGTCAGCGGATCAGACCCAAGCCGCCGCTTCTGGAAGCTGGACTTCCGCGTTCCGGGGGCCATGGAATCGAAGAGGTCCGGGCAGACGACTTGGAGGTGACTGAGACGAGGTCATACCTACGTTGGTGCAAGGAGGAGCACAGAAGGGAATATGCAGCAACGGTATGCTAGCAGCAGGATTTAAGTGCAGCCTCAAATACAAGCCGCCGTTCACAAAGGCTTCGCAGTTACTGCGGCTGGGAGTCCTGAAGAGAGAAAAACGCGCTCTTCAAGCAGGTTTGACGGCCAAGTGACAAATGATCGCTAGCATTTTATTATTCTTTAGTGTGAGGATTAGCAGTAGGGAGCGTACTGTACAGGGATAAGATTATCTTCTGAACGTAACAAGGTTAATATTAATTTTCAACATCAAAGAAATTCTACCTACGGTCTTCATATTGTATCATGAAGAAAAGTCTAGGTCACGGGACATCGAGCCGGAGGGCGAAATTTTTGCGCTAACGGTATTGGTCGCTCCAGCTTTTGCCGCACTTCTAAAATTTCCCAGACTTTCTTCCTCGCTAGTGCCAGAGCAAAACCTTAGCTCGGGAAGTGCAATTTTTCCTGCGCCATCTTCTCAACGCGCGCACTTACTTGGCTATCTCAACACCCTTCAGGCCAGACTGTTCACAATGGCGGTTACAGTGGCTAAGGACGAGATGGACTACACGATTAAGCCAGAGGCTAGTGCCTCCAACATCGATACCTCGGAGTGGCCGCTTCTACTGAAGAATTATGACAAGCGTACGTTCACTTCAATCTTGTGAATATCCAGTCCTATGTAGCCCGTGCTGATTTTGCCATGTCAGTTCTTGTCAGAACCGGTCACTTCACCCCGATTCCCGCGGGCTGCTCTCCTCTCAAGCGTGACCTAAAGTCGTACATCAATTCCGGTGTCATCAACCTCGACAAGCCTTCCAATCCTTCTAGTCACGAGGTTGTTGCTTGGATGAAGCGGATCTTAAGGTATTACTACTCGCGTTGCATGACTAGCCGATTCCAAGATACTGAGACTTTCTTATAACAAAGAGCGGAGAAAACTGGCCACAGCGGAACTCTCGATCCTAAGGTCACCGGTTGCTTGATCGTCTGTATTGACCGTGCCACTCGCTTGGTTAAGTCCCAGCAAGGTGCAGGAAAGGAATATGTCTGTGTAATTCGTCTTCACGATAAAATCCCTGGTGGCGAGGCCCAGTTCAAGAGGGCACTGGAGACGTTGACTGGCGCACTTTTCCAGCGCCCGCCTTTGATCTCTGCTGTCAAGCGTCAACTCCGCATTCGAACAATCCATGAGAGCAAGCTTTATGAGTTCGACAACGATAGACACCTCGGTGTCTTTTGGGTCAGCTGTGAGGCTGGAACATACATCCGGACCCTCTGTGTCCACCTCGGTCTCCTTCTTGGAGTTGGGGCACACATGCAGGAGCTACGACGTGTGCGCAGTGGTGCCATGGATGAGAACAGCGGTATGGTGACTTTGCACGATGTCCTGGATGCGCAGTGGATGTATGACAACCAGCGCGATGAGTCTTATCTGCGCAGGGTTATCAGACCTCTAGAGACTCTTCTCACGACATACAAGCGTATCGTTGTCAAAGACAGTGCCGTCAATGCTGTCTGCTATGGCGCCAAGCTCATGATTCCTGGTCTTCTTCGCTTTGGTAAGTGGAGCCTAACGCAACCACGAGTGAAGTAGTGGCTAATGTCCGCAAAGAGGCCGGCATCGATGTCAACGAAGAGGTGGTACTCATGACCACCAAGGGTGAGGCCATCGCTATCGGTATTGCTCAGATGTCTACTGTTGAGTTGTCTACCTGCGATCACGGTGTCGTGGCCAAGGTCAAGCGGTGCATCATGGAGCGGGATCTTTACCCTCGCAGATGGGGTCTGGGACCTGTGGCTCTGGAAAAGAAGAAGCTCAAGTCAGCTGGAAAGCTGGACGTAAGTCTACGAACCCCAATTCACTAATTTCTTGACTGTTCTGACTTGGCATATAGAAATACGGCCGTACCAACGAGGCTACCCCCGCCAAGTGGAAGAGCGACTATAAAGACTATAGTGCCCCCGAGGAAACCGACACTCAGCCTGCCACCGAGTCCGCTACAAACGAGAATGCGGCTCCTACCGAAGAGCCATCATCACCTCAGACAAAGATGGAGGTTGATGAAGACAATGACGAAGAGAAGAAGCGCAAACGGCATGAGGGTGAGACTGCTGAGGAACGCGCCGAACGTAAGCGTAAGAAGAAGGAGAAGAAGGAGAAGAAGGAGCGGAGAAAGTCCAAGTCGAAGGAAGAGAGTGATGACAGTGACTAGTAACCTCCGGGAATTACATGGGCCTGACTTGGGAGCAAAAGTGTTCCGGATGAGAATTCCCTTCTGTTTGGAGCCTTGCCTGGGCAGGAATCCTGTAACATACTTGTTTCTTTGTATCGGAGTCCTGGGTTTGAAAAGGTTATCAATCATCAAATATATGTTTATTTGTCTTAGTCATAAGTTCTGGGATTTCTTTCAGTTATAGCATTACATTGAAGAACTTCGTCTTAGTTATGCCGACTTGGTTTTGCGTAAGGGTATCGTGACTTGGGCGGTGCCACCTCTCCGCCTTTCCCCACGGCCGCCCCTCCCATACCACTTTGAGGACTTTCTCTATCACTCACTCCTAATGTCTTCGACCCCCTTTGATTACCTACTCCTCCTCCTTCCCCCTTCTTCTTCTTCTTGTTCTTCTTCTTCTTCTTCTTCTTCTTCTTCTTCCTCCTCCTCTTCTTCCCGGGGACCAAAAACTAGCCAGGTTCTATCACACGAGTCTGAAGTAGCAAAAACTTCCTCTGTCTTTGGTGCGACCTCTGCGACGTCATGGCGGCGGAGCTTACCTCAACCCGACTCAATGCGGAGAATCATTTGCTCTTGGTAACTAACAGTCGTCTACAATTCGCCGGCGCCGTCTTGGTTTTAACATTCTTACTATTCCACAGGATCAATCGCTCCTTCGTCTTCCCCATGAACTTGCACGTCGGAACTTCAAGTCTTTTCAACGGCTCGTTGAACGGGAGAGGGAACTTGCTCTTCCCGGACTCAAAGAGACTGCTAATGCCTCCATGTCGAATTCCCGAGCGCCCGACCAAGCCATCGCTGCCCTCGATGCTATGATAACCCGGATGCAAGGAATGAAGCGTAAAATGGAGATTCTGCACCAAGAAGAGAAAAACATCCATGAACAGTCCAGGAAACGCATCCAGCACCTTGAAAGTCTTCAGCAAATCCCAAGTTTGGCAGACGTCAAGTACGACCAGTGGTCACGAGTCAGGTTAAATAGGCTCATTGTCGATCATATGCTGCGCTCTGGATATTTAGAAAGTGCACGTCAGCTAGCTCATGAGAAGGGAATTGAGGATCTAGTGGATCTTAACGTGTTTGTGCAGTGTCAACGTATTGCTGATAGCCTGCGTCATGGTGAGACAAAAGACGCTCTCCAATGGTGTGGTGAAAACAAGGCGGCATTGAAGAAGAGCCAGGTTTGTGGAAATGTCTCAGTTACACTCTTGCGCTCGTATGGCTCGAATGGTTAACATCAAATCACAGTACAATCTCGAATTTGAACTCCGATTGCAACAATACATTGAATTGATCAGGAGTGGGAACAGGAAAAAATATGTTGATGCAATGATGCACGCTAAGAAGTATCTCGCCCCGTATATAGAGACACAATCCGCCGACATACACAGGGCCGCAGGACTACTTGCTTTCCCACAAGATACTAAAGCTGAACCTTATAAGGTGAAGAAAGAGCTCGTTATCAGCGAAACACGGTCGCTCAACTAACAAACGTGAAGTCTTTATACTCTCTTGAGAGATGGAACCGTCTCTCCGAGCTATTCATTCGCACTCATCATGAGCTATTGTCATTATCATCCCGCCCTCTACTTCATATCGCACTATCAGCAGGGTTATCAGCTTTAAAGACGCCCTCGTGTCACTCAGCCTACACCTCTTCAAGTTCCAATTCTCTCTCTACCACAACATCCGTCTGCCCCATTTGCTCTACCGAGCTCAACGAACTTGCCCGCAATATGCCTTATGCTCACCATACGAAGAGCTACGTCGAAAGCGATCCGATAGTTCTACCCAACGGCAGAATTTATGGCCAGCAGCGGCTGATAGAGTTGAGCAAGAATGTCGGTTGTGTTGACTCCGGAAAGGTCAAAGATCCAACCACCGGCGAAATTTATGATGAAAGTGAAATGAAGAAAGTATACATCATGTGAAGACATCGATGCTCGATGCTGGGTTCTTCAGATGATCGAAGCTCTTCCTGACATTTCCGTGTGGTCTCCTCGACTCAATTTATTCATATACATATCTAGGTTTAGTAATAGGATTTAGTTGTGTTCTTAATCACTGTCACTATCAGAAGCTTCTCTCGTTCGTTTCTTCCTCGTGCCATGATTAGCTTTGGTCGATAGTGCATTCTTCCCAGGCACTGGTTGGTCATCTCGCCTAAGCTCGAATACATATGTCCTTGCATCCCTATCCTCACCTCGCCATCCGCCTCTGCCTCCACATTTCCCCTCGATCTCGCCCAGTGTCCGTGCATGCGAATAGTCTTGATAGCAAGCCCACGGAAATTTGAAGCTCGTGACCACTCGCAGGCCAGCATGCCGCGCAAGATCCTTGATGTTCCAGAGGGTATAGGGTTCCCCCTCGAATATGGTCACCAGAATTCGACCCGGACCAGACGTATGCTGGCCTTCAGCCTGGCCGGCGGCCGTTATTGAACGTAATGGCTTATCGTTTTCGGCGACATCGTCGTCATCATCCTGGCTGGTCTCCGAATCTGAAGGTTCATAGTCCTCCCACTCATAACTTTCATCGTCCTCCGCCGGCCCTTGACTGAGCGATAACAATGGGATGCAGGCCTTGAAGAAAGCTACCAAGAGTTCTTGGTTGGCACGAACCTGTCGATTTACATCGGTGGAGAGACCGCCGACATGGGGAAAATTGAAGGAGATGATATCCCATTGCCCACCATCCGGGGCGGAAGCGAGAGCTACATTTCTCGCTTGTTGCCATGCCGGACGCCGCCGCTCTCTTCTAGACCAGCCGATGCGAACGTCCTTGCCGCCACCCGCAGGAAGACCCAGTTTCCGAGCATCGACGGAGAACAGAACCTTGGGAAGCTGACGTTTTGGACCTAGCGATGGGTTCTTGTCTTCACTTGAGCTTGCTTTTGAGCTTGCTGAACTGCTGAATGTCGCCAGAATGTCACGGATGTTGAGCTCCACCTGGGGGTATTTGCGCTGAAGAGTCTCCTTGGAGTCATAGCAAGTAGCCAGGACATTCTTGCAGCGATACTGACGGATCAGGGAGCGGGCAAAGGAAAAGTCACCTTCCCCGACCAACAATATGCGATCTTTCTTCCCAAAAGGCACGATGGGTCGCCGATGCTGTTTTGGCGGTTGCGAGGTGACCGCTCCTGTTTTAGTCTTTGAATCCTTCCCTTCATGCTTAATGGCTGCGGGGGGACCGAGAGTCGTGGTGGTGGTGGTGGTGGTGGATAGTCGAGAAAACATGTGCATTTTCCGGTGCTTTTTGTGCAGATGGGCTGCTGCCCCCGCAGCAACACCGGGGCCTTTCTGAGGGCGGCCCTTCTTGGCTTTGCCCATTGATGATCCAAACCACTAGAAAAGAGAGAGAAAAAAAAAGAAAGAAAAACGAAAGGGAAGTCGATGGGGGCAGAGAGAAAGAGAGAGCTAGCCACTGAATGTAAAGCAGAGCAATAGGTGAAGTCGGGAGGTGGTTGACTATGAGGAAATTGGGTATTTTATGGCCTGTTTCTGTTTGTTTCTTTGTTCTCTCACTCTCTGGGAAATGTTAAGCCGCACTGGTACAACGGGTATGCAATCGTGTATTTTCGGTATAGCTACCACCGCGTAAGTTTGACTGAGAAGTAACTAACTCAAGCAGAGAAGAGCATGACATGCAAGACTCAGACTGCCTTTTTCCTCAAAAGATACATTCTACATCAAGTACAAAACAGACGAAACAGAAAATTTACCAGTATCTATGACTTTATTAAAATGTGATATCCGAATTCCATATATACAGACTCAAGACACTAAGACACATTGGCTCATTCATCTTTCCTTACCCCTCCATGCTGCCTTCGCTCCCATGTTGACTTCGGCATTAACCAGTCTTAAATCAGAAGACACGCTTTCAGCCATGCCCCACACGAATGGAGGAAGAAACGGAGACACCGCACACTATTAAAAATGATATCGCACCTCCTACGCATCCTTTAGGTGAAAATGTAAATGCTGGCGATGCTGACCAAAGTCGAAGAAACTTATGCAGCATAGAAATGAGCTCGAAGTGACTGAGCCAAGACGAAAAGGTGCCTTGAAGATGTAAAACGCAAAAACGAGCATTGAGGGCCTCTTGCAGCTGTTGAATTAGCACGATTTCCTTGTTTCACTCGGTCTAGTGGTTTGTGCACGCTGCACCGTTGAAGTATTACACAAGCAGAGCACCGATCTCGGTAATCAGCTTGGCAATTCCATCCTAGAGCAGACCGTTTGTGCTAAGAAGCGTAACTCTATTTAGGACCGCAATGAATCTCTCATGCTCTGACTGCTGGCGCTCACGGGAGGATTAGCGGTGGGCAAAACGCCCGTTTTGGGCTTGGCATTTTGCTTGATTTTGGCAATGGCATAGACAATACCACTGACGAAACCCACGACAATAGCTGAAACACTGGGAAAGGTAACTGGTGCATCGAAGAAGATCAATCCAGAAACCGCAATGGGCAGCTTGTTGAGAGCGCCGACCATGGAGTACGTCGTGGAGGAGGTCACACGAACGCACCATGCGGATGTGTATGAAATGAAGACCGAAGACAAGCCCGAGAGGATCATAGCGAAGATGATACTGTTACGGTCGACAGGGGGAAAATTGCGGTTGACGTTCGTAGATGACCAATCCTCTAGCAAGCCGGAAAGTACGATCAAGACAGGAATGGAGAGAAGGTTGTTATAGAACATGGCTGGAAAGGTACGTCAGAAACAGGGCGGATGCGCAACCATGATCGGAGGGGAAACAACTCACTATCGAAGTCTTTGAAGTTCGTGAGCTTGATCCGTTTGCGCATGCCCAGTACGTAGGAGGAAGTGCAGAGGCAGTTGAACAGCATCCAGATGTAGCCGGCATTCAATGTCGAAACCTTAGCGGTCGCGTCGGAGCTGCTTTCGACAGCGTGTTTGATGTCTGCCCACGCAGCAATGATGGAGCTCAGAACCATCAGACCGAAAGAAAACAGCGTAAGCCCGGTGACAGAGCCACCGAACCATAGTACTTCACCATAGGCGATAAGGATGATAGTCAAATTCTTGAAAATGGTGTATACTGGGATTGAAAGGAACTGGAGCGCCTTAGAGCCCGTGTAGATCATGCCAATCAACAATAGGGTAATTGGGAACCCTAGGTATGATCGAGATCCAGTCAGCATCTGTTTCAGCGAGTAGGGCTGCCTTTGGAACTACATACACTTTCTGGCCTCGTCCGCGCTGAAGTCACGGTAAGTGATTATACCACAGGCTTTACACGTCTGAATTGCGACGATACAAACGACGGACTGGAGACATAGAAATGCAACTGCGGTCAGCATCTTCTTCGTACACGCCGCTACGCGCGATTTTGAGTCTCGGGTGCTCAATGCTGCATCGACATACCTGAATACAGAGGAGGAAGAAATTGAGATTGAAGTCCGTGCCGGAGAGGACGTATTTATTCATCACTGTCATCAGGATGGACGATCCACAGTAAGCTAATACTGGCAGGATTGGATTATTTTGCAGAGAGCTGGATGGGGCGCCCCTTGGCTGAGGCGGCGGCGGCGGCGCCTCGAAACCATTGTTGCCTTGATCCAATTTGTCCATCTCAATCGTATAGTCGTCTGTCCTCTTTCCTTCGGCCATTTTCTTGACTTGAGACGATGGGTATTGGCGAGAGCGCAATTAGAAAGAGGATGCTCAGGTGGGATTCAGATAGTCGCAGTTGGCGGAGTGAGCGACAACGTGTCGAGAGGAGTTGTTTCAAGGAACAAAAAGTCCTTATAACAACCTTGAGACCAGAGATAGAGGCAAGTCCCTCAGGGAAATGGTTCTAAACGGGGGAGTAAGAGCAGGCGCAAAAGTAATGATAAGAAAGAGAAGGGAAAGGGGTGGAGGGGGGGGGGAATAAGAGTGGTAATTAGTGGTAGGAAGATGGAAGGAATTTGATAAAGGCTGCAGGGTGAAGGAGGAAGAATCGGGGAGTGTTGTTCCAGCAGAACTCTTGGCTGGCTGGCTGCAGGTGGCAGAGGCCGATCTCTGGTTCCGGATGCGGCAATCTTAATTGGTAGTGACTGTAATACAACAAGCATACAATACGATTATACTTCAAATACAAATACAGTACAGTACTCCACACGGACAATACACAGACAAACACAGACAAACACCGACAAACACCGACAATCTTCCCTTCTTCAATTCGCTTCCTCTCTTCGCTGAACACCTCCACGGCATTCCAGTTACCTTTCGCCTTTCCCTTTTATTCCGACTTCCACAAAGGATACCAATTACATACGCAGATTCGCCAACCTTCCTCCAAAACGCTCATCTCCATGGCTCAAGATCTTACCAGGGACCGGGATGAATCCGATGACGAAGCCCTTCTTGAAGCTTTGGAGAACGAAGACGATTCATCGTACCGCGCGCATCGAATCGAACAGCTCAACGCTGAGTTTACCGCCGCCCAGAACGATGCGGCCCGCCGCACCGCTGCTCCTATTGGAACAATCGGAACAATCGTTGAGGATAGCCTCTATCCCATCCTAAGAACCGATCAAATACTTCTGGATTTCACAACACAAACCCACCGATGTGTTATTCACTTCGCACACCCAGATTTCGCGCGTTGCACCACCATGGACGAGCACATCCGGGCGTTGGCTTCTCAGCACCACGAAGTACGCTTTGCGCGGGTTGACGTGCGGGACACCACATTTGTGGTAGAAAAGCTCAAGATTCGTGTCCTTCCCTGTGTCATCGGTTTCAAAGATGGGGTCGCGGTCGAACGTGTGGTGGGATTCGAGGGCCTTGGATCAGGTGGGCGCGATGGGACAGACGCGTTCAGCACGGCAACGCTAGAGAAACGGCTTCTTTGGAAAGGAATTCTCACCCAAGAGAAAATAAAGGCCACGGATGACACATCAGACCAGTCTGATGAAGACAGCGACAACGGCAACAGTCGGCGAGGGTATGGAAGGCAACGGCCCATCCGGAGCGGTAACGTACATCAACGCCGCCTTGCTGGCGGCGAGGATGATGATGATGATTGGGATTAGCATTGAATTCGCTACAAATATAGGGCCTGGGCGTAATGATCAACGCATGATGACCATGAGTTGAACGAAACGAAGCCTTTCCGACCCCAGGAAGCATCATGATGGAAGTAATGGGCCCTTGCATGGTTACCGGATTTGAGTATACCGAACCATGCACTGTGGTGCTGGGACGCCTGTGACTCTGAGTATATGGTGAACAGTCGCAAGTTTCTGCGTCACGCACTAAGCCATAGGGCCTTCTATTTTCGCATGATCAATCAAATGATGGTCAAGCTCGTCTATGGTTGTCGCCGCTATAAGCAAAAGTGCTTTCACTTGGTGGCTCGAAACGTTGAATCAAATGAGCCACGTGTGATTGGTGCAAAGCTCATGTCGACAAAGATTTTAGCCACCTACCTTAGAGATTTTGCGCAAGCTTCATCACGATGGGACGGATGGTCCCTGCAGGCGAAACCAAATCTTGGCAGGTTTACCATTGAACACCTCCTTGAGTCTTATAGCCGGGAACCGAGGGACTGACCAAAAAATTGACTGCATGTGACTCGCCGGAAGTGGTCGAATACCGCATCATTGTCAAGTAAAATTACATACAAGCATCGTGAAGGCATAAGACAGAGATTGAGGGCGATGGAAAAATCCACAGACAACCTCCTAAGCAAGGACGATCGACAGAAATGCTAAGACAGTAAATGAGGTAGAATGAGAAACAGAAGTAAAAGCCATTGGAGCCATGGAGGACGAAGTGAGAAGTTTATACAATGGACTCAGATAATAAGTTGATATCCCCATCGCTGACCAATGAGCTGAGGAGAAAATGGCATGCTCGACAATCTAACAAAAGATCAACCTTCATTAATACTGCGAAAGTATAGAATGTTCATAGTCAGAGCGAAGGCATGATAGAGGAAACGGATGGCGGAAATACAGAAAACAAAACAGCGCTGCAAAAACAGTGTCTAGATAGTTACATTTTTCATCTCGCCTAAAACCTCAGGGTTCAACCCGGTAGCGGGAGGTTGGTCTGACAGCCCCTTGTCGGTTTCTGACGGTCCATGCTCTGGCTCAGCTCCCAGTGCTTCGTCATTCTCTTTCCCAGAAATCTGGGGAGTAGCGATTTCCATCAGATCCTCGGTCTGTTCATCCTTGAATGCAAGTTCTGATTTACTAGCATCCGCTGTGGTGTGAACAGGACTTGTGGCCTCCTCCGTGACGCGAGCCAGGGGACTTGAGATGCCGAACTGAGTCTTTGGGCTTTGAGTAGAACCGCGATTTGAGAAGCGGTGCGGCGACCTGCCTCGTTCTTCACTCGGTGTGGGGCTGCCATATGGGGATGCTTGGCCAGATTTGCCTCCTGTAGTCAGTCCCAAGCCGCTGGGAGTCTTGCGGCGAGGTGGTTTTCGACCATACTTTTGATCAGTTCTCCAGCGTAAAATCTCGAGATAAGGGGGTTCGACATTCTGCGCCTTGAATTCGAGAAGCTTGAGCTCATTGGTTTCTTCGTCCACGTGAACCTTGCCGCTGCAAATATCATCGGCAAACGTGGCCAGAAATGCAGCCCAAGACCGAGCGACCACATATTTGCAGTCATAGTCGCGACCAAAGAGGATGACCTGTCCCCACTTCCCAGCAGGCCCCGGGGCCAGATCAATTGCAATGTGATTGCCGCCCCAGTCGCGAGCCAGAGGTATCCACGCAGGATGAGCATATGCCTTTTGAACAGCATTCGGGGGCTGCGAGTCCTGACGCTCGAGAAGATCCTGTCTCCACATGGGATTTGACGCTTGCGTGGGTGGAACGGCCGAGGACGAGCTGGCGACTGCTTTTGGGACCGCATTCATCATCGAGCTGCTCAAGAATTCTTCATTGACTGTCCTCCAGTTCTTCCATTCCTGAACGATCTCCTCACAGTCAAGGAGCATACATCCGAAGATGATGCCAGTAGGCAAACCCGGGCGCTCCTGCCCATCGTGCATCATCAACGACTCCCGAACCTCTAGTGGCAAGCTACAATCTAGCTCGTGCTCCAATTCATTGATATCATTCTGTGTACAGCCCTCACACAAGTTATCGAATAGCTCCTCGTAATTGTGCTCCAGCCATCTGTCAATCTTTCTCCACGAGTGACCAACCGGGGGCGGGGGCGGGGCGCCGTCATGGAAGCTTTGCATCTGGATCTCCGGGAGTCCTTCCACACCGGGATCGGTTGACTGCCGCTTTTGTGATGACAATGAACGCATACCAGGCGAATAAGGACGATTCGGGGACCCCGTACCCGTAGGAGATCCAGACCAGCCGTTCGAGCCTTTTTGCTGGTCGTCATCGTAAGGGGCAGTTAAATCCGGGCGCGATTCTATAGCACTTGTCGCAATGGACGTGAGTGGCTCGTGTCGACTTTGACTGAGAGGTACATGTTTGCCTGATCGATAAGGTGAGTCGTGGGATGCATGGCGATCATAGGAAGTCATTGTATGCCAAAAGGAACGCCATGCTGAACCGATACTATCTAAGCGGTTAGTGTGGTTGGACAGCAGTAGAGTCAATCAAGATATGGTTTCAAATGTTTCTGTCAACCACAAAGAATATAGAACACTTACGCATTAGCCATTGTGAGAGGCGGGTGGGGAAGGGAGGAAGATGTAACAAGAAGCCGAGTTGCGTGTCCGAACAGATGTTTCTTCGTTGCCTAGGTCAGGAACAGCGGAGGGTGACCATTGGCTCTGTGCCTGGGGTCGATGCAGAAAACCGATGTCTGTCGTATTGGCCAAGGACTGGGGTTGCAAGATATGTTCAGATTGTGGATGTGAATGCCGAAATAAAATGATTGATGGATGAGAAAAAATCGCGTGTTGTAATGGACAGCTCTTTTTTGGGGCCAGGGGATGAAAAGGGATGTGGAAGGGGGGGAGGTGGGGAGGTGGGGAAGAGGAAGAGGAATTGTGAGGGTAAGTGCGAGTGAGTGTGAGTGAGTGTGAGAACAATCAAGATGAGGAGAGAGAGAGAGGGAGAGAGGGAGAGGGAGAGGGAGGGAGGAAGGGAGGGAAGAAAGAGAAGAGAAGTGGACGGAGTGGGAGGGGAAGGCGGCAAGGAAGGGGGAAGAGGGGCGGAGAGAGGGAGGGTGAGGTAGAGGGAGAGTGTAGAAGTAGAATTACAGAAGAAAAGAAAGAAGAAAAGATCTCAAAAGAACAAATTAATCATGGAAAATGGACCTGAAGGTAAGAAGTAAGAGATCGGAGAATTGGAAGGGGAACCAAACCAATAATAATAACAATAAAAAGAATTCAAGAGCCTATTCCTGTGAGCAATGCTTAGGATCAGTATTTGGAAAAAAGCAACTGAATCCGTGGATAAGTACGGAGTAAACTGGGGATGGATGAAGAAAGAGGGAGGGAAGGAGGCAAGAAGAGGAAAGTAAATGGTAAGTAAGGTAATCAATTCACTAGATAGAGCAGTTACTCGGTATAATCTGAGATCTGATTTATATATCACTCCTGTATTCTGTAGTTAGTGACGACTTTGGTCATTAGTACCCGTTTTACTCATCTTTTTCACCAGGGACTATTGTGAGATGGTTAGTGTGCTTACTGCAGTAGTTAAGTTACAAGTCGTTGTATACTAGATGACTACTTTGTTTGTAGTGAGGGAAGAATAAGTAGTCTAACCAACAACCATATGGGAGATTGCCCCCTGGATTTGGGGCATCTGCAACTAGGGAAGGAAGGAGAGACCATGCTCAGCTCCAGGAAGCTGGCTGGCTGGATTTCCCGCCTTTACTGTATGAATGTCGGGGGCTATCCTTAATCTGTACTATATTGTACCGGACTGTATTGTACGGAATCCTGCCATAGCTCTCTCTCTCTCTCTCTCTTTCTTCATCGAACTGCCTAGAAATTCTCCTGAATGCACGTTCTGCGCGAGGGAAGCTCAGGTCCTAGAGAGCGCCACTGCATTCCTGCGCTCTTGGACAAATATTAAAGCTAAGTTCGGATACCAGGAAGTTGTTGTATGTAAACTCTGTACTCATAACTAACTAGTAGTCACGGAGTGCTTATACCTGGTACACAAGGTACCTCCTAGGAGTTGATTATCATCAAACCCCCCTAATATGGATACTTGACCAGCAGTCTTTCCCATACAACCGGTACTGGTATTAGAAATACTTATCTTTTTGTTAGAATACTTCCTATATTAGGAACTACTAGGACTCTTCGAGGCCGAAGGTATTGCTATCGGGGTTCTATGTCAGGGGACCTTTTTTTATTCTTTTTATTAGGGCTCTAGGAGTCTATACCGATATATGTATAATAGTATAAAGGGGAAGAAGCTTAGAAAGCTCTACCGCTTACTTAGACGCGTTCAACACCCAACGTATTAGAAATACAGCCGGTGTCAATATCAATTTTCCCTAAAGCGGCGATCGAACTCAAGTTGCTCCCTATAGTTATACATTGAGGTACAGTATGTTACGGTACATATATAAATAAATACAAACAGTCCCAACAGACTCACTACTTTGTTACGTCCTAATCAAAATAGTAGTGAAACATAGATTAACCTACAAAACTCCATCTTCTTCTTCATCAACTCTTTTCTCTCTGGCCACGTAATTTTTCAGTGCAAAGTGGAGCAGAAGCCGAGTGGGTCATCGGGAACTATTTCGTACCATTTCGCCGTTAGGCTTGGCTTCGTTGTCGTGGCGGCTTCTGTCCACGTTCTGGGCTCCGAGTCTTCCAGTCAAGTTACCTTAATTAGATGGATGACGACCTTTAGGTTATTGGGTGTAATCACGCTGATGTACAGATTCTCTGATAGCTACCTAGTGCCTAGCTATCATGAGTCTATCGCTACTCCTTAACCTTGCCCTTTTCACATTCTCCGTCAGGCAGAAGTAGAGTCTTTATATGTTCATATATGTTCATATATAATATATGTCCATGTTTCCTAAATTCCTTCCTCATGGGAAGTTATCTCCCTCGCTAAGCAGCCAGTTTCAGTGACTATTATCGTCTGTTCTGATCCTTCTTGGCAAGCTCGCCTGCTGCCCATGCAACAAGCAGCAAGGGGGGTGGGGGTGGCTCCCCCCTCAGAGCTGACCCATAGTTATCAGCATCATCATTCATGTGTCCCAAAAAACAGAGTGCTCATCATCACTCATGTGTCCCAACAAACAGAGTGCTCAAAAAAGACCGTGATAAACCGCCGGTACATGATTATGTGCAGACAGAACCACATCAAAAAAATGAATGGCCGACGGTAATGAATGTAGATACAGATTAGTAAGTGTTGAGAAATATAGAAGCATAGGAATGATAGAGATGGAGGTTATGCGGAATCGTGTGTACCACCAACACCTGCTGCAAGATTGCCCTTGATGGAGATTCCTTCAGCTTCATGATGAGTAACCTAGCCAGAAAGTATTGTGCCACGCAATCCTGACATGATATAGGGTGGCCAGAGAATGCGACCATCAGGACAACACAGGAATAGAAGGATAGCCCCCACAAAAAGATGTGGTAAAAGAAACACGACCAGGGGAAGTACTACAATAACAATAATGAAGCATACCACGCGGTCATCAAGCCTTGCCGGTTCAACACCCTGAGAAAAATACTGAAAAGGCAACCAGACTCCAGGTTCGATGCAAATGGGGTATAATTGATCCCAGTGAGAGTCATGATCCCAGCCATCCACAACATAAAGTTACCAACATGAACTGCGGTGAATACCAACAAGGGAGGGCGGACAGGAGGGGATGGAACCAAAACGAAACCCATTTAGGAACAAGAAACAAGGCAAGTAGGGTAAAATAGCTACTGAGCCAGACAGAAAATCGGAATATTTGAAGACATATCAATCAAGTCTGAAAGAAAGACATGCAATGGTGCGAATACGACGATTAGTATCGCCCGGGATGCGCTCAGAAGCGTGGGTTGAGCTCAAATCAGTCATTGAACAGATAGTACTCAAGTTCCGAAGCATCAAGAAGAGAATTGATCGGGAACAAGTATGAGCACAAAAGTCAAGGCTAGCATTTCGTGACGTAGAGATGCAGTCAGGCGAATGAGCTTTGAATGCCACCAGCTGAAACACTGGAGGGCGCATCAAGTTTCAATATACGTCGCAAATCATCCTCCATCTTCTTAGTATCGACAGATTGCGCAGCTGGACTGACCGAGATGGCACGTGACACAGGAGAGTGCTGAGGTGGGGGATAATACATTGGGTACTGTACATACTTAGGCGGAGACCTTGGCTGCCCGTATGTATGTGGGGGAGGGTAGTGCGCTTCTCCAGGAACAGTCGGTCTGTTCCCAACTTTCGTTGAGAGAACCTCCTTTCGAAGAGGCGAGTATGGAGGCTGGGCTTGATGAAAAGCGTGGTGCTGCGTGTATATTGATGGCGAATACGAACCGGTGCCAGGAATGGATTGTTGGTGCTCGGTGGACATGCCATGCGAGTAAGAAGCAGGTGGCCCAGAAGTTGCTCTTAGGGGAGTCGCAAAGTGAGGCACATTGTGATTGGCAGAGGGATGCCCACTGAAGCTTCCATGTTGTTTCTGGGCTGTAACCGAAGCTGAGGACGGTCTCTGAGGACGAGGGTTGAGCAGCAAGCTCTTCAAAGCCTCCGTCTTGACCTGTCGTTCATTTTCATCCAGGTGGCCTGTTGACGGAGAGGGTGAACTGGCTGATCGCAGAGCGTTCATGCGATCCTTGTAGGATGCAGCGAATGAGGCCCCGATAAGCGATTGACCGCTTTCGGGACTATCCACATCGGCTGTGTAGAGTCCATCGCTAGCGCCAGCGCCGATGGTACTGCGGTTATAAAGGGCTTTCGAATCAGTTTGTGGGGATGATCTTCTCAGGATCGACTCCGGACTATGCGGCTGCTGAGCAGTTCGAGCTTCAACTGCAGCTTTGAAGAGGAAATCGAGTGGTGTGGGTTGGCGTCCTTCGTCCTCATAGACCGGACGCACTCTGGATTTGGAGGGCGTACTTTCTGAATCTGGACAGATATCGAGATTGTCGTTGTCGGCTTCTAGTCCTGATGAAATGTCCGACTCAGGCAACGACTTAGAAAAAAAACTTGGTATTGGAAGAGCCGAGGGCGCTGGCGATGCATGAAAAGTAGGACCTGCATAATGCGAGCTGTCCTTTGCTTGGGGAGTGGAAAGATTGTGTGAGTGCGAGGAGGTATGCCGGTGCCCGTTGCTAGAAACAGGAGAGGCCCTTGATGCATCGCGAGGTTTTCTGTTGGTTCGTGCGGGTTTCTTCTTAGACGCACTAGGGTTATAGTTGAAAGAAGAGTCAGTGGCAGTTCCGCCAGGACTCTGATTCCGCGGCGGCGACGAGGGCGGGGTTGCCAGTAAGGCGACCTTCTGAGACAGCGGCGTAGTATTTCTTTTTGAATTCCGACGATTATTTCGAGGACCCTTTGGCGTTGGAGGAGTGGGTGATTGGGTTGACATTGTGAAATGGCTTCGAGGATAGACACGGCTTCGGAAGCGGAAATGAGAAAACAAGCGTGATGACAAGTAGAGCCAAGTCAAAATAATTAGGCGAGGATTTCGCTGTATTAAGCAGTGTGCCCAGCAGCCTGTACTGGATAAACTGACACTAGAATCTCAAGAGACGACGAAGTGACAATTGTGCAGTGTGATGGTGAGGTGTAGCCCAACCAGTTGGCCTTGGATCGGAGGGTGTGAACGAGGAAGATATGTAAAGCTTCTGTGTACAAGTTCAAGTGTGGAATGAGTACGAGAACGGTAAGAAGTATAAGCCAGAGATCCTATACATGCTCACATTTAGACGAGCGATGGAAGACAGAGTAGAGAAAGCAGGCGGGGAAACATTGTAGGAAGTCGCTGAAGCTGGGTTGGGTTCAAAGTGGTTGTTGGACCATGGGAAGGGCGGGAAGAAGAAAGGCTGGGGGGAGGAGCGGGGGTGAACAGTGATGACTCAGCATCCGCCGCCCACCTTGGCTCACTACGTACGGTAAAGTCAATCGAGGATCAGGTAGCAAGCAATTGTTTTCAGTAAGTTACACCTCTTCGAGACATAATCTGGTAATCACGAACTATAAGAAGTTTTGGCAGTTCTCGCAGAAGCCTTGTGTCAGAAGTGTGTCTCCTTGCGTACGTCCTAGTAATCAAGGCGTCTCGCGCTGAATGCCCTGCCTACACTGTACGTACACCGCAACAGGTTATTATCTAAACTGACCCGGGACAGGACCTAGTTTAATTAATCGAGGTACCGCCTGCTCTACCAACCGAACCCTACGTAATCCTTCAAGCTGCGCGCCCCTCTTCCGAGTCCCCCGCAACTAGAGAAGATATCCTCTGGTCTTCACCTACAAACCCGCGCTCACTGAACATATAAGGAACGACCCCGACACAAGTGAAAATGGCGGATGTGGAAATGAAAGAGGCGACCACTTCTGGCGCCTCTAAGGCGAAGGAGATGTCCAAGGCCACAGATACCTCCACTGATGGCAAGAAAAAGTTCGAGGTCAAGAAGGTATAGCCACGTGAAGTCATTCTCCTATCTGCACATGGAAATAACACAAGTATCGCCCTAGTGGAACGCGGTGGCCCTGTGGGCTTGGGACATTGTTGTCGACAACTGTGCGATTTGCCGCAACCATATCATGGATTTATGTACGGTTGTCATCTTCCCTTAACCTGATGCCTGACGTGTCTGACATGTTATTTTTCAGGCATCGAATGCCAGGCAAATCAAGGTTCGTCTACGACGGAAGAGTGTACAGTAGCTTGGGGCATCTGTAATGTGAGTTTATCCTCTCCCTGCTTTTTGGGTACAGAGCACTGATCGGTATTACTCCTGCCAAGCACGCCTTCCACTTCCACTGTATCTCACGATGGCTGAAAACTCGCCAAGTCTGTCCCTTAGACAACAGAGACTGGGAGTTTCAAAAGTATGGTCGGTAGACTATGTCTGCTGCGATTGGGTCTAGACAGCAGGCTGGCCATGGCCTCACTCGTACATTTCCTAACTGAGTATGATCGGATTGGGAGGGATTGGGTGGCGTTGAGCGGGTTTCTTTTGCATTCCTAGCAGTGACTTTTGAATTATTCATACAGATCTGGGCTGTTCCTGAGGGATGCGAAGAGCCGTGATCGAATAAGGCTCAGAATGAATTGTAAAGTCCACAGCTAAATCTCATGCAACCTTTACACCATCTACCATGACCCCTGCAACTCCCATATCCGCCGACGTCGGTGCCAGCCAATTTTCGGGCCTCTTGTTGTACATCGGCCAAGGAGGGATCACCACCAAGCCAGTTGCTGCGGTACCCGCGAGTCCAACCCAGAGGGTTAGATGAATGTCTTGCTGAATGTATCCCACAAGGAAAGCAATAGCCTTTCAAAAATACCTGTAAGCGCGACAGAAATAGCGAGGAACAGAAACACGACATGGGCGAATCCAGCATGTTTGTACTCACACCTGAAATGATGAGAAGGACTGTAGAAAGAAGTTCTGCCATGTGCTGGCCTTGGTAGTCCTGTCAAGGTAGAAAGGACTGGGTTAGTGCCTTGGATGTGTTCGACCAACGAGGTGCACTCCACTTACTATTTGGCCTTCCAAAGCATCTTGGATAGTTGATATCAGATTGTCCATGGCGACTTCTGTGGGTGTGCACTTTGATGAGAATAATTAACGCTCACAGCCGGCTTTGACTCTTCGTGGTCAGACACAGCCCCTTCTACGTAATAACGGCAGCACGAGTTGAAGTCGTGGCATTATCTCCACCGCCTTTGACTTATCGGGGCTCCGATACAGATAAGCCGCCGTGTGCAGCGACTTCTATTGTTCACCAGCTAAACAAACCAAGCAAAAATATAGTCAACACCATCAAGGAGTGTTGGTTGAGTAGCTATATAGTCGACTGTATGGGGGCTAAGCCTAGATCCATGCAAGTAATTCTAAAGGCTCAAAAGATAACGGGCTATTTCCCATTGTAACTTATAGGTCGTTGAGTAGCAAGTCCGCTTTATGATCCTAGCGCCCATTTCCTGTATGCATGCTTTGCTCCGGTAAGTTATTAGTAATTCGCAGACTGGCACGCTATCAAGATCATAGATTCTTGCTCCAGATCTGTAGCCCTATGTGAAATCTCGTAGAAAGCGGCATGGAATTGTGGCAAATTGGCAAGTTCTTTAGTACTGGATAGTGGCACCGGCTTGGGCAGGCTCGAGCAGCTTCCACTGACAAGTGATATTATTGGAAGCAAAGCGAGCAATGATACGATCTGCGATCTCCTCGAAATTATTGGTTGCTAGAGCCAAAATAGTTGGACCCGCACCAGAAAGGCATATTCCCAAGAGACCAGGCTGGGTACGTGGATTCATCGACTGGAGAATCTCCGTCAGACCCGGAATAAGAGTCTGGCGATAAGGCTGATGAACCTTGTCTTGCATAGCCAGATAGATCATGTCCGGGTCCGGTGGGGAACTGCCCAGGGCGGCAGGGAGCAAAGCAGCGCGTTGGAGGTTGTAAACCTGATTGACGTGGTCAGTTAATGCTGTGATACATCTCTTTGATAACCCCCGTTTACCAGTGCGAATCGTGGGCTCAGAAAAACTTACCACATCCGCTCGCGAGTAGGAAGTCGGCAAGACGCTTCTTGCGTTGGCGGTTGGCACCACGAAGTCGGGAATGATAGCGATGGCCTTGATTTCCTTGGCCCACTGAAACTTCCTATAGTGGCCGATTCCAATAGGAGGCTCAGGGGGCCTCTTCCCGGTATCAACGCCACCGGCGGGGGCGGGAAGGACCTCACTAAGGGGGATTTCCTTGCGCGCTACGTCCTCAGGCTTGAGTTCATTGAGGTAGGTTCCGACGAAACCCCCAAAGAGCGAGGCAGCAACGTTGTCAGGGTGTCGCTCTGTAGACATAGTCAGCACCGTCCCGCTGCCCTGTTAGAGTCATGGCTACTCGGCACCTCACTTGTGGGATAACTCACCTATCATTAAGCAATAATCTAGCATCCGCTCCTTGCTCAGACCTAGACGGCCTACTTCATTTCCCAGCATTACACCGGCCACGACTGCAGTGCCTGATGAGCCGAGACCCCGGCCCAGTGGAATTGGGTTTACAATGTGCACATGGGTCTCAGCGGGGAATGCCCTCTGGTCATGGCATCTAAGTACATATAGAGCTACACGGGTGATCAGATTCACTTCCGGGTCCAGGTCGATCTTCTCGACGCTGTTGCTCCGGTCCTCGTAAGTGATCACACAGTTGAGTGGTTGTTGAGAAGAGCTCTTAGAGGTATCAATGGTGACTTGAATTTCGAGATGAAGGGACAATGCCAGGCCGATCACATCAAAACCAGGTCCGATGTTGGCGGAGGAGCAGGGAATCTTTAAAGAAAACGAGGTGGGAGAAGCCATTGTTTTCAAAAAGGTAGGCTAGAACAGAGGCCTTGAGCAAGAGAACGGATTTCAGAAAAAGATAGAGGTCAAGGGGACGGCCTGGAAAAATGATAATGGGATCCAAAGTACGTAGTACTTTTGATAGAAGTCGACTCGATTCCAAGTTGCTCGTCTCGGTGACTCTTCATGTCTTGGCGCGCGCGCAGCCGAAAATTCAACTTCTGGGAAGAAGGGGACCGACCGATGATCGGCCGAGGTCGGACCCAGAGAAGCTAAACCATGCAGAGTCGAGCTCACGACTTCTACAAACCAGAATATACCTACCTACTTACTCTCTGACGATCGCATGTACGTAATCAGGGTATTGGCTACTTCAACAGCCTTGCAACATAAATCGGGTCTCTCACATCCAGCGAACGAACCGAAACCATTCCTGTGACCACGAGGGATCAGACAGGGAAACCCTTAATGTTAATTTCTTTGCAACCAAAATACAGTACCTCCCCTGTAGTAACTTAGTAAGTAGGTAATAGGCGGTGATACGAGTACAATCTCTGGAGGAAGATTCCATGATTACCGACATCACATGCGACCAATCAACTAATCTACCGGCTAGAACGTGGACTTCCGTGCTCGGGACGGAGGAAATACTGGAGCTAAATATAAAATTGGTGCCTGATGCGCTCCAGAATGAGAATCTTTGAAGAGGAGGTGGAGGTGGGCCTCGGGAGAAGACTTACAGTAGTACACTTGGAGGTCGAGGACATCTATGGAAACCTCCACTGGGTTTCCATACTCATACTATAAATTCAGTTAACAGTACCACAACCAATCATAATTATATGTGAAAACATACCAATAGATACCTAGTACTGTACAAAACATCCGAAATCACCTCATGATGCGGAGTACCTATAGTTTCTCTTGAAAGCATGGGTTGCTGTTGCTGACTATCCGCGACCCCCGCTAGAGTAGATATTGAAACAGTAAAAGGCATGGTAATTTGTAGTGGCGGTTGGTGCCTGGACTAAAGCTGTCAAGTACTGTAAGTAAAGTACAATACGGTAATCTCACTTTACTCACTCGCTCCGTACCAATCTTCGTGATCTTGTGCTCTCTTGTCTGTAAGATGTACATATACTGGCCAAGTCAACATTCTATAAGTAGAAGCTAAAGAAGCTAACCTTTAAGAGTCCACGGTGGAATCATTCACACCCCCTATTCACTCAGACCCGAATAAAAAACAGAGACAGAGAAGAAAAACAAAATATACAAGCTATGGTTATGCAATTACACAGGGCAGTCTGGCCTTCGAGCGGAAATCTCTGCCCGCCTACTTGAGCCGTTGTATGTGGGTAAAATAAATCATTGAGCAACTCCGGTTTTGTGCCTCCCTCTTCCCTCATTCCCCCCTCTCCCTTCCATTCCCCTCTTCGTCTCTGGGCTTAAAGACGGAATCACCTTTTCTAGGTGAACAGTTAAGATTTACCACAACTCACCCCATTTTTTGTTGATTCCTCAGAAGGTCTGTTTTGTGTTTCGAAAGGATTTTTGAATAGTGGTGACTAACTGTGTGTGAAGTTCTCTTCCCGAGTGCACTGTGTCCAACCTAATTCCTGAGCAAAGTCTGGCTTTGCGGCCTCACACCAGTCATTTTAACCGACTTTGCAACAACCAAACCTCTAATAACACGATCATCCCTTCCTAGTGTTGGTGCCGAACTTGGGATCACCCCTTCCCAGCATCGAAAATCAACCTGAATTTCTGGCACGCACTCTTGTTCTTGTAGTGTCAAAATCGGCCATCTAACGTCATTGCTCGAATCTCGAGGCAGGCCTCGAAAACACTGGTCAAAGGACTTTCCTTTGTCCATCCACCTCCGTTGCAACCCCCTGGAGCGAAAACGCTCCTATTCACTTGATCCAGTCAAGTTGGCGGGCCTTCGCTACAACCAGTCCTCCCTCCCTCACCCTCTTTTGGGCCCTAAGTTCAGGGTCTTCTGCGGGGGCGACACTAGACCCCCCTAATACGATTTCCCAGCGATACTGAAGCTGGCACACGGACGCGCATCGGTAATGCCAGGCCCTACCGACGGGTCTGGCTAATGGATGGAGGAGCAAATACTCCTGGGAATTCGCCCATCATCCTGTGTGCAATATCGCGTTCTTGAGCCCAGCGGAACACGCCGAGAATCAAGTAGCCAGGGCGCTCAGTACCAGCCACTTGCAACGCTCATCCTATACAAAATCTGATCGACTAGTACCAAAACACAGCGACTACAAAGAAATCGATTCCAGCACAATGTCTGAGTCACCGAAGTCCGAGAAATACATGTTCCTCACTAGATACAGCACTCCTGTTCCCGAACTCGATGACCACCGATTTCAGCTGGATCCGCCTCGAATGGACGCCGCACCCGATGTGCCGCTTAGCCGGCAAAATACCGCGCCGCAGGGCTTGCACCCAGAGACCCCCCAACGCCCAGACTTGCTCATTATACAGGACGCCCTGCGAGAGGCCGGGTCCTTTTCGCGCGACTTTGAGCAAGCAATTGTCGACGACGATCGATCTATTCAAGATCTCACGGCACTGGGACGTCGTTTCTCTGTTGATCCCACCGGCAATGTCCGGCATGGTCGCGCTTACAGCCGCACACATCAGGATTATGCCAACTTATCGCGCGAGTCATCTGTATCAGCTAGATCGACCTCCCCGCCTAACTCAGTCGAGGCGTTCGCAGATCCACGTCGCCGGGAACGGGCGAATACCCTGGAGAGCCACGGAGCTCCTGATCTCGAGGCCATTCTTCAACGTACTGTTTCTGGCGGTACGCACCATCGCCGTCCAACGTTCAGCAATGCCAGTGTGATACGGCCACAGGCTGGGGACGCACAACTGGAGCCCACTGATGATGGCTGTGTGCCAACATTCGAGCAGCCTGGCAGAATCCCAGTCATTGATTACGAAGAGCTGGAAGAATTTGTCGCGCTCAGCCAGCAAGCGAAGCCCACAACAAGCAGACGTAAGCATAGTCTGAGCTCACAGAGCAAGAAACCGCGTATTTTCTACGACCTTCGTGCGGGCGTCCATAATTCCGACAGTAATGGCACGAAACGATCTTCAAGCACAGAGGATTCATCTGATGATATACTGGATTCGATTTCCGCGAAGAATGAAAAGCTATTTGCGGAAGTTTCGAATGAGAAGGAGTTACTTGAGCACATGAAGAATGAGAATGAGCCCACCCGGTTTGGCTTTTTCTCTTCCGAATCTCAAAGTACTGTGCATGCTGCAGAGTTGGGTGACCTGGTCTTGCCCGGGGACACTTTCCGTGATCTCTTCCAGCTTGGCCCGGAAGGTGGCGTCTGGTGGCTTGACGTGTTGAATCCTACAGAAGACGAAGTGGGTGCTTTATCCAGAGCTTTCTCCATCCACCCTTTGACAACGGAGGACATCCTAACTCAGGAAGCTCGCGAGAAGGTCGAGCTTTTCAAGCAGTATTATTTTGTCTGCTTCAGGACCTTTTACCAGATGGATAAAACCAGCGAGCAATTCATGGAGCCCGTGAATTTTTATATGGTTGTCTTCCGCGATGGAGTGCTTTCGTTCTCATTCACTGAGAATCCACATGCAGCTAATGTTCGGAAGCGAATCGGAAAGCTTCGCGATTATGTTTCACTCAGCAGCGACTGGATCTGTTATGCGATGATGTAAGTTTGAGTCAAATTTGTGGGCTGTCATGCTCTTGTGAACTAACGTGTGATGGACTAGCGACGATATCGTGGATAGTTTTGGGCCCGTGATTCGTGAAATAGAGGTCGAGTCGGAGGCTATTGAAGACCTTGTGTTCATCGCGCGTATGGATGATTTCGAGTCCTTTCTACCACGCATTGGTGGCCTTCGCAAAAAGGTCATGAGTTTAATGCGACTCTTGGGTGGTAAGGCCGATGTTATTCGGGGCTTTTCGAAACGCTGCAATGAACAGTACTCAGTGACGCCTCGCGGTGACATTGGTCTATATCTAGGCGACATCCAGGATCACGTTGTAACCATGATGTCTAATCTGGCCCATTTTGAAAAAATGCTTAGCCGCTCGCACACCAACTATCTTGCGCAGCTTAATGTGACCAACCTGATGCTGGGCAATCATGTCAACAAAGTTCTCAGCAAGGTGACACTCATTGCCACCATGCTCGTGCCCATGAACCTCATTTGCGGTCTCTTTGGAATGAATGTGGAGGTCCCTGGACAACACACCGAGAGCCTTGCGTGGTTCTTCGGGATCATCGGCGTCATTGGTGCTATTATCATCATTAGCGGAGTGGCCGCACGTCGCTACAAGCTTGTGTAAGGCAGGTATACTCGATTTCGATTACATGGTCTTTGATTGACTTGATTTGATTTTGGAATCATGCTTGTTTGACATCGAACTTTTGCATATCATGGTTTGGCTCTAATCCCTTTGTGTTCTGTGCTGTTTGTGCTGTTCTCTGTTGAATTTGGAAAAGTGTATTGAAGAAGCTGGGCGGGCTCCAGATAGTGTGTATATACTATAGAGAGATATATGTGTATCTTATGTGGTCCTAAATGCATCTCCATAATCTCTTTTATCGAAATCAAGCTCATATGTAATCTACAAGCATTCAAAGGGAGGGGGCGTGACGTTATTCTCCTGTTTGCACGTTGATATCTGTGGCGCAGTAGGCCGAGGCATCGAATGCTCCCGACAGATGTGTACCGTACCGTACCGTACCGTACTGTACAACCATCAGAACGCTTTCTTCATTCCTCGACAGAGTAGATTGAACCTGTTGTTCCATCTACTCGTTAACTCTCTCACGACTCGGCTGGCCTCAGCCGTGAGAGGAAGCACATCCCTTTTGGATAACCAAATGATTACATCAATTGTGCTCAGGAGGGACGTGACCACATCTATCCATAATGGCTTTGTCGCACAGGCTTGCGATCGCCGATGCGGTTATTTTCTTGATCGCTTTCGCAGTGGCTCTTTGCGCTGGTCCCGTCTCTGCTCACGATGCTGAAGAAGAATCCTCGACGCAGCTGGCCATTACTAGCCACGGGACCATATACCTCGGCGATGTCGACGCACGGTTTGGGTTCCCACTGGACTCATATAATGGGCTGGAGTTCGAAGAGACTCGAGGACGAGAACTAGACTTGGTCCGTCGAGCCCCGACTGGGGTGTCATCCCTGGGAAACAACCAGTACCAGGAAGGCACGCTAAGATTGGGTGAGACTCAGCACTGGTATTTCCCTACAGATTCGATCGCTGGCGACAGCGCCAACGACACTACTTCGAAACGGAGCAAAGATATCGCAAAACGATCGACGACCATATATCTGTCCCTGACAGCCTGCTCGAAACCGACTCTTAACAAGTCGGAAGATGCGACCGGTTCCTCGTCCACTGTGTCACAACTGCAGGTCTTCGTTTCGCTGTCCGACACACTTGAGAAGCCAGGCCCCGACAAAGACAGTGCGGAACAACAGGTGTTTGTCGCGGAGGAGGGCTACATGGGCACGACTCTGGAAGCGGACGGGAATGTGTATATCGGGGTCACCGCTCTCAATAACACTCAGTATTCGGGGTCGTACACGTACCAAATTGCAGTATCCACCGATGCCTTTTTTCACGATGTAAATACTGAGGATCAGCTTCTATACCTGGTGGACTCGGACACAAAAGCCGCACTCTTCACGACGAAAAATCTCACTGAGACAGATATCAACGCCCAGGACATCAGCATATGGATGAACAAGACACCCCCGTACACAATGTTTGCCAATAACTTGAACAGTACTGCGGTCTCGGGCCTGGAGCGATCCTTTTGTGCCCTTGATCGGCTTGCGCAGATCGGTATGAACCACGTGGAGTCCAGTATGACTACACGCGGTGATAAGCTCCGGCCTAAGGAGCAACTCTATGCTACTGGCCTGAATAAAAGCTCTACTTACCTTGGGATCTTGGCCCGATATGGCAATTCTACCAGTGCAGGTAACGGGATAATAGGTGGCGGTGGGAAGGTCTGGAAGCCGATGAACTTCACTACGAAGACAGGTGAGCTCTATAGTCGGACACTGTTGCCTCATACGCAGAGCCTTTGCTGATAGAAGGACAGAGGACAACTGTGCGCTGGTGTACGACCTCTCATTCTGTTCAGAAGTCGCCTATGCCGTGCCATCGAACTCGTCCGCTCAAACCTCGACCTTACGCACATTCTATGACGACAATGCCGAATCTCTCTACCAAAATTTCAATTACTCTCTTCAACAGGTCCAGTGCAATGCTTCCAGCGAAACCATGTTCTCCCTCGCTGTCTCCTGCGACAGCTGCGCCGAGGCCTACAAGCAGTGGCTTTGCGCTGTAACGATTCCCCGGTGCCAAGACTTCTCGAGCACCGACTCCTTTCTTCAAGTCCGCAATGCGGGCCAGGCATTTTTAAACGGCACCTCCATCGCCAACAGTAGTCTATTGACTAACCCTGCCACAAACCGATCACGGAACTCGTTGATCGACACTGACATCAAGCCGGGTCCCTATAAGGAGATCCTCCCCTGCCAGGACGTCTGCCACAGTCTCGTCCGAAATTGCCCGTCCGCTTTAGGCTTCAGCTGTCCCGTGGGGCAGTGGTTAAATTCTTCCTACGGGGTCCGGGACTCAAATGGCGATATCACCTGCAGCTATTTGGGAGCTGCGTACTATCTGAATATGGCGGCGGGTCTCCGTCACAATGTATGGAACGCTTTTTTTGTCCTGACCGCCCTATGGACCGCGCTGTGGGCACTTTAATAGACTCTAGACACCTTCCCTCCCCTCTTCAGGTGCTGTCCCACGCTGGCCGGCTCGGTCTACTTTCCCCTTTCTTCTTTTGGGGGTTGGGAGTATATGCGTGAATCAGGTCCTGGGACTCGTTGACCCCGACACCGTGAGAGTTGAGACTTATGTGTTTCTGGACATATATGAAAATAGATACCCTTCTCGGGTTGACCTATGATGTTACTAAATGTGTATTATTTATTGATGTTGACTTAAGTGCGCTGAATTACCTGAAGACCATTTACTTCGCGCATGATATGAGTATCCTTGGCCAGGAGGCTCGGTTCAATCGAGATGGCCTCTATGTTCCCCTCGACTTCAGGTATCTCAATTTTGATACAAGCGGTGGGAACAAATTCCGAGTCGCCAATGCAGCCTCAAATACCCTAGCTGGTGGTAATTAAGAGCTTCTAGTGATTGAATGCATAGAAAGACGTACAAGCACTAGTTGCCTGCATCCCTGTATTGCTGAGGAAAGAAAGAACTAATTTGAGAAGCTGACACTCGAAGTCAGCAATGTATCCTACCGCTGATTATAATGGCAACTGACAAACCTCGATGCAGAACGCCGTTGTTTGTGTGATGGTATCTAGTCATGCGAGAGAGAAACGCTCATAAAAAAGGAATTGGAAGACAAGAAAGATGATAAGGGAATTGAAACGGCAAAAAAAAGAGCACCATCATTTGCACCTCCTAGGAGTCGGTGTCCACATATTTCTCAAATTAGACGACGAACCGGTAAACGAACCACCTGGGCGGGGAGTGCTTCCCACTTGATGGAGCAGCTTCTGCCCTGCAGGTGTCAGCATCTTGCCTGCTCTGGTCCCTGGAGTAGCTGCACCTAGTGCCTGCTGCCCAAAGTCGAGTTGCGGACTGCTGGCGAATTTAGGGGTCATTGCCACAGGAGTTTTAGTCTCGCGGGTGAGTTTTTGCGCACGTCTCGTCCGTGCCACGCGGTCGACCATACGATGGTGAAGATCTTCACGTTTGCGATTTTCTGTTATCTGGAACGGATTCGGGGCCGCATCACCGCTTCCGAGCAAGTAGAAATCGTCCGTTATGGAGCCATCGCCCCTGGGTGAGGGACGGTCATACTCGGGCTCATCTTCATCCACAAACGCATATCCATTCACTCGGGGTGTTTCCCCGCCATTGTACCCTGGCTCGGAATCAGTCGGGCGAGGACGTCCGGCGATAGCATCCTTGATAGCCGATATCGATGGCGAAGGTGGAGGCATAGTCCCAGAAGTGTGCTGGTGAGCCTCGTTGTGAAGGCGAGTGTTCTGGTATACCACGCATTTCGGCGCTGCTCGAGATGCAGCTTCCGCTTTCTGCTGAGTCGTGTCATGAATGTCTTCGACGGATGAAGGCGCAAACATGAGTGAATTCTCCGGATGCGTCTTCCAAGTGTCGGGCTGAGCGGGTCGAGCGTCCAGGTCGGTCTTGATTAATGCCTGGTTGTTCTGGTCTGGGTTACCTCCCTGGGCCGCGATCCGCTTGGCCTCCTGTCGATGATGAATGATCTGTCGCGCGGTCGGGATCTTGTTCCCGTTCCAAAGCCAGGCATATTTCTCCCGATGCTTGGAATTTCGCTTGTCTAACAACTTATTGAAGGATTCATTGTCCTCGCTAGTGTACTTGGCTTGGAACTCCAGCAACCCCAGCCGACTCACATCTGGGGCTTGGCGCTGGGTTTCGGTGACTGGTGTATGGTTTCCTGATGAGAAAGCAGAAGTCGTCGACAAAGGGGTACCACCGCCCCAGGTCATCGGAGTATCCCCTGGTTTTCCAGTTCCAGTGAACCGTGGTGTCATGGCAGAGCCAATGCGAGTTCGAACTCTTCCAGGAGTTTGCACTAAATCAGATAGTTTCTTCTTTGAACTAGCAATCCACTCTTGATTATGCGAGTCTAATGCATTTAAATAGTCCTGCTTTACCTGAGCCTCCAGTAGGCCTGGGAAATAATCGCGTGCAATGATTTCAGAGAGAGCGTCGGTGTAGACATCTTCATCAAGCACGGTGGCCGGTCGTTTGATGCGCTTCGGTGGAGGCGGAGGAGGCATCAAGCTGTTGTTGCTTTGACGCTTGATTAAGGCTTGCGAAGACTCAGACATGATTTGAAATTGATGAGTATGCAGAGATTCTTATCTATGGGGAAGATGCGGAGTGCGAGAAATAGATATGAGATGCATGCTAACACGAAAGATAAGAAGTGGGTGGATGTATAGATTGTCAGAGTGAAAGAAAAGAGGCGGCAATGCTTAGAGATAACCCGGCAGAATGTTATACCGCCGGGAAGCGGTGAGGATCGTCGTCATGGCATCTCCCTTCCAGCTTGCATCTCGGTAGATGGAATACGTCAGTACTGTACTGTGCTCATAGGTGTGTGAACATATTCCGTACAGTAAAGTCTAGCAATACACTGACTCTTTTGTTTTTTCTTGGGCGATAACCCGTGATGATCAATCTTCCTTCTAGAACCGAATCCCTATATCCTTCTCTTCTCAATTAATTGAATTGCAACTAGAACCAAGCGACCATCGATGCCGGAGAACACAAGCAACAGGCAAGAGTAATATTGAGCATACATGCAAGCTGATCTAGTCACGACCATGGATCCAAAGGGACAGTTATACATTGAAACGCAGCCTACACCCAGCGGGTGTTGTCGACATGAACCCCACGCATAACCAAACCCAGATCCCTATACCCAAGAAAAGTGACAAACACCCGGTTTCTTTTTCTTTCCGACAGAACCAATCGCTGAGAAATGCAAGAGAGGCGCAGATGGACAATGAAAACAAAAAGAGCATAGCGTGCAGTGTTGGTATGCAAATGTACAAGGCAGAATGTCGTCGCAGAGGCCGGGAGAGTAAAGGAACTGAAATCAAGTGTCCGCTAAAACAAGGGGTTGAAATCATAAATTCGTGGAAGATGTTCTATTGCAGAACGAATCGAAAAGACAGCCAACACACATACAATCTTTCAAAATGGAAAGGCCGGGAAGCTGGTGATAGGATGTGTCGGTCTGCCAGTGTTGACCGAACAACAACTCAGTTCGCAGCCGCAGGAAACAGGGAATAAGACGCCCTCCCTTTACGACGAGGCGCGATTCTAGAAGCAGCCGCGACAGCTAAGGGTGCCGCTTCAACTTCGCTCGTGGATTTGGCTCGGTCGTGGATGGAAGGAATGATGGCAGAGCCCGGTCCCATAGGCTCGAAGCTTGCCTCCGGTTCCGCACGATAAATCATCTGTGCTTCAAGTTCCCGTGCAAGGCTCTTGGTTTGTCTATGGTGAGAGGAGTCTGGTCTCCCAACCGCAGTACATTCGCCTGAAAGGATCTGTTCAGTTGGAATCGGCTCGCGGCTGATTGCCAGACTGTGTACTAGGTCTGGGACGCTAGCGGTCGACACGGACGATCGATGTTTGCGCACAATCGACGCCGCGCGGGATAAGATCAAACTCTCCTGGGAATTGCACTTGCTGATCGGGGAGAAGCTGCTGCGAGGGGAGATGGAATGCTCGATAGGCTGAATTACACCTTGCTGCGAACAGAACGAAAAGTGACGATCCGATTCCGCATCTGCTGTCAAGTAGTCCTCATACAAGGACTCTGGATTCATTGACTTGCTCAGGGCAGGCCCGAACCTGACAGGACGGAAGTAATCACTGTCTCTCTGGGAAACGGCCATCCCGGCGTCATACTCAGCAGTAGAAGGAGTAACAGCCACGTGAGAGCTGACTTCCGAGAATGAAGGAATGGAGTCCCGGTCCGTAGCGGATACGGCGGTGGCGCTCAGACGATTGAACGAAAATGTGGTTTTGTCTCCATCTGCCGCAGTGTCGGCCTCAACCGTCATCACATCCGCTCGTGGCTCGTCGACGGAATTGCGAGTCCAGTCGAAGTTCGAATTCGATTCGGCTGCATGCTCATAGCAATAGTCGATATCAGCATCCCACGAGTCATAGATGGTCTCAGGGACAGTTCGCATGGCGACCGAGGATCGCCTCCTGGCATTTTCCGAAATTGTCCGTTCAGTCATCGGTGCTTCTGTAGTGGGTCGGGTTTGGGGGAGGGTCGGAGAGCCAAGTGCCTCAGACAATTTCCTTGCTAAATCCTGAGTCACGTATACAGACAGCTCAGGAGCAGTTGCGGAAGCTGATTGGATCTTGGCCAATGGAAGTGAGCTGAAAACCGTGGTTGCCTGAGAGGGATCGTCGGCAGTGGGAAACTCCGGCTCGACCTCATGCTTTAAGCTTGCAACTGCTTCATCATCACCTTCCTCTTCCTCTGGGACACCTTCCAAATCATAGGACAGGTTGGTCAGAGACATGGACGAGGTCCTCACATCAAGCCCCTCGTGGCCAGCATCCGTGGTAACCGCATGGGTGGCGGGAATTGGAAACATATCCTGCACGTGTAGCTGGGACCATGAAGCATTTCCATATACATCATCAACATCGAGATCGTCACCATCCTGCGAATATACATGCTCAGGGTATGTTGGTTGGCTGGACAAGCCCAAAATCTCATCAATAGCTCGAGGGGCTGGCTCAGGCAACTCAGGAGAAGACGCCAGCCTAGGTGAAGGAGCCCTCGGCGGAGAACTCGCTTCCCCTGGCCCTTTGGAAAACCTGGGAACAGGTCGTGAGAAGTTTTCAAAGGCGCGCGACTCTGGTCGTCTCCGAATGTCGTGCTGCTTAGGACTAATAGAGGAGGAGCCACCCGGCGACGCCGGCGGGCTTACTGGTAATGTGTCAGTAGCGGCATCGTTGTCAGCAATAGCTGCCCCGAAATGATTGAGATCTTCCGAAGAGAAATCATGAAAATGCAGATCTTGAGCTTGGATGCCCTTGAGATTGGTGACAGGTCTTTGTGAGGCACGTATGGCAGAAAATTCCGTGACCAAGTCAGTCTCGCGAGCCTTTTCGAGGGACTGGAACTGAGATGGGCTTGTGTGGGTCAGGTGGTGAAAGTCGAACGGGTCTGAGATCAAGCTCTTCAGCTGATCATCTGCGCAGGTCATCAGCATGAGCATGCCATGCGACTTTAGATAAGGTTCCCCGCGTGAAACAACGGCCATGAACGAGGATGAAAGGTAGGCTCTGAAAAGGACTTACGTGCGTCACTCTGTCGTGGCTTATGATGCCGGCTGAAGAGGTCGGAAACTTCAAACCGGGGCTTTTCGCGGTCCACCTCATCTTCCTCGTCCAGCGTTGAGACTATGTGAAACTTGCTTCCCCGGCGACGCAGAATGCGACTTCCGCGTGATAAAAGCGATTTCGTTACGCTCTCTGAACGGTCATAGCGAAAGCCAGCCGACGAACCGGCCCGGTCCCCCCGGTCCTCGTAGGGGGGCAACGAGGGAGCCTCGACCGAGGTCGTTGAGGAACCCGGTGAACGACGGGAAGAGGTGGAAGTTGTGGTATTGCTGCGAGAGCGGCCGCCCAGGACAGACAGCCGCTTTGGACTTTGCGCATGCGCGGTAGATCTAGAACGGGTGTGAACCGGGTACTGTTCAGGGGAGCCATTGCTGGGCGGTCGGCCATAGGCACGGTCCAGATCCTGCTGAGACATGGTGCGGGTCGGAACAGAGGGACGAGTCGGTGGAAGGAGGTATCAACTCGACTGTGGAGGAAGGATATCTAGAAGGTTATTGAGAGAGGACAAGGTGCGAGCCAAGCATGTGAATGTGGTGAGGTGCTGAGCAAGTGTTAAGCCACCAATTGCGAAGAATTGATTTGGCTTTGGACCATGATAAGAGTACACAATGTCTCACGTGCAGCAAAGGGGACAATGTGATGGATTGAAGCGGAGTCGCAGAGGACGAAGAACGATTGGGGGAGGAGGCCAGGGTTTATAGAAGGAGCGGATGAGCGACACGGGGAGAGAGGGGGGGGTTTGGGGGGATGATGGCGGATGAAGATGGCTAGGCCGTATCGTGCGGCGGAAAGTTTCTGGAGTTGTTTTAGATCGAGGGTTGAAACGGATGTGAGAAACACGTCCAAAATTTCGGAACAGGAGAGCAGAATTGGGAAGCAGCAGGACCGTTGAAGCACCAGCCCAATGTTGGTCAAATGACACAAGAACCGGGAGTAGGAGATAGATATGTTGATCTATGTAGGGAAGAAGTTCGAGTGGGCAAAACCGATTTTAAGACACCACTATTCGTGTTGATACGTAAAGTACGAGAAGAACACTGCAATTGAAAACGAAGGACGACTGGTATCGGATCAGATGAAAGAATGATTCAACGTTGATAGAAGGAAAGAGGAAGAAGGAGGGGGAGGGGGGGGGAGAGGAAGAGAGGAAGAAGAAGTGAGGCTAACGTTATATGGAGAGAAAGGATGAAGGGGCAGGAAAAGAAGTGGTGGTGGTGGTGGTGGTGGAGGAGGTGGTGAAGGAGAAAGATGAAGATAAACAATGATTTTAAAAGGAGGAAAAATGAATTCATTACTACCACTACGCACTCACTAACTACTAACTACGGAGTAGGTACAGTACTACTCGACTTCCACAACCATGACTAGTCAAGTCGACTAACATTTACTAACTTATACTTCATTCAATGCTGGGGAAGTGGGAAAATTACAGGTATCGTGGGTCTGAGTTTGTTGTCAGGTATTGTTACTTCTTGAGAACTAACCCATCAGTACAGTACAGTACACTACACTACACAGTATTCAAAGATGCCGTTAATGAACAGGGGGGCGGGCGACCTGTTTAAGCCTCCCCTATCGGGTCGATTTGTCCGCCGTATTTAGAATTAACCACCAAAAACTAACGTACTACGGCCTGAGTTATTTATAATCTGCGCCATCGTTGAGTGCTACAAGCATAGAGAAAGGTATTAAGTAGTAAATTTGATTTGGAGCAGATACCTACTGAACAATAAGTTATCATGAACTACAATACTACAGTACCAGTCTTAGTTCTAGAATCCACCCAAGTTCTATGTTATTCTAAGCCTACCGAAACGCCTCTTTCCTAGCACCAATATCAGCATCTCCCATCCCAGTTATGGGCTAATGGAACTTTATAACCTACGCGGCGCTTTCAGCAATACACTATCTAGTATATAGCTACAATGGTACACGATTGGTATGTAAAACCAGGTTCATTGGGGATAAGAGAGTGTGCCTCCCAAACGAACTCACCTGCTGAATCCTACTCATAAGTTCGGGAAAGTTATAAGTGACAGCTTCCAAGAAATTGGTCTAAGTATCCGGGGAACCGACGAAGCATTGCCCTTCAATCATAAACTATATCCTGTGCGTATGTAAGTACAGTACGCTGGCTTTTGATAATCCCTCAACTGTTGCCCACTCTGACCCACGGAACCCGCCTTCTGCTGGCTCGATCGGCATTCGGCATTCTCAAGACTAGGTGCTGTCCATTTCTACTCGTAGGTCAATTGAGATATATACATAGGACGTATAAGTCATGGGTCAATTGCAGAGCCTGCCAAAGACTCTCCCATTTCCTTCTACGTATTCATTATGGTCAGTATATACACTAGTCCGGACATCTAGATTAGGTTTTAGGGTCCTCCCTCTTCCTCCTCTATGCTACGGGCAGGGATAGAATAACATGATAGACGTTGTGTTGTGTGTAGCCGCAATGGAAACTAAATGATGACAATCCCTCCAGCCCTGGATTGCAGGCGATGATCCCGCGCAGAGAAATCATCGTTGGGTAAGTATCGGCGGTGGACTTTGCAGTAAATTATTTTTTTCGGGGAAGGGGCGGGGAGTTGCCCTGCACTGCAACAAGAGTGGGATGGATACACGAGCTGAGATGGAAACTGTCCGAACCCCAAAGAGGACCTAGGTGCGTACTGTACCGACGGCCAGTACAGTTGAAGTCCCAGAATCCTGCCCCCATGCAGTGTTTGAAGACATCAAGTTGAACGAGACGTTAGTTCGATGTGGCCTTCCATTGATCGTTGGCTCCAATGCACAATGAGGGACTCGCATGCATGTATCCACCATGGTGTGCATTTCCAGCACATCTGTATGAGATTTGTAGGTACTGTACATACATCCGGGAATGTAAGGTATCTTACATAGTACAGAATGTGCATATCATGCAACAATGGCTGGGCTGGAAGAGTAGTCCATCCACCAACTCCACTAGTCATATCTACTTATGCGTAGATATTGAGTATAATATAGATGCTCGCCTCTGCTCCATTGACGCCATCCGACGCGAGAGGGACAAGATAAGTTACTCATAACGCTGGATGACAAGCAAGCTACGCAGTAGAGAGATCGAGGACTCCATTCAGCCCCAGTTCCGACCATACGAGACGTCAATTCAGGCACCACCGGATCTTCATTCGCTTATACTGGCCGTCGGCCCCGTTCCAACGTCCTCTCCACCACTCACCAGAGATATTCATGCTAGCCCTAGATTCTAGGTGCTTGACTGGACGCCTGACGGGAGCTTCTCGGCCTGGCTGAACTTTGTCAATGCCTAGCGGTGGGTCTAGGACGTCGAATCGAGCTGAGTGGGATCGCATTGGAGCAGCAGCAGCAGCAGGCATAGCGGATTCTATCGGATGTCCTTCCTAAGGGAACGAAATGTCAATAAAGGACTCATTTCACAGACGCGGGAGGAGTAGCTCTCTGACCCATGGTTCTAGGAACCTGGATAGAAGCGGGCGCCATCAAGACCACGACGGGACGTCGGTAATCTCCATCGGGCTGACAGTTTCCATCACATTCTGCGGCTTGCTGCTTGCAGCAGCTGCAGCACCTACGGAAGGAGAGACCAAATACCGTAGTTTTGCCTAGGCTAAAAAGCGGGCGGGGGGATAATGTTATCCACTTAACGTGGTGGGATCAGACTCATCGAGTCATCGTTTTATTATTATATGATTATCGAATCGACACGCGATCATCCTGGTCGGACCCATCCATAGATTCATACCATGACCAAGGAAACCGGGGTTCACTCAAAATGGGATTGTACGAATAATCGGGACGGAAGTAAAGTACAGTACTCGAAACCGAGAACTGGAATCGGGGACTGTCGTTCTTGTTCCCGTTCTTTGTTACTAAGGGAGTACTATTCTCCTCCGGCCTCGGACCCGAATCAAAGCCCCGAGTGTCTCACTGTTCTGTCCCAAGGTAACTTCGGCAATGAACTGGAAGTACCAGCCAATAGGATTCAATAGGCTGAAAGAAGCAATGGAGGCGGAAAACCTACTGGAAGGTACTGGGGTAAACCAAGAAAAACCCCCCCAAGAACGAAAAAGAACGAGGAACCCTCCTTTTGGGTGACACCAGAGAGGCCCGCATCATGTCAGGAACAGGAAGGACGCACACCGCTCGGGGTACAAGATACGAGTAGTACCTGCAGAAGCTGCTCGTGCAGCTCAGGCACGTTTCAGTTCCGATTCTTATTTTCTTTCTTATTTTCTTTTTTCTCTTAGGTTTTTAGCTGGACATAGCTACTGACTTTCATACAATACTCGGTATATGAGGCGGCCATCGGCCAGCTCCTACAAAAATCGTGACTAACTGCATAGCATACCAAATATACGGGCGTGTAAGTTCGATTGTATATTAGATTTACATTGTTATTTATCAATTGACAAGTTGAGCCATCAAACAGTGCTAACATAAACGAGTCAGCTCTTTCCTTATGTTACATCATGAGAGAGGATCTGTATGGATACAAACAAATTACAGGAACAGAGAAAGGGTATTTCAGATACATTACATGATACACCGAGTGTTATTTCTGTACGTATTGTGTCTGGCTCTCATCACCCAACCTCCATTATCATCATCATCAGTATCATCAACATTATTATTCATCCACTGTATCCATCCATCTAGCAGTCGGGCCAAATCTGCCACACCACTGTCTCAGATCTTTCAAACTTCAGCCCCCCCCCCCTTTCCTGATCTTCTTCATTTCCCTACCTTTTATGAACTCTATCCATCTCCCTAGCGTTTTGCACCATCCCATCTTTTGACTCCCAACCTTGTTGGCTCGCTCCATGGTTCGGACTCCTGACGATCTCTGAGGCTAGACCGGCCCGGCACCAGAGCTTGCCATTTTTAGCCGTGTCCTCCTCCACATTGCGCATTACACATTGCACGAGAGGGCATCTCTGCTTGGGGCAGCTTATTCATTCTTTATTGATTATTATGATTATTATGTTTATTATGATTATTATGATTATTCAAGTATAATTGACAGCCACGGCGAATTAATTCAAGCATGGCTTCATCGTTACCCTGCCTTGCCCTGCCCTGCTCTTATTTAGTTTCGGGGCTGCAACCAGCCACTCACTAACTTTCACATCCACAAAAAAGGGTGATCAATCGGCTTCAGCGTCCATATACCAACCACTTACTAACGATTTGTAAGTACGAAGATACTCCTAGGGTGCTCTATAGACCAGCTATGATAGAACTAACTTATAATCTGATCCTTTCCGACCCAACCCTCCATCTGCTGAAATGAATGCCTAGAAATGTCTGTCTGCTTGTGTGTATACTGACTCCTTTGTGTGCATCAACAACTACAGTCCAACAAATGAAATTGTGAACAGTAGGCCTTTCTACACAACAACTTCACTAGATATAGTCGCTACAGCTAGTTAAGACAAACAAGAAAACACTCAACCAATAGGCAGAGTAAAGAATTGATGTTACAAAATGCAAATGCCCTAATCCTACAATTGATTTGTTTCTTGCAATCCCTTGCCCCCTCACCTCATTCCCAACTCAATCCAACACGATTACAGACCTCATTGATCATCCTGCATCGCGGTATCCTCTTCGTCATTTTCACTGAACAAACCGTCATCTCCTTCATATCCTTGATCCTCATCGCCCCCAACAGTAGCTCCTCCGTCTTCGCCCCCAGCACCTGTGCCTTCTTCAGGCTCAGCCCCAGATCCTGCGCCCCTTCCAGCCACGGGAGCGCCAACCTCTGCATTCGCATCCTCATCCTCATCCTCATCCTCGTCATCATCATCATCATCAGCCACGCGCCGCGTGACCTTGGCTCGGCGCCGCTGTACCACATCTTCCTCCTCTTCTTCATCATCACCCGCCTCCGTACCACGCATCGCTTGATCCTCGTCCGCCGGAGCCACCGCCTCGTCGTCCTCGTCATCCGAGTCTACCACCATCTCGCTACTCTTGAATTTGCTCTGGACCTTGCCTCCAGCCCGACGCTCTAGGCGCCGACGCTTTTTCGGTGCCGTCTCACCCTCACTCTCACTACCGCTGCTTCTCGCTGGACGGGGTGAATCCCCACCATCGTTGATGAAGTCGTCCTCAGTACCCTTCTTCTTCCGCTTCGAGGTGGTCCGCTTCTTGCGCTTTACCTTGGCCCCCGTCTCCGACTCGGTCGTCAGCTCCGCTTCTTCGCGGGCGCGTTCTTCCTCGGCGCGCTGCTCGGCCAATCGTTGTGCCTCCTCAACCATGCGCTGGCGCTCCTCGGCAACTCGCTGTTTGCGCTCTCGCTCGGCCTCCTGCGCTTTGCGCACCTCCTCCTCGCGGCGCCGAATATCCGCCTCGCGCGCCTCGCGCGCCTGCTGGAGCTTGGCCGCATTCTTCTCCTCGTAGTCCTTCTGGCTCTGTAGGGCACGCTCAAGCTGCTTGATGATCGTGCGACCCATGTTCGCGCGTTGCTCCAAGGCACTCGCTGGATAAGGTGGGTTCTTGGCCTGCGCGATCCGCCCGAATGTTTCCACTGCTTTGTGGAGCCCATCCGCTGCGTCCTGCACGTCCTGGACCGTCTTCTGCGTCTCCGGAAGACCGTACGTCAAGGAGGCGATCTGATTCTGCACGAAGGCGATGTTGAACTCAAGGTGAACCTGGCCTGGCGCAACGGCATGCGCGCGTTGGGCGTAGTCAAGCGCGGTCTTCATGGCCTGTAGATTCATCTCCTGTTTACCCTTCAGTAACCAGACACGACCCAGGCAGGCCAGGATCTGCGCGTCACGAGCCCGGTCGCGGGACAGCGCAGCCTCATAATGCTCGATCGATCGCGTGAACTGCCGGAGCTCTGCGTAAACGTGGCCGAGATTCAGGTAGACACTAGCATCGCGCAGTGTATCCCGGACCTTGGAGAAGATGTGGACCGCCGAAGCGTGGTCCTTCTTGTCGTCGACAAGCGCAATCGCGATACCCTGCGCTGCGTAGGCGTTCCGCGGATCCAGCTGCAGAGCCTTGTCGAAGAACTCGACCGCACGCTCGTACATCTTCCGCCGCTTTTCCTTGTCTTGGTCGGTGTCCCGTCGCATGTCCCGCGCTGCCGAAAGATGAATGTTGCCCATCCCCGTGAGCGAGTACCGGTCATGCTTATCGTAATATTGCAAGGTGTGTTTGTAGTGGCGCTGCTCGTGGTCTTCCGCCAGATTGGCCGCGCGTTTCTTTGACTTGCTCAGATACCAGCCGAACAGGGCCCGAACCTCGAGGTTCGTCGCGTCGGCCTCGTACAGTTTGGCCATCTTCTTGGGTCCCTCTTCCGTTGGGCTCTGGCGCAGAGCGATGTATGTCAATCGCGCGTTGGCTTCTGTGTAGTCGGCGTGACGCTCCAGTAAGCCTCCATATACCTTCTTGGCGTCGTCTGGCATGTCGGCCGCCTCATAAGTGCGACCCAGATTGTAGCTGATGGTGGTCACCAGGGCGTCGACGTCGAGCTCGCCTTCCTTCTCCTGGGACTTGACGCAGGCGTCCAGCGCTGATTGAAACATGGTCCGAGCCAACTCGATCTTCTCGGCTTGATACAAAAAGCAGCCCATATTGTTGAGTAGTTGCGGAGGTAGCTGTTTGCGAAGCGCAACCTTGATCTGCTCCGCGTCCTCAACCCCTTCAGGGCGTTCCTCTTCAGGGATCTCCGCGAGTTGCATTTCCTCCAGCTGGGTGAGGCATTGCATGCTCTTTTCGGGGGCGGTCTGTTCATAGAGGCGGGACAGATACACCAAAACTGACTCATCAGGCAGTATCTTCTTATTCTCGTCCTTCCAGAGCGCGCGAACAGACTCCAGAAGCCCGATGGCTTTCTTCGCTTCGGCAGACTTATCGTCTTTGCTATTGGCTGCGAACACTTCCTCCGCGTAGAGGGCGCCGAGCAAAATCATACTCTCGGGGTTCTTGGTCTGTTGAATGATCTTCTCCAGCCGGAACTTGGCTCCATCGAGATCTTTGCTGCTTGAAACCTGCATTTGTATACTACCTAGTTTGGCAGGAAGGTAGCCGTTTTCGCCGCCGCGGGCCTGATCCGCTCGATTGTAATACTCCGCTGCGTGACCGAGGTCGCCTTCATAGTGTGCTTTCCGACCGAGCAAATACCAACCATCACTGGCAATCGGCATCACGTCCGTCTGTTGAATGGCTTTGCGGGCCAGGCTCTCAACGGTGCTATATGACTTGCGTAGGAGGAAGTAGCTGCCAAACAGAGCGCATGTCATCGGATACTCTTTGTCCAGTTTGAATGCTTTCTGCGTGTACTGTGTCATGGCGACTTTGTACAAGGAACCAAAGGCAGGGTCTGTGGTGGAGTGCCGGGAACTGTCGTATAAGTAGTAGACTGCAAGAAGGATGTTGGCGACTTTTGAATCGGGGTTCTAGAACGATGTATACGAGTTAGGACTGATATTCTTCTCACCTACCATACGATGGAGTTCACTCACCAGTGCAAGCGCCCGCTCCCAGGCAGCTTTCGCCTGCTCTTTGAATCCCAATTGCCACAGAGAACAGCCGATACCAATGCGGGGATCAGGATCCCTCAGCCCAGGCATTTTCACCAATACTTTCTGATACCCTTCCAATGCCTCTGCATAGCGACCCAACATATACTGTGCACGTGCATGGCCAAGAATCGCCATTGCATTGCGACCACCAAAAGCTTTGGACGACTCATCAAAGCACTTGAGTGCCTGGCGTAACGACTCGGCCCGTTCAGAGGTATCGATACCCCCAGTGCGCGTAGGTCGCAGAGGCTGCATGGACGCGCGCAAGAGAGACAGAACACCGCGCGCCAGAAACAGCGGGGGGAAAGCTGGATTCAGTCGCGAGGCCTCATTCAGTGTAGATGTCGCTTGTTGTAGATAGTAGTCCTTGGTCTTAGAATCTGTGTATATTTCGGAGTCGTTCAAGACACGAGGCGCTTGCCGACACTTTAGCATCAACAGCCAGCAGACCCAGCTCAAGAGCCCGAGCTTCTCCTTGATCGCCCCATGACCGACGGAGGCCAGCCCTTTGTTGAGGATGTCGATCGCATGGTCGAGTTGGTTTTGTTTGGCGTACGCGAGCGCGATAGTCACCCAGAAGTTTTTGGCGGCTTTCTCATTCTCCAAGAGAGTGCACAGCTCGGTAGGATCGTCGGGAAGAACTTCAAGGCTGACTTCCACTTCACTGTCAAGTGTCGACGCGGGAATATCGATCGCAGAAGGAATGTCGGAAAAGCGAAGATTGGCTAGCGATTTCGCATTCGGTAGGGAGTCGCCGTTGGTACCATTGGCGTGGCCATTCTGGGAAGACGCCATGGCTTTGTGATAAGCAATGCCTTGGTAGGCAGGGTGTGCTTGAGAAAGAGCAAAGAAGGCGAAAGGTGCTTGACTTCAGAGAGACAGCTCAGCTCATGTCATGTTCGGAGTCAACTCGGTAGCTTGAACGGGCAGCGCGGAGGAGGTTCTTCTGGCTGAACAGACAAGCGAAGAAGATAGCACTTTCCTGTCGCGATAGCAATGGAGACGCTGGACACGTGAGTAGTTGGTCGCTCGCGTATCGAAGGTTTGGTCAAGTTGAGGATTAACACTTGATCAGGGTTGGATGGAATAGAGTTGGAGACAGACGGGAACTGAGGCTGGAAAAGTAGCACCGCCACACGGATGTGGCTGGGGTCGGCCTGGCATAGTCAAGTTACTCGCAAGTCGCAACTCAGGCCTGGTGGAGTGCCACGATGCGCCACACCAGTCACTGGTTGGTCTCTAACTTTACTCTCAGTTTGGTCATATTGATGCATCAGTGCCTGTCAAGGCTTGAGTTGATAACTAGCACTACATGATGCCGGGTCTAGTACACTAATAATGCTCATCATGTCGTCAACTAAGTATAAAAGTAGGAAAGAAGTCATGGCTCTTAGTGCATCGCTTCATATCATGATAATGTTCAAATTTCCGACCGAGTTAGTAGCTCCTTTCACTGCAATGATTCATTCAACGGCCTCAAAACAGACCGAATAGCCTGGGTAACTTGCATAGTAAGGCAGTGCCCACCAATACCATGAAGATTCTGCCTAATTCAGTCCAGTGCCCTAGTCGAACATGGGTCTCAGCATATCCGGTAGCCGCCGCAGATTTCTGCGCTGGGGTACCAGTGCCAACAACAATAGAGCCTCCCAATTCAGTCGGGAATCGGCCGGTTTCAAACCATTCTTCCAAAAGTTGGTCCTTCTCGGCCCAGCGAGCTCGGATCCAGGCATCAAACTCGCTCTGATTGTCAAGTGGAATGTCCGCCACCGCAAAGCGTCTCCAATGCATGTTAACAGAGGTTGGTGGTCGGCCCTGCAAATACGTTGACCGAAGCGTGAAGTACTTGTCGGGTAGGCTGCCTTTTCTGCGCGAATGAACAGAGTTGGTTAGAGCTTGTGAAGAAGTATGGAATAACCAATTCACTTACGGAGGTCCTTCGTAGGCTACAGTGCAGTCGTAAACCCATTCAACAGTGCCCCGCAGTTGCTGCAGGCAGAAGAAGAGGCCAGTCGACCGGGGAATAATTTGATATTGCAGAGTTGGAAGCCCTTGTTTCGCCGCGTATTCTGCGCTCCGCCGTTTGGTATTGATTGACAGATTCGTTCCCTCGGGGAAGATCAGCAGCCACATGGGATCATACTGTGGCGAACTCGACTGAGATCCCGAGTGCTGCGTCTTCAACTTCTCCAGACGATGTTGGAGCCGCGGCTTGTCCGAGAGCCACTTCCGGGCCATAAAGATGAAGCCATAGAAAGTCATACCTTGCCCGATAATAGGGATGTATTTGAGGGATTCTTTCAAAATGATGAAGATGCGGCCGTGCATCTGGTTCGTATATGCGACCCACCACAAATAAATCCAGTCCGTATAAACCTGATGGTTAGCGATCATCACAAGTCGCTCTGGAAAGTCCGTTCGTAACCGTCCATCCTCCGCCAGGTGAATCTGATTCCGCACGCTCTTGTCTCCGCTAACGCGCACGACTGTTGGACAACCCCACTGTGTAAGAGCCGTGATCACTAGTCCAAATGATTGCTTGGTGTACGCCATGTACGCATAGTAGTAATCCTTGTTGATCAGATAGAGTGGGGAGCCAATGACTTGTGTTGCTAAGATGGCGACGCAACAGCAGTTGAACCATGTTGCGAGCAAGAGGGAGCGGAATATTTGCATGGCGAGGCCATGCTTCAAGCGCGGCTCAGCATCAGTATAAGCATGAGACTCGTTGCTCACAGAAGAAGCTGTCGGATTCACATGCTTCCGCTGACGAAGATTGTGTTCCATGATGGCACAAAGCTGGGGATGGACAACCAGAGATCTTGCCTGGACAGTAGGACTTTTATGGTCGGGACAACCTGAAGTTTATAATTCCAGGTCAGCATTCCCTCAACATGGTCACGCGGGCTGAGCTGTACAACAAATAGCTATGATGAGGGAAGAAAAGCGGTGTCAACCCAAACTCACTAAGAGCACCAGGCCCGCTCAGGGCTAGAAATAAGTCCAAGGACGAAGCCCAGGATGCCTCCAAGGTTCAAAATCTCGATATAGTGGCATGTACGAGTTCGACCAGAAAATGATAAAGTACAGATTAGAATAGCCTGGGTCAAACCATGCTCAAACCAGCAAAAAGAGGCGGTGGTTCCTCGTCTCTGGGGTTGTAAGGTTATTTATACGGGAGCCTCAGCGGTTCCGTGAATCACCGGAAGGGGAAAGCTGAGGGATGACATAACCCAAACTGTATTTAACTTAGTCGAGTTTAGTTAATTAACTTAACTACATAAGTAACTTAGTCAAGTTAAGTTACTCTACCGTATCCGTACTTGAGCTATTGACATATTGTCAATACGTCAGACCCTCCGACTGCGGGCGGTCTACCCAAACGCCGAGTCCGGGGGCGCTGCAACTCAATGCTCTTTTTTTCCCCCTCATTCCCCTGATCTATGATTCCTTTCCTCATTGTCTCCTGCAGCCATTCGAGGAGTTGGTGTCCTTTCCAATCCGAATATTCTGAGAAGATATAGCCGACCTACAACGGAGAATGTATCATCTATGAAGACCTGGTCCTTTAGCAATTGTACAGTGCATTGTTTCCGTAGATGCTGCCTCGGAGCAATGAATCTATCTATTTAAAGTGATTGTGCCTTTCTCTTTCTACTCACTCTGATGCTAATCGAAACATCGCTTCCCAGGATGCTCTTGGTCTTCTCAAGACATACTTCTCTCTAATATGCATTCCACGATTTTCCGAGCCCCGTCCCTCCGGGCCAGATTCACTGGTCAGCTCTCATGGATGCGAAGCTTCTCCTTGTCTTCGCAGCGATACGAGATCAAGGAGCTTGACACACTACCCCAGCGAGTTATACCAGGATACCAAGGTGTGCGTCATTATAGTACGGTGTGCGTGCATGATCACTGATTCGGGGTACTCGAATAGAATCGCAAGTAGGCGATCTCCTGTCCCTGCAATGGCCGGCGCCGCCACGCAACATTCTTGTCGTGAAAAAAGACTGTGTCCCGGCAGTAACTGAATCTCTTATTGAATTTGCAAAGTACGATATGCGCTCTTCGGCCATTTGTCGTGCAATTGATAGGGAAACCGATCCATACTGACCTCCGTGCGTTCTAGTCATGCGACATCTACGTATCCTTCAATATCGATCATCCTTGAACCCAAAGTTGCCGAAGAAGTTCATGCATCGCTGCACGTCCCGGCTTACACGACATCTCTGGATCGCCTTCGACCGGCACTCCACAATAAAGTGGATCTCACCGTTACCCTGGGAGGAGATGGAACTATCTTACATGCTTCATCGCTTTTCGCGACGTGCTACAATGTACCCCCAATGTTATCCTTCAGCATGGGCACGCTTGGGTTTCTCAGTGAATGGAAATTTCCCGAGTATAAGCGCGCATTTCGCGAGGCGTACATGTCTGGGGCGGGGGTGGGAGATCGCGCAACTGTGCTAGGCGAAGTGCGGCCGACTACGCATGATGAGCCACTAGACCTAGACGTGGGCCCAACGGGCTGGTCATCGGTACGGGGCAAGTCGATGGGTTTGACGCGCGGAGCTCGAATTCTGATGCGCAACCGACTGAAGGTAGGGCTTTTCACGGCCGATGGACAGCCAATTCGACAAGAAGCATCAGCGACATCTGTGCCAGGCATCTGGGATCGTCGGGGACTGTATGTCATGAACGAAGTACTGCTGCATCGCGGTAAAGAGCCGCACCTGGCAGTGGTAGATGTGTATGTTGGTGGTCGCTTCTTGACGGAAGCTGTAGCCGACGGGATCATCATCTCGACGCCAACAGGAAGCACAGCGTACAGCCTGAGTAGTGGTGGTAGTATCGTGCACCCTCTTGTCCCTGCTGTACTCCTAACCCCGATCTGCGCCCGAAGCTTGAGCTTCCGGCCGTTGGTGCTGCCGTCGAGTACACCGATCACGCTACGTCTGAGCGAGAAGAACCGCGGCCGCGAGTTAGAGGTGAGCATTGATGGGGTAAACATGGGTCAAGGGATGACGGCGGGGATGGAAGCGCGGGTGTGGAATGAGGAGATGCGGCACGGCAAGAATGAATGGCAAGGCGGAGTGCCATGTGTAATGCGGAGGATCACAGGTGGAGAGGCGCATGATGGCTGGGTGGGTGGTCTAAACGGATTGCTGAAGTTCAATCATCCATTCGGTGAGGATCGCTAAGGACTTTGCTCGATCATTCCGAGTCGATGGACAGACACATTATGAACAGATGTATGGACATAATACAATCATATATGCTTGCTGTCCGAAAATCATGGCCTTGAGAGAAGTGGGCTCGAAAAGGCGTCCGGAAGTGCATCCCCGACGCGAACTCTCCTCACATGTAGTCAACAAGAGCGTGGGCTAACGTATTCATACTGACCGAGAATGTGCCGTGGGAAGCAGGGCGGGATTTACCCTACTATATGTGGGCCGGCTAATGCAGAAGATTGGGTTGATATTCTTGTTGATGTACGTACATACCTCTCTCTAGATAAGTGATTACTGACTCAACTGGAATTTGAATACATAATATGGGCAGATTTGGTTGTTGTACTGATATTGTTGTCGAATTGATCATCGTTTGCGACCCATTAATTTTAGGTTTCTTTGTTCTAGACCTGATCTTCGCAGATTTTTTTTTCCCCTAGGCAGATGGGAAGGAAGATAAAAGGTCAGGCAGGGTCTGATCAGGGTCTGATTATGGATGCGATTTCTCTTTGCTTGTAGCTTGTATAAGGTCTAAGTGGTTACCAGTCACCTATTCTCACTCTTCATGTACACATACTGTACACATGTGTGGAGGCTCCATCCACTTCGCCACTTGTGTCGCCCGAGATGGGTTCGGTGTTTTATTTGTTGTTAGTCTGGTAATGGGCACATACTATATTACTATATGAGGAGCAAATCGGTTCGATTTAGGTTTGAGGTGAAACCACCAGCAATCAAGGTTATTGAGTCAACATTGTCTTGCATGCAAGCAAGCCTTGCCTCTGGATGATAATCCATCTTCTCTTGTACAGTATTCGTACATGTACATTCAATTTGGCTACAATTGCTGACAAGCAGGGAGACTGCCATTTAGAGAGCAAAGCTAGCCAAAATCAGAAGCAAAGAGTGGGAGTTTGAGGAGTTTAGATCATACCAGAGTAGGTTAATACCATGATGATGTGATGTCTAATGATAGACTGAAACAGTGGTATAGAGGAGGAAGAAGAAGAAGAAGAAGAAGAGGAGGAGAAGAAGAACAACTTGGAAGGAGAAGCAGAAGAAGAGGCTTCCTCAATAATAATAAGAGGTAAGTTAATAGTGAAACGACGACTGATAATTCTTTCTCCCCTTCTCCCTTAATGAACTAAAGTCATTCTTAGTTCAGTTATTACTAGTTATTCTAACTACGTACATGCTCCTACCTGCCTACCCTTGTACTGTACAGACAGTAAGTACTTACTGTACGTCGTACTTGCTCTCTCTCCGCTTCTCTCCCCTTTCCTCCCCTCCCCCTCTGTCGCACCCTTTCTCCTTGTTCTTCTCTTCCCTCCTTCCCTTCCCCTCCTCCTCCCCTTCATCCTCCGCCTCTCTTTATACCTGGTCATTTCTTACCTTCGCCTGTGTCATTATACGTGTCTTTCTCTCTCCCCCTCTCCCTTCCCCTTCATCCATCCATCCATTGTCATACAGCTGTGTCTTGCCTGCATCGTGTCCATCGCCGGTGCTCACCCCGCCTGGACTTCGGGGTAGCGACCTCGCGACGTGCCCTTCACGCTCGGTGAGGTTTTCTCAAGGACTTCTTTAAGAGAACAGGTAAGCCAGCATATTCTCATCCTTCGACCAGTGCCGTCACCCTCCATTGTTCCTTTGTTTCCTCCCATGTATTGGCTTTCGGCGTCTTCTCCAATCTCCTTGCCCCCTTTTCACATCTTTCACTCCGCCTCCGACATGCCTGCCCCACGATGTGCTGTACCCGCGGGTATTGATGCTATGCGCATGCATTTTCACCTTCTTTCCTCATTTCCTCCGCCACTCTCAATGCCCCTGCATTTGCGATTATCGGATCGGTTGGTGTTATGCGAGCTTCCTGAGAAATCCTGCAGGGAATCGCATCGCAGCCCCCATCTGGGTTGGTCGGACTGCTTCTTACCCCCTGCGCAATTCGCGTGAAGCCCACCATACACCCCTGACGCCTTCGTCCCCCCTCCGCCCCCCCCTCCCCCCGCCAAATCCGGAGGCTTTCCTCTGGAAAGTAAGCAAGTCTCCGTTTTCTCACCGTCTGCTACCATCTTGGCCCCCAGCCCCATCTCATCCCAATACCATCAGTGCACACTGTCCTTTGAGGGCTATGCTGACTCGGCCGCAGAATGTACTCCCCCGACCAATTCATGAACCCGGGGCCTGCCCCCCGCCCTCCCGCTGATCGGCCAAACCTCAATTTGCCAACAAACCCGACTGTAGCCACCTCGTTCAGCCAAATGAGTCTCAACTCTCCCAGCACTCCCGGGCCCGCCAATCTATCTTTGTTCCCCAACACAAGCACACCCACCCTCACACGTACCAAGACCGAACAGTCCGGTCAGGGAGGTGTCGCTGTAATCAAAGAAGGCTATGTTCGGTGCAAGGAGGACAAGTTTCTGGCAAGTTGGAACCAGCGGTATCTCATCTTACGTGAATTTCGTCTCGATTTCCTGAAGAATGAGACAGGCAAGGTTGTGCTGTCGATTCCGCTGGCCGCTGTCACCGGCGTCTCACGCTCCGAAGATACACGCATGGCGTTTGAGATTCTGCGGCTCGCCAATGCGAAAGATGCTAACTCCAAAGCGGCCTTAATTACTCGCGATGTGCCTACCAAGAGCATCACTTGTGAAGTCAAGAGCGACGACGAGATTTACGATTGGATTGACAAAATTTATGAGCGCTGCCCAGGGATGGGCGGTGTGAGCAATCCGACCAACTTCAGCCATCGTGTTCATGTCGGCTTCGATCCGCGCACCGGCGCGTTTGTGGGTTTACCCCCGGAGTGGGAGAAGCTCTTGACTGCATCGGCCATTACCAAGGAAGACTATAAGAATAACCCCCAGGCCGTCATCGAGGTCCTTGAGTTTTACTCCGACATCAAGATGCGCGAGCAAAATCCTCAATATTACGCCGGTTTGGCCTCGCCTCCGACCCAGCAGGCCAAACCACAGAGCAATAACTCCGTGGGCAATTCCATCGCGCCGCCTCGTCCACCACCCCCCGCTCCCGCGCAACGCCTGGATACCAGTCAATCGTACTCCACTAGTCGCTCGGCAGCCTCGTCTCCCGCTCAGTCTGATCGTACGGCGGAACAGCAACAGCAATTGGAGCGAATGAATGAGCTAGCAGACCAGGAACGGCGGCGCGTAGAGGAAGAGGCTCGCAGGGCACGTCAGCGAGAAGAGGAGCAAAGTAGATACGAGCAGGATGCGTATAATGCCTCACTGCCTAAGACTCGCGTACCCCTAGCGAAGCAGGAACTGGGAGGGTATGGGTCGCCGGATGATCGCTACAAGCCCAGTCGCCCTGCTCCGCAGGCTCCGGGCTCGACTCGTCCTGATCCCTCGCGTCAATTGACTGCCCAGCGCCCAGCACCTTCCCCGCCTACGGCTGGACAGCGACCTGGGGATCATGCTAATGGACGCACAGAGCAGGCCTCGCCTAGCTCAAGATACCCCGCTCAATCCCAAGCTGCACGAACTCCGAACAGTGGTCCCAAAACGCAGCAGGCTCAGGGCCCGCCTCCCAGCAAGCTCCCGGCGCCAGTGCAGCCAGTGAAACCATTGAACATTGCGAACAAGCAGGCGACAGGCAAAACGAATGTGCCAGACGGAGTCCGTCAAGCCGAAGCGGCTTTGACCAAGAAGGCTGAGCCCCGGCAGAGGGAGGTTCGTATGTCGGCTATGAGCGAAAACGAGGTTATGGATCGGTTGCGGTCCGTCGTTTCGAAGGATAATCCGAACGAGTCCTACAGTAAGCAGCGCAAGATCGGACAAGGTGCCTCTGGCTCTGTGTATGTGGCTCGGGTCAAGGAGCATGCCACATCTCCTGTTGCCCGTGAGCTGTACCGTCAATATGGGCCGCGAACTCAAGTGGCTATCAAGCAAATGGATCTGCGTAGCCAGCCACGCAAGGAGCTGATTGTCAACGAGATTATCGTCATGAAGGACAGCCAGCATTCTAACATTGTCAACTTCCTCGACTCGTTCTTGCAAGAGCAGAGCAACGAGTTGTGGGTCGTCATGGAATTCATGGAAGGAGGTGCTTTGACCGATGTGATCGATAACAACCAGGTGATCCAGGAAGATCAGATTGCGACCATCTGTCTAGAGGTACGTTGCAAGGATTCTCCACGCATGTAACAGACACTAACTTGAACTTTCACTAGACCTGCAAAGGCTTGGCTCATCTGCATAGCCAGAACATCATTCACCGTGATATCAAGAGTGACAACGTGCTCTTGGACCGAGCTGGCCACGTTAAGATCAGTGAGTAGTGATCATCTCGGAACACTATTGAAACTGTTCTCCCATAACTGACTCCATTGTTTTCTTTTATCACAGCCGATTTCGGGTTCTGTGCTAAACTCACAGAGTCTAAGAGCAAACGGGCTACCATGGTTGGTACGCCGTATTGGATGGCCCCCGAGGTTGTGAAACAGAAAGAATACGGACCCAAGGTCGACTGTTGGTCGTTGGGCATCATGGCCATCGAGATGATCGAGTCCGAGCCTCCGTACCTGAATGAGGAGCCCCTTAAGGCGTTGTATCTTATCGCCACCAACGGCACTCCTCGTCTGAAGAAGCCCGAAAAGCTCAGCAAAGAGCTCAAATCCTTCCTCAGTGTCTGCCTCTGCGTGGACGTCCGTAGCCGTGCTACGGCGGATGAGTTGTTGGCACACGAGTTCCTTAAGATGGGATGCAGTCTGGCTAGCCTTGCAGAGCTGCTGCGCTGGAAGAAAAACAGCGGACAGTAAGCGAAAAGGGGAGAGATCCCAGCGCGGGTCGTTACATGCTGCAGTGCTCATTCGGTACCCTTTGATGATTTAAACCAGATCTTGTTTCCTCCCACACATATGGGTCACATTTATGCACCACCGGTTGATTTTGTTAACCCCTTTAACGACCCGCCATTGCACCCGAATTCTTATCGTGATATCCAAACTTTGTTACGCACGGACTTGGCATGGATGCTTCGGCGTTTTTGATACTGATTTTTTCCGGCCTACCATGGCCCTCCCTCGCCTTTTTCCCTATACATTTTACATTTGTGCATAATTCTTATTTGCTGCCCGCCTACTTCCCGCTGCGTGATGCTGTGGGAATGGTCTCTGCTGAATTATCTCTGCCCACGGGAGTGCAGCGACATTGAAACAGCAAGATGCGTGAGGCGCTGGATGATTTGACCTGCTTTGTCAGTCGAGAAGCTATTTTACCGAACATGCGCGGACGTTCTGATACTAGAGAAATGCACAGTCGACGAAAAAGACGGAAGGGTGGACGATAGACAGTCCAAATGATGCCGCCGTTTCCTTGTGTTCATTTTCATTTCCCACCCATTTATGTCGGTCAACGAATCTGTGATACGATAGCTTGATCACTGTTCGCTGGCATGCAAAGGAAGCGCAGTCGACCTCATGAGGAACGAAGACCGGCGCAATAGAGCCATTATGTGGTTGTTTTTCCATGCGACTCTCAAAAGTAGGGGACGGACATAGAACCAAAACAATAGAAATATCCTCTCTTTGTGTCTTTGTTGTAATTTTTAAACGAGTTCATATTCATACTCCCATAGCATATATTGACACCCTTACCACACAGTAAGGTAAGTAGACATACATGTAGAAACCACAAGAAGGCTGAGCCCAGCCACCAGATGAGGATGGGTATGGTTCAGAAGAGCATGTTCAGGCGGACCGCTGCGGTACTGTATAGTTCAAGACTGCGGCAACAATCAAGCGAGTATGCAAACATATCACTCGACCAGCCGACCCTTTTTTATCGTCGAGTCATGTTCATTGATCAAGCCTGGCAATGCAGGGCAGGCAGCATCATTTCGTTATATCTTGATCTCCCAGCTAAGCGCTCGACTTTGATGAACTCGGCATCACAAGAATAGTACATGAAATACGAGAAGGGCCGAAACAACCTCCAGGAAGGAGGAGCCAAACCATCAAGGCAGGTCTTCGAAAGGTTTGGTAGGACACAGATCCCCGAAGAACACACCGGTCGGAACGGAGTCGTCATCCGACGCGGACTCGGACTCGGACTCCAGATCCGACTCGGAAACCGGACCGTAGCATGCTTCTGTAAGCCCCTGAATCCACCGAGCGCGGTCGGTCTCTTGGACGTCTCGCCAACGGCGGTAGGATGAAAGGGCATCTGCTGGGGTGGATTCTACGAGTAGACGATTCGTAGCTGAGTCGCAGGTGATGAACGACGGTTTGCCCGATGTGAGGACAGGGATGGGGGAGGGGGTCAATGATGCACATGAGATGGGGCGGTTGTTGGAGGCTCTGACTACCGTACCCGATTCCGGGGATGAGGTTGAGAGGTCAGCGGGAGGGAGTGGGGAGGGAGGAAGTGGGGAAGAAGGAGGAGGAGGAGGGTAATATGGTCGAGCTACAGCGTCGCGGATATGCGGGGGTAGCCATTCGGTAGCGCCGAGGTAGGGAGGCATTGCTCCCCGAATCTCGGTGAACGCCTGCAGGACGAAGCAGACGATGAGGATGGAGAGGAGGGCGGCAAACCCGCTGGAGAAATGGGTCCAGATCTCCGATTCCCCGGGCATAGACAAGACGTAGCGAGGATTGCGGCTAGCGGGGGGGCAGGGGGACAGTGGGAGAGTATGGACGACGACTGTATTGCCCATACTGACCGAGGCCAATCGAACGTATTGCGGAGGAGTCGCGGCCGAGACAGGGTGCTGGGGTGAATGGAAGGGAGCAAAGCAAAGCTTGGTCATGGAAAAAGGGTGCACGTCGGGGAGAGTAGTATAGTGACGGAGAGGGCCGTAGCCGCCCCGGCCGTTGAGCGGATTGAATTCGAGGGTCAGAAGCTCGATGGACTGGTCACTGCCAGAGACTGCGATGATGGCCTGCTGCTGCTGTTTAACGAGATCATCGCTCCCAGAGCCTAGAAGGCAGATATCCAAACCAAGACCGATTTTGATGGTCTTGCGAAGCTTTTTACGCCGGATGATGCTTGCTTTCCCAGTGGTCATCTGCTGCTGCTGTTGCGGTTTCTTCTCCCCTAAATTGGGAACCAAAGCACCTCGGAGGTCGAGGATCATCAGCTCACAGCCCTTACGATCGGGAGAGTTCTGCAGAAGGAGTAGACCGGTTGGCGAGAGGAAGCGCAACGCCCGGAACTTCGGCCTAGTCCGCGGCCCCTTCTCCGGGACCGGTGTCGTATAAATACACTGCACGTCCGGCGCAGCATTTGAGCGAGTGTCAGCAGTAACTTGGCCTACGAAAACATCGACACCATTGCTGTAGGCAAAGCGGAAGGTGCCCGTCTCGTCGTCCAGTTCAATGATATCGATGTCCTCAGCCTCCTCATCGCTGCCTAGCCGAATTCGACCGATAACCTCCGATTGCCCAGGGGTAGTGGTCGCGCTAAAGAAGACGATCTCGCCAGTCGCCGCCAGACCGGTTGCGATGGCAGCTACTCGAGGGGATTGCGCACCGGACTTCCACGGGGAGAGGCGCAGAAGGCGTTGATAGGTGTCGGATGATTTTGAGTCCTTGGCTGTGCGGAAGAGCGACGCGCGGGACAAGGGAGTAGTTTTCCCAAGAGTCGGTGTCGCAGACGAGCCGTCTTCTGACGACTCAACGACCTGATCGGCTCTAGAGTAGGCTTTGCGTGGAGGATAATCGATGCGGAAGGACCGTAGATGTTGGTTGTTGTCTCGCTTCTGTTCTTCAACGGAACTGTTGATGCCAGCCAAGGCAATGACCGAGTCCTCCGTTGGCAGCGCGGCTGCCAGCGAGGTTACCGAATCTTCATCGCGCGACAAGTCTATATCCACGACCGGAGTGAGCGTTTGGCGTTTGGAGGAATCGAGAAGGACCTGTTTACAGCACAGGATAATCGTTAGCAGGTACATTCATAGGACTGGACCGAGGCGGCGACGAGGCAGACGTGCGATTTTGTTTCCCACCCCACTGCGACCCTCCCCTCCTCCACCGGCAACGAGCAAAAACCCAGGGTTGCGCGGGTCGAAATCAGCGGCGAAGAGAGGACAAGAAAGAGTCAGCTTAGCGGAGGGGATGGAGGGCGCCATGTTTGGCGAGCACAAAAGTCAAACAGTCCGCAGAAAGGGAGAACAAAGAAGGAAAAAGTCCGGTAGGTAAGAATGATTGAAGGAGCAGAGGGGGACGAAAAGATGAAAAGGGAGTGAGGGAGGGAGGTGATCAGAGTAAGAGAGACCGAGGGAGAGCGACAAAGTAGACGGAAGAAGACGCAAGGTTAATTGAAGAGCATGCTTGGATCATGGATGGGGAGCCGCCAACTGGCCATGACGTTGATCCAGGCCGCGGGAGGCTGGCTTGCTCTTGGCGCCCGAAATAATTTACTACATACGCTCTATCTAAACTAGAAAGGAAGTGATATTGAATGAAAATAATTCTCTATTAACAAAGAGACACGGGATGTCAAAGGCCGTCATCAACAGCCATTGATGGTCTAAACTCGCTTGAATTGGGCTGTCTAATCAACCTCCTGGCCAGTGAACTCAGGCAGACGCTTGCGGACGTCCTCCCAAGTCTCCTCACCATCGACGAGAGCCTTGAGAGCCTGCAAGATCTCCGCCTCACTGGCACGGACTTGCTTCGTCGAGTCGCGGTCACGAAGGGTGAACGTTTCGTCCTTGACCGACTGGAAATCGACAGTGATGCCGAAGGGGGTTCCCAGCTCATCATTGCGCGCGTACCGCTTACCAATGCTAGCGGATGAATCGTCCACCCGGTTGGAAATACCCATTCGGCGCAGAGACATCATCAGCCGTTGGCTAAGGGGCGCGAAGGAGGCGTGCGTCGACAGAGGGACAATCAATACCTTGGTCGGAGCAATCGCTGGGGGGAAGGACAGAACCTGCATAGCGGATTTAGTTAGTTCGGTGTGTTTGGCAAATGCGGTGGTTTGAGCAAGAAAGGAAGATAAACTTACACCACGAGCTTCATCACCCTCACGAGACCAGTAGACGTGCTCCATCATGCTGTACAAGATACGACCAATACCGAAGGACGGTTCAATCACGTTAGGGGTGTACTCGCGCACGTTCTCCACCCGAGTGCGTTTCTCAATCTTGATCAGCTCACTGTCCAGCTCGACCGAGCCGGCACTGACACCCTCGACAGGCACCTCAATCTTGCCGTTCTGTGTCAGGTCCAGAGAGAGCTTCTCCCGCATATCCTGAGAGAGGGCCTCAATAGCGGCCTCAACCGTCTTACCATCCTTCTTGAAACGGGGACCGAATTTCTTCTTGTCCAGATCAATCTGCCACTCCTCAATCTTCAAGGGCTCAGCGCGAGGCTCGCGCACAACCAGGGGCGCACCAGTCTTGTTCTTGTGCACCGTCAGATCGTAAGCGCTGCGGTCGGCGCAGCCGACACACTCGATCCAGCCGTAGCTGGTTTGGAGTTCAGCATCCCAGCAGTCCGCAGCATAGTGGGCCATTTCGTTGGCCATGTGCTGGCGGAAACGAAGCTTGCTAGGGTCCACACCAAGCTTGAGCAGGAAAAGCTGGATACGAGCCAAGAAATAACCCAGGGTTTCGTTGTCCACCAGTCCGGACTCCACGGCCTTGCCAATGGTCATCTTCTCGGTTTGAGTGCGCCCGGACAGCTGCACGTCACGGTTGAGCAAGGTCAATTCAACGTCCTTAACTTCAGCGAAGCGGGCGTGCTTCTTGCCGCCCTCGGGGTCAACGAAATGTTCGATTTCGGCCATCAGAAACTCACGCACGCGCAGCAGACCAGCGCGGGGGGAGATCTCGTTACGGAAAGACTTGCCGATCGAGGCAGAGGCGAACGGCATGGATTGCTGGTTGAAGTCCAACAGCTTGTGGAAGTTGAGGAACTGACCCTGGGCGGTTTCAGGGCGCAGGAAACCAGGCATGTTGCTGCTAGGCCCAATGGAGGTCTGGAACATCAGGTTGAAGGCCACTGGAGGAAGGAGGTTGCCATCGGTGGTCGGGTTGCGGATATCGTACTTGGCGATAATCTTCTCAAGAGCAGGACCGTCGAAGTTGTCAATTTGAGCCAGGACTTCTTCGTACTCCTTGACGACAGCATCTTCAAGCTTGACAGCCTTGGTTTGCTTGGACTTGCGCTTCTTCTTAGCTTCCTTCTCTTCGTCCACCTCAACCTTCTGTCCACGGGCCTCCTTGTCGCCCTTCAGGCGGCTCTCAAGCACTTCCTCGACCAGGTGGTCAGCGCGGAAGATCTCACCGGTCTTGGGATCCTTGCACATCCAATCGGCGAATTTCTCGACGTGACCACTGGTTTTGAGAATATCATGCGGGGTCAGCATTGTGCAGTCGACCTCGAGCATATCCTCCTCCAGCACGAAGTGCTTGCGCCACAGGTCGACAATGTTGTTCAGGACGGCACAACCGGGCGGGCCATAATCGTAGAGACCGGAGACACCGCCGTAAATCTCGAAGGAGGGGGTGTAGAAGAGGCGGCGGCGCAGCATAGAGTCCAAAACGCTGCGGTCAACGACCTGACCGGTCCGGGTGTTGATCGTAGCCATTTTCTTCTTTTTCTTCTGGCTTGGACTAGATTGAGCGATACGACTCTTAAAAAGGAGGGGCGACGTAGAGAAAAGTCTGGAGGAGGAGGGGGAGGGGGAGGAGAAGGGAGACGAGACGACAGTCGCGGGGATTGAAGCAAGAAAAAGAGGGGCAGCGGAATAAAGTGAAGAAAGAGTAAGTGGGCAGCGGCGGCGGGGAAGAAAAGACGGCGGCGGCGGCGGCGGTGGCCGAACCAGGAGAGGAGAAGTGATGAAACGAGGGAGAGCAGAAAGACGAGAGCAATGCTGCGAGTGAGTCATCCGCCACGTCTCTACAAACTACCAATCAATCACCACGTCAGACCAGCCAATTCGCTGATTCGAAATGATGAAGATGATAAATTGAAATTGAACAGTTCTCTTCTAAGCTAAATTGGCTTGGTTGGAACTGGAGAATGATTGCTGGCTTCCATGCAAAATGAACGGGCATAAAAACTTCCACATTTCCTGATTGGGTATGGTTGTTGTTCCCGCTTCGTGATGTCAGCAAACCGGGTTCTCACCGCCGGAAGTGGTTGTTCCAGTCCCGATATCATTCCGCCCGTCTCAATTCTTTTTTTTCCCCTCCAGTAGTCTTTTTTGCCTAGCGTCACACAAGCACAAGTCAATTGTGAGAAATACCTTGACAGATTCGCTAGGATGGGTTCAGGAAAGGCCCTCGCTCGGCCGCCGCCTGATGCGAGTATGGAACTCAAACCGCGCAACAAACTTCGCCGTCAGATGCTTCATATCAAGAGAAAGCGCGCCAAGGATTCCGCTCGCCGCACCGAACGATACGCCTTCAAGAAGGAAGAGGCCAAGAACCCCCGCTTGAAGGAGGAACGGCTGAAGCGCAATATTCCACTTACGATTGATCGGAAGCGAGTATGGGATGATGCCGGCAGTGACGTCGAAGATAGGTTGGGATTGAGTGTTGATGTGGAGCGCATCAAGAGACGCAAGCAGGAAGAGGAGGATGAATTGAATCGACCCTTGGAGAATTCCGAAAAGTCGGGGGATGAAGAGTCGCAGGATGATGATGATGAAGATGACGATGTGGACAGTATGCTTGCTAGCAGCGATGACGAGGAGGAAGACGATGAAAATGATCGAGAGGGCGATGAAGATGAAAAAGCGGACGACTCTCGTGGACGGCGCAAATCAGCTCTTCCTTCCGCTACCGAGCGAGCGACCAGCCCGTCGCGAGCGACCAAGAGCACTAACCTCAGTCTTGTCCCGGATGCGCTGGCCGCCAAATTCCCCTCGTTGTTCAACCTTGAAAATCCCTCACCCAAGATCCTCATCACCACCTCGCTCAACTCAACCCTGCATCACGAGGCCGAGCTACTCACGGACCTCTTCCCCAACTCGCACTATGTCCGCCGCACCCGCCATCGGTTCGCTCATCAGTTCTCCATCCGCGAGATCGCCAAATTTGCCTCGAATCGGAACTACACTGCACTGGTTATCTTACGTGAAGATCAGAAAAAACCCACCGGCCTGGATATCGTCCACCTGCCGACTGGTCCCATGTTCCACTTCTCCATGTCGAATTGGGTTGAAGGCAAACGCATTCCTGGGCACGGAAACGCCACCGATCATTTCCCCGAGCTCATCCTGAACAACTTCCGCACTCCTCTGGGTCTATTGACAGCCCATCTATTCCGCACTTTGTTCCCCGCCCAGCCGGAAGTTCAAGGCCGACAAGTCGTCACCGTCCTGAATAGTCGCGATTATCTTTTCTTTCGTCGTCACCGCTACGTCTTCCGCGAGAAGCGCGAGACTGAAAAGGCAGTTGTAGGTGCGGATGGTAAGGAGATGAAGGGTGCCGAGGGCATTCGAGCTGGTATGCAGGAACTGGGGCCCCGCTTCACACTGAAGCTGCGCCGGATCGATAAGGGTATACAACGAGCTAGTGGCCAGGAGTGGGAATGGAAGGGTGGTATGGAGAAGACCCGCACCAAGTTCCAGCTGTGATGCATTTTCTCCCATTGTTTATCTCGAAGATATCCAGCCATGTTTGTTTGCATTGGGGTTTGGATGGGCGTTTTGTTGGTTGCTTTACCCGAAGCCCTGTTTTCATTGGGGAGGGGTTTCTTTGCTTGTTCATATTACATCGGGATATCATCCTAGGACTATCTTATTCCGTCATGCATGACGCTTCAAGGCTCTTTTTTTCCATATAGTCTTTATAGACGCTCTCGATGTTGCTTGGAAAAGGGTTTCGAGACCACCTGGTCGCGAAGATCCAGCGCTTTTCTAATTATGCAGCCGTATGTCGCAGTAAATGGCCGCAGACTGGACACTTGCGGTTCCTTCTTGCCCAGAATGAGGGCTTTCTCCCTTTTCATCAGGTCATGAATCTGAGGTATAGATGGACATGACATCAATCAACCAAACTCGTTGCAGGAAGAAAGGGCCCGAGCGATGCTGGTAAGTCTCGAGGAGCGCGTAGGGTAGTGGAATGGAGTCGGAGGTAAGAGAAGGACAATGAGAGAAGTAAGCCACCAGGGCGGGCTGGCTGGCTGGGTGGAAGAAAGCCCTGATTGTACTTGTAGATCAAGGGCCAGTCGGAGGGGTTTAAAAAAAAGTAGAGAAAATAAAAAGAGAAAAAAAAAAAGGGAAAGAACGACAATGCCTTCTCCAACACTACTTTGAACAACAATACTACTACCTACAACACCAACAATCACCTTCCACATTGTACTTTACCATACACCATACACACACACTCCCCTGTGTGCACCAGACTCCTCCTCCTCCTCCTCCCCCTCCTCCAACCAATGTCCATATCTCCCACCTCTCCCGCAGCCGCAGCCGGGCCGATACTCAAAGTCCCGCACCGCTTCCTATTCATCGCCTCGATCGGGAACCGATTCCCCCAGCATTACCGCCAAACCCGGCACAGCGCGGGGCACATCCTGCTGGATGCGCTTCTGCCGCTCCTGCGCGCGCGGGTGCCCCATACAGGCCGCGGGGGGGACGGGGGCGGGGGCGGGCGGCCCTACTTCTACGAGACCTTCGAGTCGCCGGCCATGATGAACGTCTCCGGCGGGAAAGTTGTGCCGGCGCTGAACACGTGGATGAAGAAATTCCCCAGCGCCGGGGTCAATCACCAGCAGCTCGCCGAGCGCGGGGAGCTGACGATCCCGGACGCGAGCCTGCCCGACCCAGGGCGGCAGCTGCCCGAGTGGGAGCGCCGGGGCACCGATCCGCGCAACGTGCGCGACTTCAAACCGACCCTGGTCATCCTGCACGATGAGCTGGAGGCGCCGCTGGGGAAGGTCAAGGTCCGCCGCGGGGGTCCGAATGAGGCCAGCCTGCGCGGCCACAACGGCCTCCAGAACATCTTCGACGTCCTGCGCTCCAAGAAACACTACCCGGCCAAGTCGGCGACAAGCCCGAGGGTGATGCGCGTCGGCGTGGGCATCGGTCGCCCCAAGGAGAGAACGTCCGAGGCCGTCTCGAAATATGTCCTGGGCAAGATGTCCCAGACGGAGTTGGATGCCATTGCCGCCGCAGCGGGTCGCGTCATGGATCTCCTGGCCGACGAGTTCTACCGGTCGGACGATGAGCTCAAGTAAAGGAATTCATCATAAACGGAAGGATGGAAACAATGGATTGAGCAAGCAGCGGACAAGCAGATAGATTTTCATGCTGGGGGAGTCATGGCCCAGCCGTATATTATACAGATACCCATGAAATGCAATTCATTCCCTTATATGAAGAGGAACGCGAATCCAGAGTCTAATTAGATCATACACAAATGCTCCGTGTCTAGCTAAGGAGCTGGAAGATAGAGAGCCACTCCTCCCTCCTCCCTCCCAAACATCCTTTGCTCGACGCACGAGCAAATCAAGGATTAGAGGCAGCCCATCGAGGAAGAAATGGGGTAGTAATAGCGACAGCGCAAATCCGAGAAAGAATAGCAAATAATGGGAACGCCTCCCTCCCTTCTCTGGAAAAATGAACCTGATCGACAACCGAAGCCTCACACAGTGCCCGCTATGCTTAGGTCCCGGATTTCCTGCAACACTTCTTCCACCCGATTGTCCAAATCTCCCCGAGCATACTGATCCCGCGTCTCCGCATCCAGATACTGCTGTACTTGAGCCATTCGCGAGTACGCCTCGGCACAGAAGCGCAGCTGGATCTTGACCAGGGCTTCGAAGCTCGGGTCCAAATACGGGACCCGGAGATCAATCAGTTGCGGTAGCTCCGTGAAAAGTTGCTCGTTCAGTTGCTCATACGCCTGTTTGGCGATCTCCATCTCGCGCTCGGTCCGGGGCAGTTTCGTGGCGTCCTTGTCAGGCTTCTCGACCAACTTCTTCACCTTAGCCCGCATCGAGTCGTAATCCAGGAGTTTGTGGTTGCGTTTCTTGATGCACTCGTTGATATCCGGGAAGTAGGCGCAGAATCGCGAGATCGGTTCCAGCACGGTCGACCTGTAGCAGCCTGGTCAGCATTGACCAGCAAGAGCATCGACGGCAATCGCCAAGGAGGAGTATTTACCGATAGGGTCCATCCAAGGCTTTGATCGTCTCGGCGTCTAGATCTTCCACCGCCTGCTTATAACTCCGACTGACGCCATCGCGTGTACCCGCATCGCCGTAAAAAGCATCGATCGTCTCGGCGATGCGCATCTGGGAGGCGGTCATCGCTGATAGAATTGTCTGCGCATTAGCAACCTGTCCCCGGGGACCTCCCAATGGCTCGCAAGCGGCTTCAGAGAGAAAACACACCTCGCAGCGAATCCAAATATCCCTTGGCCTCCTTTTGTAGCCGGTTGGCAGCAGCCTCCATGGTCCGATACCGCCTGAGTCGGAGCCTATCAGTGACCCGGACCAACCACTGATCACCAGTTCGTTTGTCGGAATGTGCCTTACCTTTCCTCAATCTCATAATCGCGATCGTTGGTCCGCTCCACGTGTCCTAGTCCGCAAGGAAGTATTTCGAGTCAGCCGCGGGTGGTCGTGATCGGTCGAGGGGGATGATGACAGAAGACAATCTCATCGCGGGGTACGCAGGCAGCCAAACATACCGGTCTTCATCATCACCTGCGTCGTTGCGCGGTTCACATTTTTCTTGAACCCTAAAGAGCCCAGAGATGTTAGAGAAGAGGTCTCAAGCGGACAGGCAGAGACTGCAAGAAGCAGGGATGGCGTTGCGCACCTGCCCAGGACATGATGACGATATGGGTCTTGCGAGTCGGGGGTGAAGTCTTCGAGATAGGGCGTTGGATGGCTGGATGTAGGAATCGATTGGGATATGCCGCCGCAAGAGATAGGCGCTCCGATAAGGATTTCACACGTGTTTACCGAAACAAATGGCGAGTTCGTTGTTGTTCGAGTTCCAAGTCCGAGGGAGTGAAACGTAATGGTGGAAAGGGTGCCTCTTTTCCGAAAGCAGATGGAGATGCCCGATGAATGCGGGACAAGGCAGGCTGCCATCACTGTGGCGCGGACCCAATTATGAATGATGTGGCGGTGCTCTGTCTTGTAATGTTCTCTGCATTACAGCCCTACTGTATGAAATATTACGTACACATGTATTGTAATCTGTAAGTATAGCCCGGGATCCGCGGACGGATGACCTCTGTATTGTAGTGTAATGTAGCAGCACGGGCTGTGCCTCTGTAAGTCACAGTAACTACTGCATACAGTACTGTACACTGTGTGTATCACTGTATCTGCTAGGCCCCTTCTACGTCATGTATTGCCAGTATCAACAAACGTTGCAGCCTGCCTCCTGCCTTCTGCTATGTAACTTCCTTTAGTTAACATAGGAAATTGGGAGTGATGTCAGTATGTCACTCAGTTGATCAGTCAACCACTGCAAATATACATTGTTGTGTACGGACTGTACATTACAACATGTCAAGGCTATCTATCTATCCTCCGACTTTCTCTGGCGCGCAATTCTTTTCCTCACCAAGTCATTGCAGCGCATCGTCGGCCGAACCAGGCTCCAGACCCTGAACATTCTGTTGCTCCGCACCCCGGATTTTGAGGAGCCCTCGGTGCAAGCAAAGTGATGATCCTCGAGTATGAGACCTACAATATCATGTGTTGGTCCAATGAAGGATCGACAGGCACAGCATGGCATAGTCACTGTGTACATACATACCCGTATGAAATGTAATCCCCCCTCGGGGCCTCGGAAAAGAAGATCCTCGTGCCCAAAAACAAAATGGACCCTGAACCTTACAGTAAATTCCTTCAAGTATGGATGCACTCTTGGTAGATACCCCGTACTTACATGGTAGCGCACGTTTTCGAAAGTATACTCGAGTATGTCCTAAAGAGAAGCAGTCAATTGGTCTGCCAAGATCCACCCGATATCGGACGCTTGGCCATCAGCCCTGCAGCGGTTGGCGGGTTCTCGACTTCTCCATCGAACCAGAAGGAGGCAATGCAGCGCAGTGACTGACTGTTAGGTAAGAGGTTCAGAAGCTCGCCTCTTCGCCAAGAGAGAAGAAAATGGTGCTGCCTACCCTGAGCGGAAGATCATCCGGAACTCCTCGTCTTGGTCCTTCTCCATCAGCATAGGGCTGGCTGCAGTGCCAAGCTTGACATTTTCCCAACGGAATCAAACAGCAACAACACGAGCACTCAGACTCAAGAGGGTGGAAGGGTAGCAGCCTGAAAACTCTCGGTACAGAGTAGAGGGCCTCTAGATCCCGAAGCGGAGGGTTAACTCCATAGACAGTGAATAGTGAATGACCCTGAACTACCAGATAGACAGACGGTGAGCCCGGCATCAATAACAAACAACCCATCCCATGTCAAGAAAACATGCTGGGTGAGCTGTCAATCTCCACTCCTCAAACTCCTCAATGACAGTCAGTCAGTCAATCAGTCATTTGCACGGCCCGCTGAGGAAACTAACTAATTCCATTGACTAAAAGCTCGAGTTCGTCTTCGGACTGCAGGATGCGCCAAGCGAGCTTGATCTGGCTTGTTGCCCGGCGCATTCTTTCCTGCATACGTACGTACAGTATATATACTTATACATACAATAATACAGAGTACATTATTATGACAATATGGGAGTGTGCATGGCCTGCGTCGTGTATCCTGGGCTGGACCGGTCGAACAAGACATAACCACCAAATTCAATGCGGAATCACAATCCGCTGTAGTCTGTGCATGCAGCGCAAAGTGCCAGTCATGTGTTTGGGGTTACCTGGCAGTTACAGGTCTTGTTCGTGGTGGTAGCGGTGGAGCAGCTGCCAGTTATCGGGAATCCGACCGTGGGATTTTGATCGCGACCGAGGCTGAAACCGTTGCCTTACACATTGTACGCATTTTGGGCGGCTCTTAGTTGGTACAGTAACTAAGGTGACTAGATGCGCCGGAACTCGAACTCATTTTTGACGTTCATTGATCGCTGGCCTATAAATGCAGCATGCAGCAGACTGAGTAACTTGAAAGAGGTCGTCCCTAGTCAGTTGCTTGATCACATAGACAGAAACCAGACAAAAAACCTCGTGCTCTTACGTACTGGAAACAAGACCAGGTCAATTTCTCTATCTTAAAACATTCCATAATTTGGTACGGTACATAGGAGCCATTATTTGTTGAGTCGCGGCCAGGATTGAGTACAACAAACGCCGCTGTGCAGTATAGCCAGCATTCAGATGACTAGATGACGAGCAAGAATATTCAGCCAAGGAACGAGAAATGAGAAGAATGGCATAGATGATCAAATCGGAGAATATGCCGCCAGAGGGTATCCTAGAAACACGCATGCCCGATCCCCGGTCCCATAATAGTTTTGATGGTACAATAATTCCAGGACTTTGACACCAAGAACGACCGGAAAGTGAAGAAGACGCAAGCGAACGATAAAGACGCTAATGGTTAGGACAGATCCCAGCTGAGCCAACTCATGATATCCTCCCAAGGAGAGACTGATCGTCCAGCCGATCTCGAGAAGAGAGGATCACCACGACAAAAGAAATCCCAAGAAAGGAATAGAGAAGAAAAGAGAAGAGGAAAGGCAAGAGGAACAACAAAAGAAGACAAAAGGGCGGTGCCCTTGAAGTGTGAGCGACGAGTAGTCAACCGGAATGGATGTATGTTGCATCAAACATGTTAAAGTAGGAGAAGGTGGCTCATAGATCATGACTGTTCGTTGCATTGACATGGAAACATGAAGACCAAACTAAACCCATAAGCTAGTAGGCAGGAGTATAAAGTAGTGGTAGAGACAGAAAAACATGCGCCGGTATGATAGCTTCGAAATCAAAAGGGCCCCCTTCTATGGTATCAGTCGCAAGACAGACCGAGAAAGAAGCAGGCGGAAGGAAAAGAAGATTCGCCTGTAGAACGGCAGACACATGAACCACCCGGGTCTATGGTTTTGTTTTTGGCACACACACACACACAGACACACCAAGCAAGAGATAGACTTCTTAATAAGGGATGCACAGCCCCGAATAACGCAAGATTGAGCCAGCTGAGACCATGGGGCCCCTTCTAAAGTGACCATCCCCGGTGCGTTGAAAGGGAGCCCAACAGCGGGGATATGTTGCTTGTTGAGTTCTGTTTTAGAATCCTTCCTCACCGGCCTTACATAGCTTGATCTCACGGACCCACTCGGATTTGAGCACCTGCGAGGCATTGATTCGGCGAGAAGGATTGGGATCCAGAATAGAGTAGATGACGTTCCGGCAACGAGCCTGCATACCTACGTGTCAGTCTACATGTCTGCCAACACGAGGTCCACGGTGTACTTACCCGATGCAAAGTTTCGATGGGAGCATAGCCATCTTCATGTTTGCGACCCTCCAGATACCGCTGATAAAACTCATCTTCATCCTTGCGGGCGACTCTCCAAAGGTGTCGTCCAGTCCGCATAGCCATATAGATTACGCCAGTCGCCCACAGGTCGACCGCTCTTGGGTCGAATTCCCTCTCAATGTACTCCTCCGGGGCAATGTAAGGGGCCGAGCCACAGAGCCCAGCAGTCATGTGGGCCTCTTTCTCCCAAGCCATACGGAAACACTCGCCGTTTCCGAAATCCGTGATCTTGAGAGCTCCATGGGTGGTCAGCAGAAGGTTCTCGGGTTTGAGGTCGCGATGAGCGACACCCATTTCATGCATGTATTCAACACCCCGCATGAGCTGCTTGAAGAAGCAATCGGCCTCGGCAACTTCCAATTTGCCAGCGGCCAATACCAGTGTGTACAGATCACCGCCTGCACAATACTCCATGACTTCACAGTAGTCTCCTTTGGCATCCTGCAGGAGATCGAGGGTATGTATCACGTTGGGGTGGCGGAGAGATGAGGAAATGCAGAATTCCGATGTTAACCGCTTCTGATACTTCTTTGTAGTTTCTTGGGGCCGACGGCGAAATTCTTTGACGGCATAGAGCTGCTCGACTCTGGAGTCTTTGGGGTCCACCTTGTGAGATATGCGGACAATACCGAAAGCACCCCGACCAACGATCTCCTGACACTTGCCGTACTTGTCAACTAGCGAGGCCGTGGCATTGGGGCCGCCCTTCTTGTCTGCAGCAAGCTTGTCGCGTTCGGTCTTGAATTGGTCAATCCAAGTAGACATGAGAGACAGTTGCTGTTCCTCGACATGATCTTCCTTCTTTCTCCCGCCACCCAGCATATCGCGGAGCAAGTCGGTCAACTTCTCCTGTCTTCTGGCACTCTTGAGGTGATGTAGGTGAGTACCATCGCCGGGCACCTCAAAGCGTCGATGAGCGACTGGAGCTTCTTTTTGGTCCTTGCCGCTGCTGGATTTGATCTTGCGTTCGTTTGTGTCCTCTCTGGTAGACGTTTGACGGGATGGCGCTCTTGAGGAGGGTTTCGAGGTAGGGCGAGACGAGGGTTTCGAAGGTTTCGTACTACCATTGGAGGATGCTTTGATGCTATCCGAGCTGCTATCCGAGAAATCGCGATGTGGATCCAACTCCTTAGGGGTCGTCTTGCCCGTATTCGAGAACATACGAGAGATGCGGTTGGCCATGGTCGGTTTGGGAGCCTTCACTGGCCCAGGGGAGGAGGGAAGGGTATCCCCGTTCATTTCGGACAGATGTGTGCCCGCAAGAGCACGTGTTACCTGGGACTCTCCATCTCCAAAGTCGTTGAAAATTTGTGACGCTGCGGCTGAAGAGACTGCGGAAGGTACAGGTGAAATCGATTGTGGAGTCATGTGCGGTAGTATGAGATGGTATAGACGGAAAAGAAGAGGAGCGAGAATGCCCCCACGACGTAGGGAGAGAGCAAGAAAGCCTACAGCACGAAGCTGCTAAGGCCAAAGATAGCTTTGAAGGAGAATTGAATATAGAAAGAGAACTGGAGAGGAATGGTGAGAACTGGGGAGGGGGGGGGGGGGGGTGGGGGTGGGAAGGGTAAAAAAAAGTTGCGGTGGCCCCAGCCGGTGGTGATGAGTTGGTGGCCTGAGGCGACAGATTTTTGTCTTTAGGAGGGAGGAAAAGAGGAAGAAGAGGTGTGACGAAAGTGACGGACTGACGGCGGGTGCTGGGAAATTTGCAAAAGTTGCAGAGGTGATTTGTAAAATAAAATACCGAGAAGGAGCTGGAACCCTCAAAACCGGAATGAACTAAGCCGCAGGAGTAATCAAACTCAACGAAAAAATAACGAACAATATGGATAATAACACGGCAATAAGAACGATTCAAGGAACGAGAACCCAGTTGAATTCAAATACTGAGATGCACAACAGAGATTCGGCCGACTGTATCCTTGGGACTGAAGGTACGAAAGCAGAGTAGAGCAAAATTACCACCCGGAAGGTATTCGCACGCTTGATGAAAGGAGGACGAAGTACTGTAGATGAGGAGAGGGAAAGGGAGGAGGGGGAGAGGGAGAGGGAGAGTAGAAAGTGTAGTTACGGGGGAGCGCGGTTGAAATAGTGAGTATCCGATTATCATGAGGGAGGAGGGAATGGTAAATACTAGGTAGCAAGTAAGTAAGTAACCAGGCCAATCAGTAATACTTCGCAGTACGGAGTACGCAGTGGGCAGTGGGCAGTGGGCACTGCAGTGGACTGTGGAAAGTGATTGAGTGGGTTTACCTTTCTGTTCTCCTTCTTCTTTCTACAGTATTCTCTTTCGATTTTATTATTATTATTATTATGATTGAGATGATGATGATTATTAATTTTCGGTTCCCTTAAAATTGCTGTCCCTCTGTAGTAATAACTGTCGACTGAAGGATCAATTCTCCGTAACTACTTCACTAGATATTATCAAGTCGGTTGTCTATTTGAGTCGACCTTGGGTTCCTCGCACATTTGCATACTCTATATCGAAGGAGGGACTGCTTTTTGTAAAGTTACCTTACCAGGGTGCTGAGAGACTTTCCAGTCATATTTCATTGAGGAACAATAGCGAGAGATAGAGAAGAGAGAAGCGACAAGAGAGAGGAAGAGAGGGACACAAGAATCCCCGGAATTCTCCCATTCGACCTTACCATCTTGGGTACCCCCTATGAGTACAGTATCTAGTGAGTTTTCGCGTATATGTAGTTACCGTAGATAGCTTAAAGTGATAAAGTCCTAAGCTGACTCGGCTCCTCCGTTCGCAGGGCTTCCGGGGCCTCGGGTGAGTCGAGAGGAAAGGAGTGGGAGTGAGTCTTGCCCTCTGAGCTGGCCCGCCTGGTACTGTCACCGTATGGTTTTCACCGTCAATCGCAGCCACACCGTTTCTGTCAGAACCCTCGAGTGCAACCCATCTTTGAGCTTGCTAGGAGAGTCAGCAATGGATGATCGGTCTGCAAATTCGAACCATGAATGCATGAAGCAACAGAACTGTTTTTGTTTATAGCCCCGGTCTTATTTCCTCGCCCTTCTGCTGACCTGGCGCTCTTGCAGCAAGCAGGCAGGAACGAAGGAAAGAATCCATCCCATCCTAGATCCTGCATGTGTGTACATGGAGAAGCAAAAGGGCGGGTGCAGTCACTACTTGACTGAGGACTGTACGGTACGAGCTGCTTAGTATGTATGGTACAGTACATGGAATACTTTGTAAGTTACAGGTGAGCACAGCACAATTGAACAGATTGAACAAATACGAAACCAACCAGGGCATGCTGCCAACGGTACGAGTACAAAGAATGTAACAATAATCTAGAACAGAGTGGCGCGGGCGTTGGCCTCCCCTTGACCTTCTATTCTTGGTTTAGGGGGGGCTAAGTTAAGGCAGGCGTCCTGTGGGATTTCTGATCAAGACTCCATTAAGCCGTTCACATTCATCAGTTCTGGTTCCCCTGCTGCCACTTGTTGGCCCATTGACTCATTAATTCATCGTCATAAAGCGTAGTTCCCCCCTCCGAGAAGTCTGTGACGGTCTTTTTCGAATATTCTCCGCTGTCCCCTTTGCTCTAGTCGGATGACGTTCGCTGTCCGTGACCGGAAATACCGAGTATGTAAGAGGAAAGACCTACACGGTTGGATTCGCTTGGCCTCGCACAATTTGTAGATGACGTTAGCTCCCTCGCCGGCGGGAAATGGATTAGTCAACCCTCAGCTCAGCAGCTCTGGGTGATTACATATGAGTACCTGTTAGTTAACTTTACTTGTAAGTTACTAACTTAGCTAAGTTAATCTAAACTGAAGGAAGACTAGGTTTCGGATCGGAACTGCTGAAGACGCCCTGCATTCTGCACAGCCTCAATCCACCCCCATCATTATCACCACCACCACCATCATCATCATGGACTATCATCAAGTCAACTCGGTGACTCTAGCTTAAGTGAGTGGTCAGATTGAGACTCAGATCTCGATCCAAACCATAGTACTAGATATACAAATAGGTCGTAGTCTTCATGGCATATCGTATAGCTTTGCTGTGGCGCTTCTTTCGGAGTGCAGCGAGCTGGCCGGTGGTGGCGTGGCGTCTTGCTACCCCCCACTCTGATTTGCCCATAGTTCAATTGTGAAATCAGGCTACCCGCAAACTGAGGGGTAAGTTATGTGCAAGTCAGAATGGGGGTGGGAAACCCCTCTTTGCCTGAAATCACTTTTTGGAGACCCATTTGCGGTCTATCATAAGCTGTTTGCCTCTGCCTTTTTCTATTACCTGTGCTGGAGAGCCCCGCTATCAATGTTTTAAGCGCAAATGCATCCATCCTAGATGCTGAGTAGGTAGCTTACCCCTCCATCGGATCAAACTCGGCCCCATTTTCCAGACTGCCCTGCAGTGCACCCGAATGAGTTCTTCGATTGACGAGAGGCTGAAACCTACTGATCTACATGAGTACAGTACTATGTACTATCTGCCATGTGGGCGCGTCTTGGATGCTCGGGTACATGGAACAGTCGACCGCGGCGCTCTGGTCTACCTCTGTTTCTGCAACACAGCTTGTCAGTTGAAAGCCCTCATTGGCATGATTAACAACAGGTTTGATAAACCTGCTGCGAAGTATCGAATGAATTTCCTCTAAACAGAACTCGGAGCTGGACACACTGGTGGCTCGTGCGGAAAAAAAGCGTTGAAGGGAGGGGGTTCGCGCTGGAGGCTAGGGTTTACCTTGAGAGAGTCCTTGGCCTTCGTGTGCTATCTCCGAGAGAGTGCTCAGATCATCTTCCTATGAGTACATTGAGTACATCTCTGGCCTCTGATTTGACCAGAATCCATTGCTGCTCGACCGGAGTCAACTATCAGCCATACGCCAATGCTGGCTCCGCGAGGGTCAGCAGATGTGCGAAAAACAGGATAGAAGAAGGTTGTGAGCAATCTAAACTCGACCGCTAGGCATGATTGACAACGTCGGACACAATCGCGTTGTAACACCCCCTCTGGAGACAAGCAACGATAGGACGCAGGGTCAAGGGAACCCTTGGGCCGTCTGGCGGTCATTGCACCGCCGAGCATCGTCAAGAGTGGCATTTTCGTGGGTTGGAAATCACTATCTATGAGCAGCGGCACCCTAGTTTCTAGGTATAACGCACACATACTATACACACTTGGACCTCGACATTTCCTACTCAGGGCTGGGCGAAATGACGTGGGTTTCCTTGGCCAGCGATAACCCGCCTACATACTACCAGAGGACACAAGCAGTAGAGAAGGAACAGCCTCGGTGCCAGGTAAGGAGAGGTAACCCCAGGCATGATAGCTGGTATGCGATTGGCTATTGTTATTAAGGTAGGGATTACAGTGCCAACCATGCAGCAGTCAATTTACTCTTCCATGCGTTTATTTGCGGAGATCCGCTTGATGACCATGTTGCCATCAGTCATCTTTCCGCAGTAAGCTATAGACTAGCCAGCCCATTCATTCGTGATCCATCCATCCCTCACTGCATTTCACCTGATCCTCAGCTGGTCACCTCGCTCATCCATACTGAAAGTCTAACCCTAATTACAAAGGCTGCGAAAATGATGAAGATCAAATGGGAGGGGCAACCTTGCAACCGAGTCAAGACGACTTGTCATTGACAGCAATGATAGTCCGGCTAGGCATGAATGATCGCTCAGCCAAGCTCATTTTGACTGGCCGGAATGTAGCGCTTTGACCAGACGGGAGTCGGAAACTGATGGTTTCGAAGGTGACTTTAAGTAAGCTGATGGACAGATGATTACCTAGTAAATAGTTAGTTAACTACCTTAGTCCGTGACAAATTGATAATCAACTACCAGGTAAGTAGTGAATTGAGTGATTTGCCTACCCCAATTACGGGGAGTACTACGTACTGTAGTCAACTTAGTAGCTTAAGCTAACTGCTGAGATCCAGTTTGCACGAGGGATTTTTTGCAGCCAATGGAAATTCCAAGTTGAAAGAAATGTCCGACGTCGGCACTGCGACCGACAACAAGAGATAACCGAGGAGCCCATCATCCTTGTCAAGCCTCTGGTTTTCTGCTACAGAGTGCTTCTATGTCCACTCTCATTGATGCTAGCTCTATAGTCATGTAGAAACATGTATACGCGCGTGCGCACACACGCACATGAACAGACAGAACAACAGAAGTAGGCATGTCGCAGCAAGAGAACCAACAACTGCAGCCCCGCTAAATGTGGGGAACCATCTCCGATGGAATTCAGGTCTTCCTTTCTAGTCTCGGAATCTAAACCGTGCTGGGCGATAGGACATAAACAAGCTAACTCACCCTGGTTTTTGTGTATCGCGGGGGAAAGGATTGTTTACGCAGCCTGCTCTCTTTTGGTATCTGTAGTTTACAATTCTCTCTCTCTCTCTCTCTCTCTCTATCTCTCTATCTCTGTATTCAACGGATTGATTTTATACAGTAATAAGAGTCTTGTCTTAGCAATCGAAATGACTTCACATCTTAAAGATCCAGCTTCGGTCCTTCAAATTTCTCTTCTCCCTTTCCTTGATAGCTACGCAGATTAGGTAGTGGCTCGTGGATGTACATACTGGACATACCCTATAAGATCGGATCGGAGGTTCGACTGCAGATGCAATGCATGTTTGCTTTTGTTCCTTTTCCTTTTCTACTTATTTGCTTTTTCCTCTTTTTTTTTTTTCATCTCAGGTCTCTCCCCCTTCCTTCCCCTTTCCTCCCCGTCCGCTCGCTCGTAGCTGTGCATCTGGGGAATCCGGCCCGGGATGACGGATGCGAGGTGATTTCCTCCCGCACCTTAGCTCATGCCCAGCTGCTGCAGGAGTGGTCAACTGCCGTTCGGTCTGATCGCCCGGTTTGTCCAAGGAGGAGGAGAGTGAAGCAACGAAAAAGGGGGTCATTATCACATAGCACGGAGTAGTTTGTATCCCAAATGATATTCAGCTTTATGTCCTACGGCCTGACTGGCGACGGGCTACCCATAGTATTTGCAGAGAGTACAGCCGGCCGTATTGATTCGCTTCGGGAGGAGAACGAGCCGTACTCCGATACGGTCAAGGGAATCAACGGCTCAGTAACCCCCATGAATCACTTGAAACCAGTTAGCAAACAACTAAGCCATAACTCCTCCGTAGTACGTTAAGTTAACAACTACATGCTGATTTTGGAGTTGTTGACTACCAATCAAACGTGCCTCTGTTTGGTTACAAGAAGAGGGGATCGGATTTGGGTTACAGAGGAGAACGGCTTGACTGTTGTCATCTTGGACGGAGCTTTGCGAAATACTGTGTACGTACTTGTACTTCGGTTCTGAAAATAACCTACCTTAGATCTAAAGAGTGTCAAATACCTAAAGTGTACGTAATACTAAGAGTAGTAGTTATAGCTTCTTGACCGCTAGTCAGTCAGCCAGTCAGCCAGTTCAGCCAGACAGTCCAACACCCATCCACCAAGATGTTGTAGCGGTGGAATGATCGAATCGGGCCTCAGTGAACCGAGAAAAGCTGATGAGCTGCCTATGAACTAGGAAGTCCCGACAGGTACAGTACAGTATGGGCTGGGTGCATAGGGGTCGGAAGGGTCAATGGGTGCGCCTTTTATTTCAACCAGTCGGTCTCTTCCATTTGGGGACCTGGGACAGCAGCCAGCATGAAGACTACGATACGAGGAGCGTCGCAGCTGGTTGGTCCGTCGTCATCAAACCATGTGGTATGACATTGCGCTGGTACAGCTGTGTAAGTGCACTTCGCGCGGATCGAAACTAAGCAAGCAACCACCCCCCCTCTCCGACCCCAGGATTTTGACCACGGTGGCACAAATTCTGACGGAATCGTCAAAGCAAGCATCTCCGGGTCAAGGCCGTCCTGGCCAGTGGGGACAGAAGATATCGACTCCACGTAGCCGAGCCGTCGGGGCCCAGGACAAATAACAGGACGGATTAATGCCGGGCTCAAGCTTCCTCGCACTTGCGCATCCATTTTGGCTTTCCCGATGGAGATTAAGCTGCTTCTCAAGCCGCTTCAAGTGTGACGGCACGAAGGGCTGCGGCAGCCCGGACTGGATAGAGTTGACGCAGCCAACGATGATCATATCGTTAAAAGCGATCGACTACTCCGTATTGCTATGAGTAAGTGGCATGAGCGGGCACTGGTGGTGTTAATGGCATAGGCGGCGAGACCGGAGCATGGGCCGATATCAGATCAGATGATTGTCGAACGAAGGAAACTCGGTCTGACCTGGTCGGAACTGGTTTGATCAGGCGGATGATCCACGACTGCGGTTTTGCCAGGCCAGTGAATACATACAAATCACTCGTTCGTCCCGCAAACAGGCGATTCTATGCGTGAAGTTTGCCTTTGGGAAACGGTGCGGACGACAACAAATCGATGCCGGAGCGGGAGGCAAAGCGCTCGGAGCACTTCAGCCCATTCCGCGTCCTCCCTCTGCTCTTTTTCCTGTGTTGTCTCACGTACTGTTATTGAATCCAAGCCAGATGTCGAAAAGGTTTGTTTGACCGCCAGATTGTCAATCAATTCAATGGCCATGCTGTTCCCTAGCTAGTTGACCGGTCTCGATATTCTAAAGCGTCGCGCTCATGACCGCAACGGCCCTGCACTGTTCGATCGGTCGTATGTTGCAACCGACACCCAACCCCTTGGCAATGTTTATGTGCTGCGCAGTATCCGTCGTACTTTGACGAGCTCTTCCTCGGACAATTTTTGTCGCGTGGGAAAGAATAAAGGATTCACAACTGAATGAGACATCGTGCTCGAGGACAACGATACGAGTGCAATCAAACGGGGTTAGCGATTCTAGGGACCAGCGACAGCAGCAGCAAGCAGCAGCAGCTTAGGTAAGATTCCCAAGCATGTCGCCTGCTGGAATTTGCACGAATGATCGACCGCCAATCAACCTTCGATGGATCAACCATATATCTACGAGTTTACAAGTCTTTTAGTTGCTGTCTACCTTCGTTCTCTATCACACACGTTTTTCTATTACACACGTTTCACTGACTCGTATCTTGCTACATAGTACATCTTGGAGAGTAATAGTTGCGCCGAGGGCCGTGACTGTAGTAGGCCGACCAGCCCAGGCCGTGGCGAATTACCTCACCTTGAGTCAATTCGATGTCATTTTCCTACATCGCTATCAACCCGAACCACGATTCAGTTGACTCGTAACTTTGGTTCAGAGATTCGTTTCTCTCTATCTTGCATGTCCCTTCGGGAAATGATCGTTCTCTTGTTCCATGGCCCTTATCCCTTGCTACATCAATGACTTTACTACGAAGTGATAGGAGAGGACATTCATTGTGTCAAAAAAGCAGCAGCAGCAGCAAGCAGCAGACATGACCTCAGACGATGATTTCGTCTCGAAACAACGAACCAAGGCGGACTCTCTTTTCGGCTCTATGCTCGTCCTAACCGTTCGATATCCCTGACGTAGAAAACCAAGCATTCTAGAAGGTATCAATGCCACAGACGATTCGATTACTGGACACCAGTCCCTATCCCCCGATGACATCGTCAGAACCTAACCTGAACTCTATCTCAATGTGAATCTCTTTAATCGAAGCGACCGATTTCGTCAGACATTGCTTGACATCAACATTGCATCAGGGCCAATAGATAGAAGTCCCATGAATGAACTTATAAGGCCGCCCAGGGTTGCCGAACTCTGCGTTCAGACCATCCTATGCCCGTAAAACTACAAGTACTCCACACTAAGATCTCATACATAATTCATCAAATCCTCCATCAAGATGTCGAACCGCTACGAAAGAGAAGCCGAAGACCGCTACGAGGCTGACAATGACACCTCTCCGGTTTCGGGAACTGTCTACGACAATTCCTATGCCCATGAGACCCAGTCGGGTCTGAGGAATCAGATTCCAGTTCAGAAAGACGAGGATCGCTATGACGATCCCATGCAGCCTCCCTATTCCAACTCGGACCAACAGCTTGGTAGGTTCTGCACCACATTGGAGACGAATGATGAGCGGATGGCTAACAGCTGTTTTACAGCCCAAGATGAGGACGAGGCTATCGATCAGTCCAACGTCCTGCAGGGAAGCCGCCTGCGTCATGCGAAGCCATCGACAAGAAACGCCTACAACGAAGGTCCGGATGAGGACGACTTGCCTGAAGAAGTGCTCTACGGCAACTCCGGTGTGTCCAGCACTGGTGGCGTGCTTTGAAAACATCCATCACGATGGTGGATTGATGCGCAACGTGGAATGACTCGTACATGAGTTTATTATTGTTCAGTGACGAATTGCTATTATAGTGTTGATGTGTAATTATGTACTGTACACGAATTGAATGTGGACGACCTGCCTAGCCAATTCTGCGGCACGATACCGTTTTCATGAAGGCCTGAATATTTGTAACTTACCGGGTCACTTGATATTGATTAGATCAATTCCAGCCGTAGCCATGAAAGGTGAAAGTGCCCTGAGTCCGTCGAGGATCTCAAACGAGGCTTGACGTATCGCAGACGATGTATGCATGAATGGTGCCGTGTTCCACGTGGATGAGCACCAAAGTCTGGCCTCTGTCGTCAAAACTTCGCGCAGTGTGTGTTGCGGCTATCGAGCCATGGTGGAGGGTGGTATCTTGGAATGGTGAGAATCTCCTGCCGCGCAGTATTGACCCGCCGATGCAGCTGTTGGCAGACCGATTGTGTGAAGCCATTCTAGGTATCAACTCTGAATGACGTATGATTCCTAACGTGAAGGACATGGATGACCGATTCACGACAAGACTCGTGTCTACACAGTGATTAGAAGATACCTTGGCAATGGCATAGCCTCACACGTACCACAAATTGTTCTAGAGACTCTTCGAATAACTCATTGTTGACGCCCACGCCCCCCGGATGCTCGACAGGAGACAACGGATTCTTGACCACTATCGGACCAGGAATAGAAATTAGCTTGGCGCATTCGGACAAAATCATGAAAGGAGGGTGTCTCGATGTACCATATTCGACATAGAGATTGATGTAGATCTGCTGCAGTGCAACGCGCATACTTGGGCTCTTGATATCCGTGAGCATGACGAATTTGATGTTGGTTGGCGTCTCGTAGTAGTGCAGCTTATACTGGCTCGTCTTATACGTGACGAAGCTGGAGTTGGAAAGACCCGGGTCAGTTGAGATTAAACCGCCTGATGCATGAGCCAGCCACAGCCTTACTTGTCGTCCTCTCCTCCCAGTTTGCGCACCATGTTGCGGAGCGAAAACACAGTGCCGAAGATCAACTTCGCATCGTCATCGGTCGTTCGCGCGGATTGGCCGAGAAGCACAGGAGCGCTGGTAGCTGGCACAGAAGCTTCCGAGGTAGGTCGCGAAGATTTGCTGCCGGAAGTAGAGACTGGACGAGGAAGCCAACGTCGTTTGTATATGCATTCCGCTAAAAGCAGGGCGGGATGAGGTTAGCATGTGGAAATCCGGGGGCGTCAGGACAAGGGAGAAAAGGTACTGTACCGTGCCGGTCAAAGATATAGAAAGAATACACCACCATTGCGGTAGAACTGGCAAATCGATGATAGTTTGACAAGGAAAACAGAGGAGGGGATAAGCAGGAGAAAGTATGCGTGTGCAGAGAATATGAGCTCAAAGTAAGAGGAGGATTGTTTGTCGTGAGTCGTGAGTCGTGAGTCGGGATAAGATGCGGAGGTCGGAGGGATGGATAGCGGACAAGTGGACGAGGGAAGCTTGAGGGCGGTGAGCCACCGTGGTGTGTTTATCGATAAGCCCGTTGACTTGTACATACATAGGAGGGTACTGGTAACCCCCCCCAAAAAAATAGAAATAGAAAGGAGATCAAACGCTCAGTAGAGTACTATTGTTATCATTGATCTACTGACCTATTCAAAGATGGAATAGGTAATTCGTCTGTACTGTACACTGTATACTCGGATCTATTTCTGGAAGATGCAAATGAATTAAGTAAAATAGCCCAGCCAGGATTATTGTTCCGACCAAAGAACCAATTCATAAACCAGAGTCCATACAGTCCGGAGTACACACTGTGTATACAATACATACTATTTATACATACTGGCCATCAGCCCTACAGCCTACAGCCTACAGCCTACAGCCTACAACTGACGATCTCCACTGTAAATCAACTACCGAGTGTAGTCTAGGGAGGTTACCATGCATGAGTACTGTACATACGAGTAGTATGTACAGGAAATACTGTAGGGTGAAGGGGGAGGTTGAGTGAGTGTAGTATACAGTAAACTGTACCAATTGTACAGTAATCCCCCTCTCTCCCGTCGATCATTTATTCCCTTCTCTCTTTCCTCCACCCAATAAATTGCGACAATCCACTTCCTTCTGCTTCGTGTATATTTCACCCCGTCTCTATACCTAGAACCTAGGAACTTATCGACCAAGCTGACTATTTTGGCTGACTGGACCGTCTTCTTTTCTTCCGAGGCTGCTTTCTTTCTCTCCCTAACCAGGCACTTGTACTGACCTGTGTGCTGCTTATCTCTAACCCGCCATTCACCTCCGGTCCTTTCTTACCCCACACACATTCGCTCTCAAGGCAGCCGTCAATTTTTGATCCCCTTCCCATCACGGCAATCCAGCATAGTTTCAAAACTGAACAGCCTTTGTGCTGTCATTCCTCCACCCTGCTGCTTCCCATGGCCCGCAAAACCCCCGAGCTGGCCCAACAGAATGGTGCGCCAAGCGGTCAACCTCCGCTGCCACAACCCTGGCCCTTCCGTTCTGCGTAGGTGCATTTACTTGCCATTCATTCTTCTTATGAAAAGTTACTGGACGGGTTGAGATCTGACCGTGTTCACAACGCTCAGGTCAACGCCATCATATGGCAGCCCGCAGAGGCATCATCGCCGTAACCCAATAGTCAGGCGGCCGGTAAAGGTAGCGCCCATCCGAGATTCTCTTCTGTCACATCTGCCGTCTTCCTGTGGCGCTCAGTGTTCCATTGTGCAATGTATCTGACTATCATGGACAGGAGACGCTCGACGCACGCTCTGAGTACACCACGAGCCAGGATGACGGAACTGCTGAACACAGAATCAATCAGTATGTGATTAAGCAGGAAATCGGCAGGGGCTCCTTTGGAGCGGTGCACCTCGCGGTCGACCAATTTGGAAACGAATATGTAGGATCTATCCTCATCCTCGCCATGGTCCAACGGCATTTTACGTGCAATATTAGGCAAGTGCTCGCGTGACTGACTCAGCCGATCAACAGGCCGTCAAAGAATTCTCAAAGGCTCGTCTCAGGAGACGGGCCCAGTCCCATCTGTTGCGGAGGCCACGCGGCCCAAAGCGCCCTCTTGATGGCTACAATTCCCCGCTGCATCGCCACTCGCCAGGCGTCGACGACCACAAGCAAGATGCCCTCTACCTGATCAAGGAGGAAATCGCAATCATGAAGAAACTAAACCATAATAATCTTGTCTCACTGATAGAGGTTCTAGATGATCCCACAGAGGACTCTCTCTACATGGTTATGGAGATGTGCAAGAAAGGCGTGGTTATGAAAGTTAGCCTCGAAGAAAGAGCCGATCCGTACGAGGATGCTCTCTGTCGCTGCTGGTTCCGTGACTTGATTCTGGGGATTGAATACCTCCATGCTCAGGGCATCGTACACCGAGATATCAAACCGGACAACTGCCTGGTGACGAATGACGACGTCCTGAAAGTTGTCGACTTCGGCGTTTCTGAGATGTTCGAAAAGGATTCCAACATGTACACGGCAAAATCTGCAGGCTCTCCTGCCTTCCTTCCCCCGGAATTGTGTGTCGTGAAGCACGGCGACGTTTCGGGGAAAGCGGCAGATATATGGTCGATGGGCGTCACGCTGTATTGTCTGCGCTATGGAAAGCTTCCGTTCGAGAAGCAAAGTATTTTCGAACTTTATGAAGCCATCAAGAACGATGCAGTTGTGTGTGAGGAGGAGACCGACGACAACTTCCGAGATCTGATCTCCCGGATCTTGGAAAAGAATCCGGCGAAACGGATCCAGATGCACGAGTTGCGAGTAAGTTTAGGCGAGTATAGATCCCCTGGAACGTATTTCGCTCATGTAGTGAACTGCAGGATCATCCATGGGTAACTAAAGACGGCTTAGACCCTCTTCTGCCAGAAAGTGAGAACACAGCGGAGATAGTCGACTTTCCGACCGAGGAGGAGATGAATTCAGCTATCACTAGGACTATCGGGCATGTCATGGCTGTAGTAAGTATCTTTTGTCCCCTTTATTCCTAAGCCTTTCATCGGCGCATCAAGAACTCCTAACGAAACATAGATCAAAGCCGTGAAGCACTTTAAAAGGCTACTCGATCCAGCAAAGAGCGATCCTCCAATGCAGAGTATTCTCGGTCAGGAGTATGAGACGCATTTTGTAGAGCCCCCACTGGAAATGGAGCCAGAAGAGAGCTTTGCAGCTGGCCACTTGGGTGTGAAGAGCAAGGCTCAGAGTTTGAACACATACAACAGGACTGCTTGGGAGCAGCATTACGCCTTGAGAGAGCCTCACGGTCAGACCCAAGAACTCACTCATAGCCAACCGTCAGGTGCCGGCCAACAACCCCCCACAGAGGAGCTCACCACTTCCAGCAGTTGCAGGATTGATACGGAATACGCGCCAGAGAGCAAGGACTCAAGCTCCGTACGCAGTATCAATGTTCAAGGAGGATCCATTGACGGCCCGCAACCCACATCTACGCCACAGTCTCCGTGTCCTCTGATACCACTTTCCCGAGCAAGCTCAGCAACAACCAAGCGCAGCGTTGAGGGGACGCGCGGACATGCACGCGACCCTCTCGAAGAAGAATTCCCTTTCCTCTTCATTGGACCGTCAACTTATACAGGCTCCCCTTTGAGCGAAGAGCGTGACTATGCAGCGAATCGTCTCATTCCCGAGGAACCAGAGAAAATGGCTGAGGATCCGGCCGATGTGGATACCGACATGGACCTTGACCTAAACGCTGATATGGCCTATCAGATCGTGAGCGAGTCCCCTGGCGCTGCGGAATTCGATATCTACGAGACTGCCTACCGACAGGAAATCGAGCGGATTCGAGCACCCAGCCTTCCCCGCAAGGGCGGAGAGCCCAAGGTGTACTTGACCCGTCGCGTAGAAGGTAAAGACGACGTGATGAAGCTGGTGGGTGAGAACGCCACAAAGTTGGGGCCAATGTTCGGTGTGAAGAAGACATCTAGCTCTGGATTCGCTTCTACTGTGAGTGCAATCAGGCTTCAACTGGAACAACAGGAGAGAGTCAAATCCTCGGGTGTACTATCGTTGGCCACTGCAGCCGGAGTCACTACGACCAATGCACCGAACCTCGAGCGCTCTGCATCTCATGTACGAGACATAGTCGACCGAGTCAGAAAATGTGCAGATCCATGAAAGAATGGAGGGTAGCATTTCACTAGCAATAGCTTTGGCCTCAACAACAATAGTTGACTAGTGGAATGGTCTATACGTGGATCCGTGATGTGCGTTGTCTCGAATCTTCTGACCTCGTCGCATCAGTAGGTGCTTTTTCTCCCGCTTGCACACCAGCTGTCTAGCATCAAGGACTAAGCTGAATTTTACGCTCACATATAACACCGTGCGAGAATTAGTATCATACAAGTAATCAAGTATGTGACATAGAGAAGTGCGCGGCAGGTTAGCGCATTTGAAAAGACATCAGTAGAAGGCATAACAAGATTGTTGAAAGGGAGGTAGACCAAAAAAAAAAAAAGCATGACTTTGTGATATCATGTCTCATTGTTCATAAGTTTGCTGACCAAGCAATTGTGCAGGACATGAAATGATAGTCCTTTGATTTCTTGTTCGAGAAAATTCATAACTGTCATCGACCCATATGCGCACACGTAAATGCTGGCAGAATGTGATATTCCAAAACTTGGAAACATGTCTCTAGAGGGCGTTCTTGCTTGAACTCATTTCTCCAATTCGACATGTTTGACACGCCTGGACCCTTCTGGTAGATGCTTCAGCCCGAACATAGATAATATGCTTGCGCGCTGTAAGTAAAGATATGTATCGTAGATCGTATAGAAAAGAAGCAGATAATAAAAGTTGCACGTGAGTGGAACGAGTCATGCGTTGGACACGTTCCCTGGTATAGCCGGGCTGTCATCGTTACTTGATCGATCTCGTTCGCGACAACGATTCGAAAAGAGAGGGAAATTGTCTTTTGTGATTGACATGGAATCATTAATCATGAGTCGATACTTTCTGAAAGAAAAAAAAAACGGATTTCCATCTTCTCCGGAATTGTACGTTATTCGGATCGAGTTTCTGCTGGTCTGTCTATCAATAATTCTGGAGCCGTCCCATGCGCTTCTTCTGTGCGCCTGGCGAGAGGATGAATGAGATTCCTTCGATTGCTCTCCACGAATGAACTCCTATCGGGCAGAAGGGGTTCGAATGGCCGATCACCTGTTTCTCTTCTGGGAATCGATTCCCTATGTCCTAATTGTAGCGCTTGTGGCGGAGGCAGAGTTTGTCTCATTTCTGGGGGGCGCGGCAATTCCCTCATGGAAGGTACCAATTCCTGACTGGGCATTTCTTGCAATCGCGCTTCACCAATTGCTCCTCCCATTGATATTGGCCGCCTGGGTGGTGCAGGGTAGTGTAAGTCGGAGTGAGACGAATTTGGCGGCCGGCCAACGACCTGGGGACCGAATAGAGGTGCTCCAGGTCCTAGGCCAGCAGGACTAGTTGGCGCAGAAGGCAACTTCACCTTGGTTGAGCCGGATCGCCGCGGAGGAGGATAGGTTTCCCCGCGGGCCTCAGCAGCCGCCTTACGTCGTTCTGATTCAGCCTTGCTTGGGCGACCTCTTTTCCGCGGAGGTTCGCCTCCGATAGTGATACTCTCTGAGCTGGGAGACAAAAGGGCCGAGGCACCACTTTCGCTGCTGTAAGAAGCAGTACTGGTAACAGGGCGTGGCTGGATTGCCCGAGGGGGGCGAATCCCTTTATCTAGAGGAAACAGAGGTCGTTTACGCAAAGCACTGGGGTCCAAGGGTGCAGTTGCTGGCGGTGCAGATTCGTGGGTATGATGAGGAACCGGCCCACGGCCGGGACTGACAGATAATGGCACGTGCTGACACATGTTGTAGAACGCCATTTGACAAGAGTTGAGTGAGCGACCTAAGTTGATCGGTGTTAGCTAGCAGACATAAATCAGGAGAGGTTCCTTGGCCCAGTGTGGCTAGCACATATGTTCAGTCGAATTGAAACCCCAGGACATCAAATGACAGTATTGTACCTTGAGGCAAGGGAATGTCCGTCCAGCTTGGCGTGATACCAAAATCCCGGATCATTTTTACTAAGTGGCTCGAGGGAACTTTGGCCTTCTTTAAGATCTCGGTAAGTAGCGTGTACTTGAGTCCATCGTTAGTCGTTTGTAAAACAAGTCACAGGATCATTTAACACCTGCGATCCCTTTGATCGAAAGTTCCAACAAGAAAGAACGACAAATGAAGGAAAGATTAAACTTCGTACCTTCTCCTCCTCGTTCCATGGCCTCTCTGCTAGATTCGACATATCCAGTTGACCATGGAAGCTGGGTAGAAGCGACGTTTCTTCCAGAGTCGGCCCAACCGGCGACAGTGAGTCAATAGAAGGGATCGGGATTCTAAACAAATGATAACAAAATGTAAAGAGTGACGCGTCACGCGACTTTGCGAATCCAAAAGTACACAAGCAGTGCCAAAGCCTACCAGGAAAAAGGTGCGAGTTGCGGCGAAACCGGGCGACAGCGTTGGAGAGCCACCAAAAACAAATGCCAGCCAGGGAGAAAACAGCGATAGGGACAATAGAAACACGATATACTCGTAGCAAAATCAAAAAGAGCCTCCCAAAAAGAATGATGCGTCTACAGCAAAGGAGCACCACGCGCGTAATGTGGGCTAACGAAGCCGCAGTCGGAGACAAAGGAAAGGACGACGCTCCAACTAACAACAGTCAGCAAACGAAGGAGAGGGTAAAGAACCGACGCGCAGAGACTTGATAATAGACATTGAAATTCAAAAGAACGATTATTTCAGGAAACGAACGCATAAGAGACGGGAAGCTGGAATAACGAAGGTCATATGAGGCAAGGGCAAAGGATGCCGTAGCAAGGCAAATCCAGGCGAGGTGGGAGACGAAGCACCAGAATGGAAATGAAAAAAAGGCGGCCTTGATGTTGGCAAATAATCACCACACTGGAGAAGGCACTGAAAAACAGAAACCTTTTACAGGACTAAAGAAGCCGGAGATGGAATCAGTCAAACGATTGAACAGAAGCGGATCGGGTCCCTCCCCACAGGAAAGATATCAGATGTCGACGTTGAAATCGAACAAGATTATCTGGAACGAGCAGTTTCAACGGTGCATATTGGCACACCACAGATGGAAGGGGAAAAGAGAATGCAGGAAATGGAAAGGAAGAAACAGGAGAAGCTGGACCAGTCGTTGAGTTGCACTGAATCATCCCAGGGACTTTTTCTAGCCAAACGGACTTTTTTACCCTCGGAACCGCGCAGGACAGTATTGTAGCTGCCACAAATGTGTGGCCGGAGGGAGAAAGGGAAGCTGCAGGGACTCCTTTCCGGGATGCTCACTGTCCGTCAACCGAAGACGATCTTTCGCGAACAATACAGAGGAACCACGATGGGTCAGGACTCAGATCAGACCGAATAATGAAATGCAGCGGATCCAACCAGTCTCAAGTGGGATTAGACCGGGGCCCTACCAAGAACAGTATAGTGTTTCGAAAACACGATGGTTTCAAGTGACCTCAAGTATCCATCCTCCGACGACGAAACAGGAATCAAAGGAATCAAACAATGCCTCACCAGGGAGGGGCTGCAGTAGCCCTGGCCGGCCCACGAAAGGACGAAAAAGACCAGGAGGGGCACGACAGAGCATAGGGAAAGAGCTAAGGATGCATGTTGCTGGGACACCATGGGAACCTGGCCGGGTGAGCGTGTAGGGACACAGGACCTAGCCGGGCTCGGCGTGAAGAAGTAATGCGACAACAGCCTGCGACTACTGCTGTACGCCCTGACTACGGGATGGAACCAAAGTTTAAAGCCGTGTTTGTGGATTGGAGAAATACCGTGGAAATAGATGATGGCTAATAGGCGCGAAGAAACGTCAAGCCACGGCTGTGGACTGCGAAGAAGCTTGCCATTTCTAGACCAAAGGTTCAGTCAACCTCTGGGGCGGAAAGATCCCTCTCATAGGATGGAGTACGGTCTCCATAGCGTGCATGATAAGCGAATTACCGTGGACGCATCCAGACGCACCGATGGGCTGGGTCGGTCGAGAGAGTGTGGGCCGGGTACTGGAAGCAACAGTTCCCAGGAAGATGATATTCAAGTCAAAAACTTGTAGAAGATTGGCTAGAGTGAGCTTCCATGGTCATTAGCCATGTCTGGAGGCCTGCGTACTATGAACCTGGACTTCTGGCGCACAGTTACGGCGCATGTAAAAATGTGCATTGGCCTTATTCACGATAGCGGGAATGCACACCGCAATGACTGGCAGAAATTGGATAGCGGCGGAGGTGCTTGATAACCGCAAGGTGGGGTGAAAGGCTCCGCAATAGGCGCAGACGAGGAGCAAAATCCTGGAGGCTGGGTAAATAAACGGGTCCCGTTAGTGCAAAAAGCAATGGAACGAAGACTGCAAGGATGTTCCGAAACGGCCAGACCGGGATAAGTTGCTACTTGGCTCTCTCCCTCGTTCTTCCTCTCTCCTATTCACCAAGCATAGTAGTGACTTTGATCCGGACAGTCTGTCAAGCTTAGTGGAAGCAAGCAGTATATGTCATGTATGATAACTTTGGGTGGGACAAGGCTGCCCCAATCGAAGATAATTAGAAAAGGCACGGTGGAGGTGGAAGACATGTGAAGGGAAGCGAGTAAAGGTAAGCAACACTCATTGTAAACGAGCTGTACTGGCCCTCCGTCGGGAATAGCCAAAGGTTAAGAGTAAATGGCATAAACATCATATTATAATATCGTGCAGGAAAGGAAGAGGATGGGGGTGGAGGTGTGGTTGGGGTCCTTCTGCTGTCACTGTTGGTTTCATACCTACCATCCCGTCCAACAAGTAACAGACAGGGCGCGCAGGGACGAAAACCATCAGGAAAATGCACTGTACAGCGAACGGGCGATGATATCGGCCCACGGGGCAGGTTCGACGCATGCCGCTGCTGCGCTTGTGAGCTGCAAGTCTTTCGTAAGTAGTAGTAGCGTGTTACTACTACTAGTTACTCGCCCATCGACGGAGCGTCTTGCGAATTGCCCCTGATAATCGACGGGTCAATTATGACCGGAGGAACCAAACAAGCAGCAAGTCTTGACTTATTAGTCGCTGTGGAGGGGGAGCCACTGAATCGAAAGCGAAGATGGCCTGTACTCTGCAGCGTAATGTCTAATTGAGACTGACAATGGTCCATGCACGAGAACCATGCACGCAGGAGGGAGCAAGGCCCCGCCAATTTGAAGCAACCGTCTGAAATGTAGTCTGCTTATAGTACCGTAGTCCTGCGTGGCGTTGAAACTGGGTCTTGGGAGGGGGGAGGTTTGGCCCCCTACTTCAACCTCCTAGCTTTCAGCCACTTGCCAAATGGTGTTGAAGCAAGAACACCCACTTCCTCCAATGAATTGAATTTTGAACTGCGCGAATAGACATGAAAAAGATGGGGCAAGATGGTTGAGGAGGCAGAGGGGGAGGAACAGAGGGTGGAGGGAAAGGAGTGAGAACTCCAAGAGGGAAAGGATGAACAAAGAGCCCCCCGGGAGGGAGGAGGGGGAGGCCACGGGAACCTGTGGCGCATTTGAAGTTACGGAGCAGACTAACAGTAGTCTAGTACGGTATCCGGTACCCGCCGTGAAGGTACCGGTGTCTTTGACTCTTTGTTGGCAGGTGGAAAAAAGACCGTGGCAGCCCCACATCTCAGGTACCCGTTGCGCTTGTACCGTAGTACTCGAGTGACTAGTAAGTTACTATCGGTGTACAGTACTATGTAAGTAAAGTTACCATCCGGAGAAATTCCAGACGGCCAGGAAGGATTCCTATGGGCTGCAGTCGATCTCAACACGCACGCTTTTGATGAGACTTAGTACGAGTATGAGCTGGCCTGTGCATTGAGATCAAATTAGGAAGAGCATCGTACCCATGTAGTCTCAGCGCAGGTATGTACTGTATACAGTTTTTTGTAGGTCCTGTCCGAAAAGGTTTAATTCCATCAATACTACTTGACATGTGCACTTTCCTCAGCGAACCAAATTTTTTCTCCTAGGGCTTGGGCCATCATCTGTCTTAGTGTCCGTAATTTTGTAGGCTATACGCGTACTGTATGTACCTACAGTACGGAGTACGTTGTCAATTTCTCTGTAGTGGCATTTTTCCAACCAAGTCAGTTACCAGCCAACTGGGACGACCAATCGATATTCAGTAATATTGAATAGTCAACCACAGTTTATACTTACACTATATAGAACAATTAATCTCAAGGACGCGATCGATTCGGATGCTAATAATACCTGACACCGGCGTCATTCCATTTTCGGTGGTCCGGCATTACTAGGGCGGAGTCTACTCTGTAGTAAAAGAGTCTAACTTGGTTCCGTTCCACTCTTTCCCCTCCTCCCTCCCTCCATTTAACTATCTGTCACTATGACTTTATCTTTTCTTGCGAAGCAACATCGGTTTATGCATGTTTGCATTCCAAATTGACTATCGTGGGTGTTGATTCCCTTGTTTCTATATTCGAGTATGATTAGTAGTAAGCACTCTTTCTCCTCCGATCAATTATGGTAACATCATTTCTCACTGACAATCGGCTGCTGACTGACAGACTAACATTAACTACTAATCAACGCACTAAGATCTAACAAGTGACTCAGTCACTAATTCTTGTTGACATCTGACACCTGTTTTCACCGTGGTTAGCATATCTACAGATCGAGCAACGGTGCACGATGCGCCAGGTTAAGCTCTGATTACCTCCAATCGCTAACCGCCCCTTGAAGGCACCGGAAGAATGAGAACATCAAAAGTCTCTGGAAGGACGGGAGAACAGCGTTAAGCTTGATAGGTCCCTCGGGATTGACGCCTCTCAGTGCTTCCAACCCACCTTGTCGTCCACGGCCTCTACTGCATGCTTGAGACGGAGTATTTGATACTTGACACGTCCTCTCTAGTGCGTGAGAGGGGGTCCCTGCTCCCCTGCCAACCTAAGGTAGTGAGCTGCAGAAGCAAGGCCCGGCTATAGCTCTAGCACTGATGGTTTGGACTTCTTGTGGCCTATGGTTCCATTCCACGCAAAAGCCAGCCATCACTTGGTTGGGCGATCGGTGCTCATCCACTGCAGCTAGGGCCTGTACTGTATATATTCTCCTAGCCCAGGAGGTACCAAATTTTCCGTGTACTGGTATTTCAATATCCCTCTCCACTTGTTCACCTAATTACTCTCTTAACCTACTGACCACGAGTTTGAAGCGTTTCCGCCTCTTGGAGTGTGGAATGGAAGGCTTAGCTCACGAAAAAAAAAAACCACCATTCCAACCAAATCAAGCCACTCTTAATGGGGTCAAACGCAGTTGACCTTTTGTAAATCGCCTTACACCTTTTCACTACAGCACAATTGCCTTCACATTTGTGTCTGAGTTCCAGTCAATGCATATATCCCTTTTCTGCTCCGTGATTCGTCTCTGGCATGTTTCCATTGTGTGCCAGTCTTCATTGCTGACTCTAACGCCTTAAGAATGATCATCCTACTCTACGAAGCAAATCTTCGCTCCAGCTTCGAGTTATTGCATGCTGACAGTTTTTTGCACCAGAGGGAGCGCGGGGCTGAGTATAAGTGGATCGCC